TGGCGCTGGCTCCTAAGGTGGCGCTGGGCCTGCGTCAGCCAGGTACTAAAGTCGATCGCGCGCCCCTCAGGGTCGAAACGGAGCACGCGAGACGTCGCCATGAGGGGCGAGAACAAGCGATAGCGGCCGCCAGCCGCGAGAGGAGGAGGAGAGGGAGGTGAGTGCGAGGCGGGTGCGCGCAGGCGGGGCGCGTTCTGGCTGGGCGCGGGGCGGCGGGGCGCGCTCCGGCGCGGCGCGCTGATGGGCGGCTAGGCAGGGCGCGCGCTGGCGGGGCGCGCTGGCGTGCGCGCTGGCGGGGCCCGCTGGCGCGGCGCGCTGGCGGGCGCGCTAGCGGGCGCGCTAGCGGGCGCGCTGGCGTGCGTGCTGGCGGGCGCGCTGGCGGGCTCGCTGGCGGGCGCGCTGGCGAGCTCACTGGCGGGCGCGCTGGCGAGCTCACTGGCGGGCACGCTGGCAGGCGAGCTGGCGGGCTCGCTGGTGCGCCCGCTTGCGGGCTGGCATGCAAGCGGGCTGGCGCGCGGGCTGGCTGGCGCGCTGGCGCGCTGGCGAGCTGGCTGGCTGGCGGGCTAGCGCGCTGGTTGGCAGGCGCGCTGGCTGGCTGGCGCGCTGGCTGGCTGGCGCGCTGGCTGGCTGGCGCGCTGGCTGGCTGGCGCGCTGGCTGGCTGGCGCGCTGGCTGGCTGGCGCGCTGGCTGGCTGGCGCGCTGGCTGGCTGGCGGGCTGGCTCGCTGGCGCGCTGGCTGGCTGGCGGGCGCGCTGGCTAAGGGCGGGGAGGGGAGGGGCGCGCCGGCTGGGGCGTGGGGTAGGGCGCTGGCGGGCTGGCGGGGCGCAGTGGTAACCCTAGTGGTAGGGACGGGCGGGCCTAGGGCTAGGAGCGCTAACAAACTGCTGATACCATGTCAGAATGAGAACTACAGCGGAATGTGTTGCATTGACAGAATTGGGGTACATAACCTAACCCTAACTAGTTGTACCCCATATAGCCCAACCCACTACAGGCTATAATATTTTACATTGCTGCCCTTTCAGCTGAAACTTGATTATTTGCCAATACTGCATCAAGCAAAGTAAAGCATGGAATGTGCAAGGGCTTCACGGCCTCTGATTTCATGAATTTTACCCTGATTTCATGAAGTTTGACCCCAGTTTTTTATTGTGACCCCAAATCTATCAGCCTTTTTCTTTTTACAACCCTGTTGAATCAGTGTTTTACCGTGATCTCCCGGTTAGAAGACCCGGGGGTCTTATCCTAAATGTTTTAAAAATGACTTGTGGGGTCTTATTTGATGGCACATAGTGCATAAGACCCCCGGACATCTAATAATTACAAAAAAAAAAAAGGATTCTGTATTACGCTGTTGAAGAAATTCAAACAAAATGTACCGATTTTTGGATTCACAACGCGGAGTTCTGTTCTCGAATTCTCGAATCGCATTGTCGCTGATTCCCATCCACACGCTCTGACATGCCCAATCATGACAATTACGTCAATGTTTCTTGAGTGACGGACAGCAAAAACGCGAGATCGATGTGGCGTTTTGACTGACTTGGCCACAGATTTGCTCGACAAAGTGAATCTGGTGGTTTTTTTTTGTGACTCGCTAACCAGTTCACCGTTTAAACAACAGTCATCATAGCGTATTGCAAAAAGAGGGGGGGTCTTATGTTTAATAGGGTCAAAAGACGGGTCCTCTACAGGAATGACATAATAAAAGACCCCTGGTCCGGATAAAGGACCCAGGGGCTTGTACGCAGGGTGGGTCTTCTTGCCGGGAGATTACGGTATGTTTCCAAGGACTGATTTTCCAGTGTTTCCTGCTTGACGACACTGACGAGTCAGTGTTGTATCGGAGACGACCTTGAAACCGAAAACTCTGTGATTCTTGTTGTTTTGCGCGCCGTCATCATTCATGTACCCACCCTGCACCGACGCCACCATGCGGCTCGCCCAGATACAGCTGAACGGGGTAATTTCGTGCTGGCTTGGCAAAACAGCGCAAAGAGATTGGCTGTCCAAGCTGATGCAAACGACGCAAAGAGATTCGCTGTTTTTAAGTTATTTCAATTGTGGCTGTTGATTCACTGATCAGTGTTTTTTCACAAGACACCCTGTTTGATTAGTGTTTCTTTTTCAACAACCCTGAGAAATCAGTGTTTCTCCCCAGGCAACCCTGATGATCAGTGTTACAGCCCCAAGGGACCCTGAGTGCTCAGGGTCACCCAAAACGAATCTGAGGCCCTGGCTTCACCTATACAGAGATAGAAGAGCTCTTTACAAAAAATGATAATTTTTAAACACATGAAGTGTTTTTTTAAATTACTTATTTTGAAAGCGCAGCTGCCTGTAACGCAGATTTTGGCATCGTCGAAGCGCGCTAAACGCCCTTCTCCAACTACAAAACGTGGGTTGGAGCTCATTTCCCTCCACCCATGCCTCTCATTTTTCAAACGGCTCTTGCAACTCTCCCACCCCCCGCCCCAACACCGACGGACACAAGTGTCGCCGCTTGGACGAATAGACGGATAGCTAGGCAATAATTGATAGCAAGTATTGTGTTTGACGGCTAGTACTATGATAGATAGGTAGGATGATGACATGTACTAGCACTTATGGTTTATAGCTCGATGAGCATGTAATTGCCAGTTGAAATGAGAACGATGCCAAATACAGTATAAGAAAGCAAGCTTTCTAAATGCTCTTTACTATGAGTCCAAACCTAGATACAGTACATGGTCCGAGAGTTATGATTGCCTCGGAGCGTACCGTATATCGAGGATACGCCATGCATGTTGCGGGTTGTGCTGTGGGGATCGGTGAGTCAGCTTGGTGGATCGTCCCCTTTTTAGTCGGCTGGAAAAAAAACTGAAGTACAAGTGTAGTTGCTCCCTGAAATGTTCTTTTGTTGCCAATATCTTTTCTGCTGTGCAGTACAGTATTAACTCCGCGATAGGCAAACACGAAACGGAGGCAGACTAAAAAATCGACGGAAACATAAACAGGTAGTGGGTTCAAAATTCTGACAGGCCTTTTGACGGAAACAGAGCGATTCCTACAGTGAGCCATAGTGAGTGGATGTCATGCGACGCGAACCTGTCGAATCTCGTGGAAAAGCGTGCGCTAAGGTGATTCCACACGCTTTGCTGACCAGGAATGGTCCCACTTTGTCTCCCACACACTTTGCTGACCCAATCATCCTGTGCCTCTGGAAATTTCGTACGAAGGCCGGAAGATGCTGTCTTCCCCTTCGCATGCATGTTGCAACAACTCATTTGGTAAACTCATTTGGCCAATCAAACCCGCTTCCCATGTACAGCGAGGCAAGTTTTTCACATGCCAGCTTTCCGCGGAAGCTGCGAAAGTGTTCTTTGTGTCGCTTGGCCCCTTTGTGGTTGCCTCCACATGATCCAACCAAAACTTCCCCTTGTTGCCACAGCCAGCGCCTCTGTACAGTCTTGGATTATCATAACTGGATATGGGTAATCTCCAGGTTACCTTCACCACGCAGCGGTCCATTTTGGAGGTGTTGTTTATTATTTGAGGTGCTGTTTAGTATTTGAGGTATTGAAGGGATGTACAAGGACGCGAGAAAATGTCACCGTTGATGCTTTGTTAAACAAATCAAATGTTTAGGTAGAACAGGATTGGTTGGAATGTCATATTTTGCGCTCTTGGGATGAACTGCCAGACACCTGTGCCTTCAGCTGAGATTCCCCTTCCACTGGTGGCGTTCGAGGCTCGTTTTGTCCAAACACGTGTGGCCACACGTCCTGATAAGAAAAGGCGAGAGCGGGAAAGGGCGGGCGGATGGAAGGCGAGTGCGTGGGGTGGAGAAAGAGAGAGAGGTGGGCGGAGGACGCAGCTTCAGGTCGGGGTCCAAGGCAACATTTGTGAGCACGTGGGTCATTGTGTAACGAAGTGTTAGCGTTTGGATGTGTGGTACGATAGGGTGTGGATGTCCTACAAGTTAAGATTTTTTAAAGGTAATGTACGAACAGCCATCCGCAAAAGCACTTGGTCAAAAAGTTTGTTCGAACAAGCGAGTAGGGCATCAAGTGCTTCAGTTGAATCAATCTACACCTTCAAATTGCTAGACAGCAGAGCCACCACAGCAAAGCGTTGATGGAATACAGTACGAGGTTTGTACTAAGCGTCACAATTCAATAGCTAACCTATGCTTTCAGATTGTTTTTGGAACTTGGTGTCACAACCATAAAATACAGGGTAGCCTAGATCAGGTTAGTAGTCAACTCCTCCCCGCAGTCCAGATCGAGCCTCGCCTTACCAGGTTGGTCGGGATAGCCCTGGTCAGCCGAGCCGCTATCATGGCTTGTGGTGTTTCCTTCTCCTTCGAATCGCTAGACACTAGCGCCACCCCACAAAGGGCGTTCTTGACTGCCTACACCCGCGCCTGCAGACAAGCTCAGGTCATAATTCAAACATGGTAAGCTACTTAAATCATCTCTGCGTCAGTGAAAACCAGAACAGTATTGTTGAAGGCTTCATTTTCCATCAAAATATTGTTTTCCTGACCATTAAGTTCCATCACAGGTTCCAAACGTTCGAAAATCGAACGTTTACGAGAATGCCGAGTATCTAGTGTACTCCCTTACCTGACCCTTCACCACCATCCGTCTCCAGCGTTCGTCCGAGGTCAAATAATGTACAAATCCTCGGGTACAGCAAAGCAAAGTTAGAACAATCTGGAAATTTCGCCCCCTCATTCCTCACGAGAGTGACTCTTCGGCGCAGCGAGCAGAGACTGCTGCTGACATCCGACGTTATTCTTAGGTACCCTCAGTACTCCGCAGGGAGTCCGCGGCGCACTTTCGTGAGTTGCCGCGACTGTCGAAAACTTCTCTTCAATTGTAATCGACAGGCGCGCAGCGCACAGCAACGAGATCTCAGATCTCGAGGTGCGATCCGCCACCCCGATCGAGCCTTACATTGCTCCTCGCCTTCACCGTCTCGTCCGCTTCCTCGCCAACGACCACTCACGCCGTCGCCATGTGCCCCGGAGGCGCTAACGCCGGGTTACCCATACATTCGCTACTCTTCGCCAACTCGATCTTCGAGGATCTCGAGCCCGCGCTGGCCGCGGAATCGGTGCATTGGCCGGATGCCCCATCATCCGGCGCTCCCCGCGCGCCGCCCAAGTTCTCCGCGGGCGGCTGGTCGCGCCTGACTCAGGCGCTAAGCAACAGCCGCGCGCTGACGCCGACGCAGAAGAACTGGGACGTGAAACGCGACGGAAAGCGGGGCGTCGCTGGAGCCGGAGCCGCGCGGACCTCCAAGGCACTGCCGTCGAAGTCAGCCGCCGCCTCCAAGCCGCGATCAGCTTCACTTTCGCCGCCGTCATTCGGCCGTGCCGACCCTAAAACGGACGGCGAACCGGCGCTCCTTCTGCTTCCTGATGGCTCCGTCCAAATCGTCACGTCGCCCCATTCTGTCGCCGAGTCGCGTAGCCCAAAATTGGCTGGCGACGCGGCCGCCGCCGCGAATGACGACAGAAGGAAGCCCACCCGCGCAAGCGACGTGCTTCAAAATCACCCGGGCTACCAGGTGGGGTCGCTGACGTCATCCAATAGCTTCCTCCGCCCGCAGCAAGTGATGAAGCCTGGGCACGTGTACTTCCTCCAGCCGCCTCAGGCTCCGACGAACGCCGCCGCGCTTCCAGCTCCCGATGTCAACGGAATCAATCCAGGCGACGACGAGAGTGCCTCTGCCGCATTGACCTTACAACGAGACAGCGCTACTAACGCGGATCATGGCGCGGCTGCGATGCAAATTGAGGCGGAAGAGCACGCCCTGGACGATGTGACTATAACGGAGGAAGGGCTGATGGCGAGCATTCTCGGTAGCACGTACAAAATCTCAGAGACCAATGTGGTTACCCGGACCCTCTCGAACAACAACCCCACCATCACTGCTAGCAGGAGCTGCGACACCAACACCTGCACCGGCACCAGCACCAGCACCAACACTCGCACTATGAAAAGAAATGCTTCAATGGGGGAGAGATACTACTCGAGCACAGCTTCATCTTCAGCAGCATCGTCTGCGACTTGCTCCCCGTCACTGCTCCCGGGATCACCAAGCCTACAGCCTCCTCTCCTCTCCCTCGACCGACGCAACCTCTCCCCCTCCCCCATTCCATCCCTCTACCGCACTCCCTGCGCCTGCTGCAGCGCCAAACGCCCCACCACCCCCACATCCCACTTCTCCCCAGCCCTCACCCACTCGCTCACGCTCTCACCCACCTCCTCCGCTGCCACGAATTCCACGTTCCAATCGCCCATGCTCTCCCCCAGATGCCCACCCTCCCCGCCATCCCCATCGCCATCCCTTCCTTGTCCAACTGGATGCACCAGCCGTCCAAAAGCCGGCAATTTCTTCGCGGTTCCAGAAGACGTCAGCTTCCAATTGGACAGTGCTGCCGCCCAGATATTTGCCGCTGCCGCCCAGGAGCGCGCGCCCTCGCCGTTGATGCACCGCGGCTGGTGCACGGCCGGGCGGAGCATCCACCCCCAATTCTCATCCGGCGTTGGCTGTAACGAGTGTGACAACGACGCAGGTGCTACAAAGCGGAGCTACAGTGCAAGATACACTGGCGTTAAACTTGCAACCAGCACTGGATTTGTCTATGGCAGAAGCAGCACGAGCGGCAGTGACAGCAGATTCGACAACAATGGCAGCAATGGCATTATTAGCAACAGGCACAGGAGAAGCTACTCCCGAGGGCTTGAATCCACAGATCAACAGGGCGAGGAGAACACGTTTGAAAGGGGACAAGCGCAACGCCAGCACAACCCCTTTAGGTTGCGTGGAAGGCCTGTGGTCACTGTTGAGGACATGGTGTTTGGCCGCATGGGACCAAGCTTGGCTGATTGAATGGCAAACCTAAGCCATGGCCCCGCGTGTTCGTTCCTGGTTTGTTTGTGTTGTTGTAGATCGCTTGTAGTATGAAGAGAGAGGACGTGCTTTGTTCCCCTTGGATAGTCAAAACTTGAAAAATAAAATAAATTTGGAACTTACCTTGCTGTGAGCACCTTGCTGTGAGCGGACGAGCAGCCAGGGGCCTCATCTCAATGATGAATGATCCAAAAACAGCTGGAGAGAGGGCAGTGAAAAAGTATTTGAAAATGAGAAGTGAGCGGATGTAAGGGATTAGGTAAAGAAGTAGTAAAAGCCACATCTCCATGCGCTGTCATTTTCCTCTCCCTTCCCCACCCTCAGACTCTCTACATACATCCTCCTTCCTCGCCCTCGATCTTCCCCCTTCCCCCCTCCCTTCTGCCCACTCCCCTCTTCCCCTCTTCCTTTTTTCCCTTCCCCCTTCCCCGTTCTCCCTCCCCCTCCCCCCTCTCCTTAACCTGATCCACAAGAGGCCATGAAAGGAAAGGCCATCTTGCCTTCCTCAAGCCCGTCATGCTTCGTAGTAGGCTCCTTAGCATGGTGAGCTTTTCTAGGCACGAGCGTACAGCAGCGAATGTCGTGGTGAGCCTCGCGACGAAGGGGAGTTAAGGCGGAAGAGAGAAGCAAGCACCCTGGAAGGGGACGCAATCCGTTCAAACTGGCATAGATCCGACCGAACTGATCTACGATTTCCGATTCACAAATGTTCCAGTTAGATCCAACTGATCTCCGATCTACGAATGTTGTAGATTACTCATATAGTATTCAATGTACAACGGAACCTCGACCCAATCCGCGAGTCCTTTCCATGCTCGGCCATCTAGCCACAGTGATCCACTGACGACTTTTCCCCGAAGCGTTGTATCGCGAATCATAGGTCACGAGCTAATACGGCTGGAAGCAGAGATCGTTGTGCTCATGTTCGGCACACGGCTTCTTATTCTTTTTCTACGGCTAAGAATGTCGGACACGGGACGGGATAACTAGATTCAGACAACGACGGATCCGTGGAGCTAATGGAGCGATGAACGCTACCGTGGACAGCGATAGCTTCAGTTTGGGGTAGGCGTGACAGCATAGCCTTCGGATTCTGATGATTCCCGCCATTCATTGACTGGATCAAGGCGATCCGACAAGATCGGTGGTGGATTGGTCTGGAGGAGATTGGGGGAAAATATGTCACAAGTAACGAACTTGGGACTTGATAACGTAAATGGTACAAAAAAAACGCGTACGGTCACTGTATCGGGTTTCCTGACGGGTTTGGTAAGTGGGGTCACGGATTCAGTCATTAACAACAGGTAAAAAATCACGCGAATGGTCACACATGTAACTCCCGCCAAAAAAACTTGAAACTCAACAAAATTCCCGCTCGCCCCCAACCAATCTGCGAACTTGTAAAAAAAACTAAAACCCAATCGGAATCGGATGCGGTTCGGGAACGGATCAACCCTAAACACCTGGCTAGTTACGTGTTAGGGTTGATTAATCCGAAAATGCACCCAGATTCTTTTTGGGTTTCATTTTGTTTTGGCGGGAATTTCATCTGTGACCATTCGCGTTTTTTTTTACCAGTTGATTGTGACTGATTCCGTGAAACTCTTTATCAGTCGCGTGAAAACACCCTTTGCAGTGACCGTACCCTTTATTTTTTTACCAACTGTGTTATCGAGTCCCATGAAGGTTACGAATGGCATATTTTCCCGGAGATTGGTATTTACAAATTGAATAGCTACACGCTCCTCACATATTGCGTGTAGTAAGGACATTGAAAAATCCTTCACTCACCACATTCTTTGCCCATTACCAGCCCATTATTCTTTGCTGCGTACCCATCTTTACCAAGCCATGTATTTCTACAAAATTTAATGAACCTACGCATCTGGAAAGGTAATAGCCTTGATTCCTACATAGCATAGCCTAGCTCACATAACTTGGTACCAAGACGCATTACTGAGGATTTCTCTTGTACACCGACGGGAGCAGAACGAATATGGCTAAAAAAACGGCAAATTTTATGCTCAGCCAGGTTCTGTCACACCTTAAATGCCCAAGGTTGCTTATCTTGGTAGTGGCTAGTGAGACCACCAAAGTTCAACATAGCATTAGGGTGATGGAATTTTTAGTTTGTGTGTATTCATTGTGCTTAGCAAAGCTTCTAAAAGGATTAAACTGTGTGTTGTGAGACGGCCCGTAATGTAGGGAAACGAAGGGCGCGGTGTTCTACAGCAACAGCGGTCGTGATTCATCCACGGCAGCATGATGTGGACATTGATTGGGGCAGACGTGTCCAACAGCACTTTTCCATGGGGCATCCCACTGTTTCCGCAGATACCAACAAGGATATATTTAATACAGATAAGGCCGTTGGATCTTAACAGCCTATCAAATGACGTAGAGCTTCCAACAAGGCAAGTTCAAATGCAGTGTGCTTTCCAGCGCACCTTAGCTGGATTCGATTCACATGTTCCGCTTCGTCGTGACGCACAACCAGCATCTGGTGACTGGCATTTTCCTCTGGCAGTTTTTCCCCTTCCAACAGCCCGACAGAAGTGCTTTCCACCGCTGTTTCCGCTGTCCCTCTCCGCAGATGCTGCCATTTCTAGTGGAAGAATAAAGTTGTCGGCAGGTAAGGCGTGTTCGAAGAAACTTTTCATATCCTTTGACGTCGGGGCCTCGACGTCAACCGGCGTCAAGGTCGACGTCGATTTGGCGTCGACTGTGGCACTTTGAACACATTGCCGGCGACGAACTGTCACTCAGGACAAATGCCGGCCAGAACAGTCAAACAAGTGAATTCAGACCGTTGAACAATTGAATTGTGAGCGTTGAACAATTGAATTGAGACCAAAACTGAAATCGCAAAGTTTTTTCATGCTCGTTGTTGTGCGTCTATTGGCTGCGAAAATTGAAAAACGAGTTGTTATATTTCGCAGTGCTCGAAATTACCAGTCGAGCCAATCTAGAATTTTGTCTGACGTGGTATGGCCATCCTTGTACAGATGCGCTCAATCTTTCTATTTTGACCGTTTCTGCGCCCGAATCATTGCACAATTCCGTACAAACGGCAATGCTGGCGTCAGCATTTTTTGAAGCGCACTTTGAACACGGAAATGGCACCCTTCAGCCCACCTACCTTCTTCAACAACCTCGACGAAGTTCGACGTCGGAAACCCTGCAGCACTTTGAACACTCTTTAAAGCGAGTGCGACGGTGGAGCAGGAGCGACGGAAGGTTCAGCTGCGTTAGGAAAGTCGAGATGATGGGAGGGCGGTGTCGTGTCAAAACGGTAAAGGCGTGACGCACGCACGTGCCCATTCAAGCGAATACAGAACTGTACGGGGGATGCTGCCCGTCAGACAAATGTACAATTTACCCACACACACACAAGGATAGAAACACACCAAAACGCAGCGGAACTTGACGTATAGTGTCACTTTACAGTACGTATGTATTCTTTTGACTGATCGAGAAAAGTCTGTGCTCTGTGTCGGACAAGCTTTTCGCCCCAGCTTGAGTTACGGAAACGAACCTCGTGTCACAAAAACCACGACGCCAAACCAAACAACCAAACCAGCAGACCAAAAACACGAGCCGCCACAAAACAGTACCACCGCGATAGCATCATTCCCCCTGACAAGCGAACTGTCACAGAATGTGATGTGCTTGCGCTACACCAGACAGTCCAACAGACAGGAAAGATATTTCCAACGCTTTGGTGAACTTTATACCCCCGCCCAGATGCCCACACAATCAAACCACTCGTAATTTGCTGATCTGAGGAACGAAGCTTGGCTCTGACTTTCATAGGCGTAGCTCGTTACCGCTGCTAGCGGCGACGCAACCCGGAGGGAGGGAGACCTCTGCCGCGAAGTTCGCGGCGCAAGAGTCTCCTATTAACCCTTCCTGTGCTTCCTCGATCCCAAAGCTCTGCGTTGTCAGCCTCTGCTTTCTCCGTGGTAAAACCCAATCATCATCTTGAAAATTCCGAAAATAGCCGAGTATTTCAACAGCTGGTTGCTCCAGTGATAGCCGCCATGTGCGTAGCACGCGACGACTCCAAAGTGGCTCCGGGGTCCTCTTCGCCAATTTTCGCCAATTCCACCTTCGCGACAGCTTCCGACCCGGAACGGCGGACATTCAGCGCGGCTTCGGTCGTGAACGCGGAATCGGCGCAGTCTCTCGCACCGACACTCTCCGCCGGATGGTCGCGGCTGACGCACGCGCTCAGCGCCAGTCGCGCGCCGAGCAGCACTCGCACAGGCGGCGCCGCTGAAACGCCGTCAACCTGCGGCACTGCCGGATCGCCGCGGCGGGAGCCTTCGAAGGACGCGGAGCCGGCGCTTCTTCTGCTTCCTGACGGCTCCGTCCAAATCGTGTGCTCTTCGCAGCCCTCCGCACACAGCCAGACTCGCACTCTCACTCCGAAAAAAAACACCAATGGCTCCCGAGACTCGTCCCGCGTCGCGGCTTCGATGGACAGCAATTCAATTCCCGGCAATTTGGCTCCCAGCAAGTCAATGGAGTCAATTCCCCGCGGCAGTGATGCTCGGAGGGCCACGCGCGTGAGCGACGTGCTTCAGGATCACCCGGGCTGTCAGGTAGGCTCGCTGACGTCATCGCACGGCTTCCTGCGCCCGCAGCACGTGTTAAAGCCCGGCCACGTGTACTTCCTCCAGCCGCCCCTGGCGCTCCCGGCCCCCGATGATCATGGAACCTCTGTTTCCGGTAATGGTGACGCTGACTTCGGCGGCGGCGGTGGCTCTACAACGCTGCTTGTCCAGAACGTGGATGCTTGTAACGAGGATGATTTTAATCACGGGCGTCGTCTCCTGGAGGACGTGGTTGGAAGCTTCTCCGGGAGCTCGGGCAGAAGGTCCGAATCTGACGTGGCGAGGAGCAGCGGGAATTCTGCTGAAACTGAGATAATTTCAGTGTCTGCACGCTCATTTGATTCATTCTCAACGCTCTCCGCGGGCACTGCGGGCACATCAAGCGTGCAAGACGCACTCTTGCTGGCCCCGTTTCCCTCTTCATCCCTCTACCGCACCCCATGCGCCTGCTGCAACGACGGTCTGCGCTCCGCCTCCACTTCACACTCCGCCGCTCACTCCCTCACCCACGCTCACTCCCTCCCACACTCTGTATCTTCGGCCATGCGTGCTCCATCCCCATCAGCACTTTCCCCCATGGCCCCAACATCCCCATTCGCTGAATCACCCCGCCGCCCTTCGCGCTCAACCAGAGGCCACAGCCGCCTAGGACAAAAGAATGCCACCACTGTCCCAGAAAATCCCGGACATCCCGCCTCTGCCACCGCTGCTGCTACCCACACATTCACGTCTGCTGCCGCCCAGGAGAGCTGCTCTTCTCACCTGATGCACCGAGGCTGGTGCGCGGCAAGTCGCGGCGCGAACCTGGAGCTCTGGACTGGCATGTCTGGCACGTCTGGCAAGAGCTGGTTCAACTGCAACAGCAACACGGGTGCTGCGGCTGCTATGGAGAATCACCAGGCCGTTTTTGAAGCTCTGGAATCACCCAGCAGCACTCCGGCCAGGAAATTCGGCGGCGGCAGCGGCAGCGGTAACAGCAGCACCAGCAGCAGCAGCAGCAGCATCAGCAGCATTGACAACACCAGTAACCAGCAGATGAGACGTGTACCATTCTGCGTGCGAGGGAGGGCGGTGGTCACTGCAGAGGACATGGTGTTCGGCCGTGTCGGACCCACCGTGGCCTAAACGCACTCATGAGGTATATTGTCAGTTCGCCTTGCATTGATTTTCACCAGGGTGCGCCAGTTGATGGATTCGTGAACAAGAGATCCTGGATTGATGCAAAGGCGCTCTGGTTCCATTCTGCCTGAGCTCTGATAGAAGCGCGGCTTAGAGTAGCTTCATGGTTTGATGGTTTGCTGCTTTCAACCATAGCCATGTAATGCTTTGCCAGTAAGGTAGTTTGAATCGTGGCCTGCTTTAGTTTTTTGTACACATGGAATAGATCAATGGTGGTAAAGAACACAGTGCTCCTTTTGCTGACTCTGGAAAAACATCCATACTGGCCAGGGTAAAAATTAAGGTTCCCTTAACCTTCAGCAGCAAGCCCAATCCAAAACCATGTACCGTATTGGTAATTGAGAATCATCACACAGTGCAGTAACATGACAGCGTACTGACCGCATCGCAGCATGGTGTGTAAAGGGAACTCTGTTTGACACGTGCAGAAGGGTCATTGGCCTTAGATTGACCTATAAAACAACGCTGAGATTCCAACGAGGCAAGTTCAGTTCTGCCGCGGTGTGCTTTTCAACGCACCCCGGCTGGGCTCGAAGCTAACGGTCTGCCCCAAGAAACGCTTGCTGACGAAACAATGAGCTGATTGGGAAGTCACAATGGTAACTTCCCCTGACGAGATGGCTGGATGCTCTAAGAAACGCTTGCTGCGTAGTGGAGAAAATGAACAAAAAAACCACAGAAGTCCGCAACGACAAATACACCCACCCCACTGCACGTGACACAGTATGCCCGCCCACGAGACTTATAATATGCTGCCCTGCCGGCGAGCTCGCGCACGAATCGGCACGCTCAAGCCAGCTTGCAGCACGGAATGATGCAAGGAGCCGAACCTCCTGTACCGGGCCTCCTGTCCCGGGCCTCCTGCGCCGGGCCTCCTGTGCCGGACCTCCTGTCCCGGGCCTCCTGTGCCGGGCCTCCTGTACCGGGCCTCCTGTGCCGGGCCTCCTGTCCTCCTCCTTTCCTCCTTGTCCTCCTGTCCTTGTCCTGGCTGTTGTAGCATTCGCTCTGACAGCCGGCTGTCAGTAGGTGTAGCACGGAGGACTGGAACGCAGCGTGGGGGGCGGGAGACCGTCTCATGCCACCGCGAAGGTTTCCTATTTACGCGATCTTCCTGTGCTTCCTCCTCCTCCGAGGAGTCAAGCCTGTTTGTCAAGCCGCTTGAAAGCTCTGCGTTGTCAGCCCGCATTCTCCCGCAGAAAATTCTTCGACAATTGCTGCGTTATCCATCCATTCCAATTCGAAGCATTGCGGGGTTTCAAAAAATCCTTTGAGTCGAAGTGGCCGCCATGTGCCGCGCACACGACGACACCAGATTGGCTCCGGCTTCTTCGCCAACTTTCGCCAATTCCACCTTCGCGACGGCTTCCGACGGGGAGCGGCGGACCTTGGTCTCGTCCTCGGGCGCGCCGAGTGCGGAGCCGCGGCCTCTCGCGCCGAAATTCTCCGCCGGATGGTCACGGCTGACGCGCGACGTGCTGAGCGCCAATCGCGGCTCGCCGAGCAGCCGCGGCGCGCGAAGCCGCACGCAGCGGCAGGAGCCCGAGTCGAAGCACGTCTCGCCGTCCTTGAAGTAAGAACCGGCGCCGCTCCTGCTGCTTCCAGACGGGGCCGTCCAAATCGTGCCAGTGTGCTCGTCGCGGCAGGCCAAGACGTCTTCCGCAACGGCACACAGCCGGACTGACAGTCACACTCGCTCCCTAGGCGCGGGGAGGAGGAACACCAATGGCGCCCCGGGCATAGATCCATCTCGCGTTGCGACTTCGACGGACATCCATTCAATTCCCGGCGATTCAGTTCCAATTCCCCGCGCCGGTAATCATAATGCGGGTCCGAGGGCCACGCGCGTGAGCGACGTGCTTCAGGATCACCCGGGCTGCCAGGTGGGGTCACTGACAGCGTCATCGCACGGCTTCCTGCGCCCGCAGAACGTGTTAAAGCCCGGCCACGTTTACTTCCTCCAGCCGCCCCTGGCGCTCCCAGCTTCCCATGATGATGGAACCGCTTTTCCTGGCCTTGGTGACAGTGGGTATTCTGCTGACATTGAGATCAGTTCAGTGACTGCTACATGCTCAGTCGATCCGTGCTCAACGCTCTCTGCATTCTCCGGTCCACTCTCAGCGCTCTCGCCGCTCTCAGTGGGCACAGCAGGCGTGCAAGTCCCATTCTCCCTGTCCCCTTTCCCCTCTTCATCCCTCTACCACACTCCCTGTGCCTGCTGTGGAAACGGCGATCATCGTACCACTGGCTCTTCTTCACACCCCCCCCCACTCCCTAACCCATGCACACTCCCTCCCACCCTTCGTATCTGCTGACTCACCGTGCCGGCCAATCAGAGGCCACAGCTGCGCTCCTGCCAGGAGGTTCGGCGGCGGCAGCAGCAGCAGCAGCAGCAGCAGCATCAGCAGCAGCAATAGCAGCAGCAGCAGCAGCAGCAGCAGCATCAGCAGCAGCATTAGCAGCAGCAGCAGCAGCAGCATTAGCAGCAGCAGCAGCAGCAGCATCAGCAGCAGCATTAGCAGCAGCAGCAGCAGCAGCATTAGCAGCAGCAGCAGCAGCAGCAGCAGCAGCATCAGCAGCAGCATTAGCAGCAGCAGCAGCAGCAGCAGCAGCAGCAGCAGCAGCAGCAGCAGCAGCAGCAGCAGCAGCATTAGCAACATCGGCAGCATCGGCAGCGACAGCCAACAGACGAGGCACCAGTTTGGTGGGTGCTATCCAGTGGAGGAAGTACAGGAGAAGGGCCGCGTGCAGAAACACGACATACAGGAGAAGAGACGAGAGCAGAAACACGACATACAGGAGAAGAGACGAGAGCAGAAACACGACATACAGGAGAAGAGACGAGAGCAGAAGCACGTACCATTCCGCGTGCGAGGCAGGCCGGTGGTCACAGCAGAGGACATGGTGTTCGGCCGTGTGGGGCCCACTTTGGCCTGAATTCACACAGATCATTTCACAACAGATATATGCCTATCGAGTCCAACGGCGACAATTTGTGGGACATGACATGATGTATCACTTCGCCTGCATTGGCTATGCCAAGGGTGATCGATTGCGGGATTCATGAACAATAATTGCTGGATTGGCAGGCAGGGGACAGCTTTGGCTCTGACCTGAGCTGCAATTGAAGAGTATCCACAAGTGTCCTCATGATTAGATGGCTTGATGCTTTGCTCTAGTTTTATTTGTAGTCATATTTTGCCTGTTTGTGGAAGCAGGGTTGCTTCATTATGTGCTTTTGTCAGCTTGGGATGATGGCAGTAGCGCCAGCCTGTTGTGCCAAGTCCCATTCTTTATTATTTTCTTTGTTTGTTCTGTGCATAATATTATGCTGATGCCTTCCCTCCGAACCGAATGCCTTCCATCTCGTGCTAATGCCTTCCATCTTGCACATCTTGCATCCTCCTGTTTCTATTCACTCTCCTCCCTCACCTCAACTTGTGGCCAATCTCAGGCTCAGATACCCAACCCAATCTACCCAAGAAGCAAATTTACGGTGCAGAATGCTCATGAATTGGGCAGTCCATGAGCTGGGCCTACCGTAATTACCGTAAGCATACGATTCCGGAATTACAACCGTATGAGATCGATTACTGAACCTTCCTCAATGTATCCCTTCCTCCACATCCTCACTCGCATCACGCCCCGCTTCCTCACTCGCCCCTTCCCCCCCAAACACCTTACCCCATGCAAGCAGCGCCTTGGCTGCTCCATCTCTCTTCGCCTCCGCCACTGTCGCCCCCATGCCTGTGCCCATCCTCCTCCCGGCCGCATACACGCGCACTCTCTCTGTAACGTGGGGCGTGCGCGGGTTGTCTGTCCCTGTGTGCCTGTGCTCACGTGGTAAGAGGTGGAAGGGGGAAGTATGAACGAAAATATTGGGGCAGGGGGGAGGGGAATGTTCATGCCCATCCTCCTCCCCGCTGCATACACGCGAACTCTCTCCGTCACGTGTGGCGTGCGCGGGTTGTCTGTCCCTGTGTGCCTGCTTGCGGAAGTGAGGCAAGGTGGCGAGGGGGAAAGGTGGAGAGAGGGCAACGGGGCGAGGGGGCAAGGGGGCGAGGGGAAAAGGGGCGAGGGGGCAAGGGGGCGAGGGGAAAAAGGGGAGAGGGGGCAAAGGGGCGAGGGGAAAAGGGGGCGAGGGGGCAAAGGGGCGAGGGGGAAAATGTATGGTTAGTCAGCTTAGGCACCAGTGCCCGAGAAACAGTGAGACAGTCTGCTTCAAAAGAAATGAGCAGGCACTGAACCCAACCCATGAAGCGGTGGAGTCTGTGGCCCAGGGAAGCCCAGACTCCTCGGTGGTGTCTCCACTCAAAGAGTACCTGTATTGTGGGATACCTGTATTGTGACTTAGAAAAGAAAAGTCCACTCAAGCCTACCGATAGTGCGGGACGAACCCCAGGTGCCGGATGGGCATGCCCTGCAGACCAGCCATGGCAAATGGAGAATGGCTTTCCCACGCACGGAGGTGTGTTCACTCACACGTACCGGTATTGAGGGACGAGCCCCAGGTGCCGCAGGGACATGTCGTGCAGACGAGTCACCGGGTCACTCTGCTCTGAGGACTCCACTCTGCTCGTCACTGCCGCATCATCCACCCTCCCATCGCCCATGCTCACATCGCCCACGCTCGCATCGCTCCCTCCGCCTTGCTGAATGTGCTGCAACCGCTGCAGGTGTTCATGCCTGCCTTCTTGCCTGCTTCCTTGCCCGTGTGCTTGCCCGTGTGCTTGCCCGTGTGCTTGCTGATACTGCTGCCCAAACTCCAGCGCCTGTGTGAGTGGAGCAGAAGCAGTGCGGGAGTCCACTAAGGAGGGCAGCAGGCGGGTGACAAAGGCTGACGCTGCTTCCAGGCCCTGATAGGGGGGGGGGATGGGGAGGGGGAGGGGACAGGGAATGGGGGGGGGGGAAGGGAATGGGGAGGGGAAGGGGATGGGGAGGGGGAAGGGAATGGGGAGGGGACAGGGAATGGGGAGGGGACAGGGTCGGGTAAGGGGACAGAGAGGGGGAAGATGGCGGGGAGGGGGAAGGGGTCACAGTGAGTGGAAAGGGGGTCGATGAGGGATGGGGATAGGATGGCAGGGCATGCGTGTTGAGTGGGCCAACAAGTGCGGGAGTGACGGGCACGTATGCAACAGGTTGAACGCATGGTAGTTCTGGGTGGTGTGGGAGGGGCTTTGGTGGAGGCAAATGAAACCACCGACCTCCTGATGCCCAATCAGCAACGGTGATGAGCAAGCAGTGCTGTCATGTCAGCTTAGTAGATTTCTCGCTTTGAGGGTGGTGTGAGGGTGAAGTGAGGGTAGTGTGAGGGTACACTAACCTTTTCTGCGTATACTGCGCCAACAAGTGCCTCCATTGTACAGGCAACTAACGAAGACTGCAGTAAAGGGTACAAATGGGATGACGAACAAACACAAAGCAGGAAGACAGTCTATATATCGAGCGAAAAAGAAGATGTGCTGTTCCCTACAGTACCTCTGCTTAATCCCATGCTACCATCACACCACTACCACTGAGTAATACCAGTGTTCTTACCCAGTGACCTTTTGACGGTACTAGGAGTGAAACCACTCGACACCAGTCAGTCCCTTCTCCTAGTAACGTCAAAAGGTCAACATGTCAGGGTAAAAATACATGATAACTTCAGATGCAACCATCACATGCCCCCACCCACACCCATACCCACAACCACAACCACACCCCCTCCACCCCCACCCACACCCACACCCACACCCCCCCAAACCCATCCCCACCCCCACCCCCACCCCCGCCCCCACCCCCACCCCCGCCCCCACCCCCACCCCCACCCCCACCCCCACACCCCCCACCCGCACCCCCACCCCCATCCCCATCCCCCAGCATACCTCCACCGTGTCCCCCCCCGTAGGCATGACCCGTTTGCCCTGCATGAGCAGCGCATCTGAGAAGCTCAGCATGGCTCCCCGCAGGCCCAGCACCCCCCCTCCTATGCCCGCCAGACTCCTGTTGCTCACCTGGCGCGGTGGGGGTGGGGGGGGGGGAGAGGGACAGGGCGGGGTGGCAGGAAATGGGGGTAGGGGGACAGGACGGAGGGGGACAGGGGGGGGGAAGGGGGACAGGGTGGGGGAGGGGGACAGAGTGGGGGAGGGGGAGAGGGTGGGGGGGGGGGGGAACAGGGGTGGGGAGGGGAACAGGGTGGGGGAGGGGAACAGGGGGGGAAAGGGAAAGAGGATAGTATGTGAGTCACATTAGAAATATCTCAACACTAGTGGGGGTGAGGGGCAGGAGGGAGGGGAAAGGGGGTCGGGAAGGGAAGTAGGGCAGGGGGCTTGGGTGGGGGACAGGAAAGGGAAGGGGGACAAGATGGGGAAAGGGGAATGGACGGGGGGTTCAGATCACACACATACAAGCGACCTGGAAACTCAAAGGTTAAAAAGGTGACTTTTGAGTCGACTCAAAATGACCTTTGAGCTGACTAAAAGATGCAGACGCCACGCATACAAGCAATCTGGGGACTTGCCTGATGAGTTAAGGGAATGCGCAGAGGGGTGGAGAGTTTGAGAGAGATGGAGATGCTACGGTGGAATGGGCTGGGGGAGGAGGCGGGGAGGAGGTATGGTGAGGATAACAAAGACGGGGTGTGGAGGGGGGTGAAGGGAGGCAGGGAGGCAGGGAAGCAGGGAGGGAGGGAGGGAGGGAGGGAGGGAGGGAGGGAGGGAGGGAGGGAGGGAGGGAGGGAGGGAGGGAGGGAGGGAGGGAGGGAGGGAGGGAGGGAGGGAGGGAGGGAGGGGAGGGAGGGAGGGAGGGAGGAAGGGAGGGGAAGGGAGGAGGAAGGATACGAAGCAAGGGAGGCAAGGGGGCGAGGGAAGATGTGCAAGTACGCATGGGAGCAGAGAGGGGTCATGACGAGCGAGAATTGAAGAGACAGAATCGACAAGAGAATCAAATAAAGGGGATTGAAGCAATGGGGGAGAGGAATTGAGGGGTGGGGAGAGGGAATTGAGGGGTGGGGAAAGGGTATTGAGGGGTGGGGAGAAAGGGGCTTGAAGAGAGGGAATGGAAGAGAGAGAATGGAAGAGAGGGAATGGAAGAGAGGGGCTTACAAGCTTGTCTTTGCGAGATGTGAGATCGCCCTGGTGGGCATAGTGTGGTGTGGTTGGTGGATGGGATGGGATGGGAACAAGTGAGTGAGCTAGAAGAGAATTTTAAATCCAGGCCAAAAAGCGGTAGGTGCTAGAGCGTCTAAAACAAGCAACAGATGAAAGCACAGAGGGGGGTGGTGGTGGAGGGGGGGGAGGGAGGGGAGGGAGAAAAGTGGCAGTTGTTAGAGCGTCTACAACAAGCAACAGATGACAGCAGAGAGGGGGGTGGGGGGTGGTGGGTGGGGGGCGAGGGGGGAGAAAAGCGGCAGTTGTTAGAGCGTCTCAAAAAAGAGCAACAGATGAAGGTTCGAAGTGAGAGGAGAGGAGAGAAGATGCGACGAGACGAAACGAGACGAGATGAGACAAGAGCAGGATGGAAAGGGAGAGCAGGAGAGCAGGAGAGAAGGAGAGGTGTGGCATCATGCACTGGACGGGGCACGCGCACCATGCACACAGACAGACATACCATGCACACACACACACACACACACACGCGCGCGCGCGCTCGCGCCCTCACGCGCACGTTCACCCACACCCGCACTCACACCCCCACACCCCTTCACCCAACCCCCTCTCCCCCTCCCCCATACCCCCCCTCTCCCTTCCCCCATCCCCCCCTCCCCCACTTCCCCCATCACCCCCCTCCTCTCCACACACGCACCATGGACAGAGGTGGGTGCTGCCTCACTAGATGCAGCACACAGGTGAGCGCCAGCACTGAATCCCCAACCGCCTCCAGATGTGATCGTAGCTGCGGGGATCGAGGGTGGGCGGGTGGGAGGGTTGGAGGAGGGGGGTTGGGGGGATTGGAGGAGGGGGGATGGAGGGAATGAATGAAGGAGGGGGGATGGGGGCATTACAGAGTGGTTGGGAGGATTGAGGAAGGAGGGAAAATCAGATGAGGGCAGTTGAATCGAACGGCCACAGAGGCTGTCTGCCTCACTTCCCCTCTCCTCAAACCCCATTTTGCCCTCCCCTTGCCCCGCCCTTCGCCCTGCCTCACCCCCCCTTTACTCCTCCTCACCCGGCTGTGGGCTGTGAAGTACGTGATGGGCTCGCCGGATCTAGGAGGAGGACCAGATGCAGTGCTCCTCTTGCTTTCATCTTCCCTGCTGCCGTCCTCCCTGCTGCCGTCCTCCCTGCTGCCGTCCTCCCTGCTGCCGTCCTCCCTGCTGCCGTCCTCCCTGCCGTCCTGCTGCTGCTGCTGATTGAGAGTACATTGGGCGCCAGGCATGAGCAGGTAATAGTACATGTCCTGCGTCTGGCGCGATCGGGGGAGGGACGAGAGGAACGGGATGGGGAGAGGGAAAAGACGAGCAGATGGAGCATGAGCTCCTAGCTCCAGGCATGAGATGTCCTGGGTATTAGTAGATGTCCTGGGTCTGGCGCGATGGGGCGAGGCGGGCGGGATGGGGAGAGGCGAGCGAAATCGGGAGAGGCGAGGGCGATGGGGAGAGGGATGGGATGAGCGGGATCGGGAGAGGGAAGAGTGATGAGGAGAGGCGAGCGGGATGGGGAGAGGCGAGCGAGATGGGAGAGGGACGGAAAGAGCGGGATTGAGAGAGGGATGGGAAGAGCGGGATGGGAAGAGGGATGGGAAGAGCGGGATGGGAAGAGCGGGATGGGAAGAGCGGGCTCGAGAGAGGCGAGCGGGATGGGGAGGGGGACGGGAAGAGCGGGATGAAGCAGGAGGGGAAATAGTATCAGCCCTTAGGTCTGGAGGGAAATGATAATGTAAACGCAGAAAAGAACGGAAACGCAGCAGCACTGACCAGGCATCGCAACAGCAGGTCTGGGGATAGTTGGACCCCCATCCGATGTGAGAGCTCCTGGCAGGACGGACAGCAGCAACACCGAGAGCGACAGCACAGGAGGGAGGGGCAGGGAGAAGGTGAAGGAGTGAGCGAGAGTGAGAGAGCAAGAGTTGGAGAGCGAGGGTTAGAGAGCGAGCGCGAGAGTTAGAAATTGAGAGCGATAGTTAGAGATTGAGAGCGAGAACGAAGGGGGAAAGCGAGAGCCCAAGAAGGAAAAGAGCAGGAAGGACGGAACTACTGGGAGCTGGGTGAGCATGGTGGGTGGGGGGGGGGAGGCAGACCTGACAGACCATGAGAAGGAAACACAACCGTGAGGAGAAGGTGGGGGGCCCTCCAAACTCCAGCAGGACACGCGAGCTCCATCACTTACTGCTTTTCCACTACGTACACTAACCTTTCCCCTCATCTTTTCCCCAACCTTTCCCCCCACCCTTCCCCTCACCCCACCTTGGCCCGCACCTTTCCCCCAACCGTCACCTCCCCTCTCCCAATCTCCCCCCGCGCACCTCTATTCTCTGCCAGCGGCCGGGCGGCAAGGGCAGTCTCTCGGAAATACCGTCAGGGAGGGACCACCACACGTCAGGGCTGCTGCTGCTGACGTGGAACAGCGCATTCGTGACGCCATCAGTTGGCATGTGATGAAACGCTCGAAGACGCGGGGCCGTCCTGCTGATCTTCTGCTCCTCAGGCTGCCCCATCAATCTTCGGCTCCTATAACCACGCTTGGATATTAGGTTAAATGTGGGGAACGTGTGGTGGGCTGGAACTGTTGGTGATGTGCCACGTGTCTTCATGAACTTAGCGTCTGTGCGCGAGCGCGCATTCGTAAAGTATCCTTGAATGGAACGCGGCTGTTCAGGCTGACACGTCAGGACGTGCCGTTGCCGCGTCATGCTGGCGTCAGGCATCACTGCTGCAGGTGCTATCAACGGAAGGTTCCTAAATCCTTCCTTCCACGCCGCTCGACCGCCGGTCCATACTCTATTTACGACGCATTCGACTGACAAGCCACGAGGCGCGGCCTTACATAGAATCATGGCGCGCTGATAGCCCGTCCAGCTAGTTTCTGAGTGACGATGTCGTTCAGAGTCGCGAGGAATAGGCAAAAACAGCGAAACGGCTCTTGACACGGCCAGAAGAAAGCAGATGCGAGTACCGGAATGAGGTGAGCACAAGCGGCGCCCGCGCGGTGCTAACGGAGTGATTAGGGAGCAATGAACCAGGTGCTGTGGTCTTTCATACTGATGGATAACCGGGTCACGACACGAGCATAAAGAGGTTGGGTCGACGCACTTCACGCGAAAGTCCTTCATAGATAAGCGGCCTCATACCGCAGATGGAGCTCATACTTCTGATGAAGCGCCTCGAGGATCTCAGGAGATACTACGATGTGCGAAGATTTCGAGGTTCGTGTTGCTGCATGCCCCTGATATCTATGGGACATTCCGCTAAGAACCGTTTCGACCTGCGACGTCACTGAATGACATTCCATACCAGATATATAACACCAATTTGGAGCTGGAAGTTATTGCTTCTGTCTAATGAAACCAGCTAGCAGAAAGAATGTCTACTGGTTCTGCATGCCCATCATACATTCCTCTAAAAGCAACTCAACATATTTCTGGAATTTAGCAACAAATGACTGAAGGTGGCTGTGTTCATGGGCGGACTCATATATCATGAGGTATGAAATCATAGTATTTGTAACCTGTTGCAAAATCTGCTGGTAACATTTGACTAACTTCGCATTTTCTCGTCAGCCCTGGGCAACCCGAAGCGTCTCGCGAAATTCCCCACAGTCCCAGCAACAGCGCACGACCACCCTCCCCCTCCCAGCGTCATCGCATCGCACCGACCATCACTGTTGAGCTGCTTGCGCCCTGCGTTGTTGGTTGGCTTGGCGGCGGTTGTTGCTATCACTGCACTGCTACACAGCACGCCATGGCGAATTCTGCTGTGCTTGCGTCGTGTATGGCGAATGAATGAGACAGATGTGCACAACAGGCTTCTATCACAAGCGCAATCCTCTTCTCTCTTCACCTTTGCCTCCTTTTCTACTCCTCCTGCGGCTTGATGGCGATGCGAGCCTCACTCGGATGCTCCTCCTGACGTAAGACAGCCACCTCGTTGCCTTGCCTCCCTCCTCGATCCAGTCATGTATCACGTCGCGACACGCAAAGACGAAGCAGAACGCGCAACTGCGCGCCCTGCGCGCCCTGCGCCTTCTTTCCTGCGCCCTCCCTGCCACCTGTCTTGCCGCTTGCTTCCACTGGAAGCGTGAAACATGTCCGCCTTCCCCGCTCTTCAGTCAGGAGGACCTCCGCCTGGCGGCGCTTGAGCAGGCGGAAAAAAAATATATTGCGGCGGGCGAACAATCGCGCGGCGCTTTTGAAGTCCTTCCCTCAGCCGCACAACACATCCAAACAAGATTCGTAATTTGCATTCCAGCGCCGCAATTGACGTCGCCAGGCATTCCCCGGTCAGGCAACGCTGGGGAGGTTACTTCTGGAAGGCCCATCTGTTGGGTCACGTCACGCTCACTCGCGTATGCACTGCTGTGATTCCGTAAACGGGTGTACCAACGGAAACCAGGATGTACCGTACTGTATCCGTACTGGAAGTTCCAGCTGCTGCTGCCGACGCGGCGGAGTGGCCCCCACCCGCACAGGACAGGTCACTCGAGTCGAGTCGAGGCAGCCGGAATTCCGGGAGACTGACGTGGCCGACTATTCTTTTTCGGCAAGGAGCGGTTTCGAGCACCCTCTCCGCCTCAAACCCCTTCTCCACTGCAAATGGCGTCTCTCTCTCCTCTCTCTCTCCTCGCTCGACTTCAAGATGCGACCGTTTTCCTCACCCTCTTCATTTCTGACCGGTTTTATCGACAGACAGTCCGGTTTGAGGTATTCTATGGTAGCTCGAAGGACCATTCTATTAGTATCGTCTAGCCCAGTGTTGGTCTGCCGGCGCCGGATAGCATGTCAGCAAGCTTGCTGAGCCCCTTAGAGATGAAATCAAGACCCTGACCGCGCGCGAGCTGCTGCGTAGGACAGCATTCCACCAACCGTTTGATTCCCATCCTTCTCGCAGGGTGCTTTTTGGAGGAATCCAATTTCCCGTCCCGCATAATCTTGCCAGTCGTTCCAGTCACCGGTCCGTGTTTGACGACGTTCTCGGGGTCGTTTAGTTCCTGAAGGAGCGCCTGCTACGGTTGGCGTTCCGGCGTTAAATCCGGACGGACGATGGATTTCCCCGCCGCTGACCACTTCGACATTATCACATCATCGCTGGTCCGCGATTGTCTCCTGATTAAGAATCCGGCTCGTTACGCGAAGACCGCGCCTGGACCTGCCGCCGCCGTGACTTCCGCTAACCAATCAGCTTCAATCCAAAGACATCAATTCTAACCCCTCTGTTACGTTCGAACGGGAATTGTTAGAACTGAGACGGTTGGTCTAATCCGCTAATATTGTAAGCTGATTGGTTGACATCCGGCGGTCAGATAACTTCTCAGCTAGAGCCGGACGTCAACTTGCTGACATGGCGACAGAGGATTCGTTGCCCGATTCGCCTCGATCGTCAGGTGTCTCACCTCGCTTGAAGGGCAGCCCGCGGCAGCTGCAGCGGCTTTCAATCACGCCAGCTCATTTCAGCCCGGAGGCGCGGGTTCAACTCTCGGCGCGGCTCAAAAAACTTGCAGAAGATGTGGGTGTGACGGTGGGCTCTGTGGGTGGACCAATCAGCATACACTATAGCCCAAGCTGCAGTTTCGGCGAACCCTCTCCAAGAACTGGTGTGATTGTACTGAAGGGGACGTCACAAGAGGAGCAGGGCGGTGACATGGAAGCAGGGAATGGTCACAGCAGTCATCATGTCCTTGCAACCAAGGCACCATCCGTGGGACCTACAGTTGATTGCAAGACCACAACACATCGTGATTGTATGGAAAGGCATGACTCGGGGGTTCTCAGCCTGAGCAACATGGCCTTGCTGAGGTTCACCCTCGCCCCTTCCTCTGCCGCCACCCCCTATAGTGTCACTACTGCCAGCCTCACAGCAGTCACACTCACCCCTCCTGCTGCTGCCCCTGATGCTTCACCCTCTGGTACCACTATCTCTGGAGCCACTGCCCTCTCCCAGGCCTCCCTTGCTGCTCCCTCTGCACATGTAACGACCCACGCCTTCATGCAAGCAGACTCAGACTCAGACTCTATTAGTGAATTCATCCCCACGCCTGCTGTGACTTCCTGTGGAGCAGCAGAGGGCGCTGGGAGCAAGGACGGCACCAGTCATCCTCCTCCTCCTGCGTCCCCTACTCATTCTCCTGGGGCTCACTTGTCTCTGCCGTCGCCTGCGTCTCCTTCCTCCCATTCCTTCCTCCACCGAGCATCACTCCTTAGGATACCCGACCTCAGCCGGCTCACCGCACTTGCTGCTGTCAAATCCGGTCCTGATGCTGGTTCTTCTTCTGCTGCCGCTGCTGTTCCTGTTCCTGCTGCCGGCTGTAACCCCGTCTCCGCCTCCGCCTCTACCTCTGCTCCTGCCCCTCTGTGTGTTGCTAGCACCCGAGTGCTGATGGTCCCTGAAGACGATGGCTTCGTCTGGCGCAAGTACGGGCAGAAGCTCATCCGAGCATGCGCACGGCCCAGGCTGTACTTTCGCTGCGGGCAGCCCGGCTGCCCGGCAAGGAAAACCGAGGATCGGGCAGCAGACGGGAAGGTTCTGGGAAGGACGTACCTTGGTTTGCACAATCATGATTCCCCTGCTGCTGCGGCTGCTCCTCCTGCTGCTGCCGCTGCTGCCCAAAAGGAGCTCTTGCTGGTGGAAGAGAAGCAGAAGCAGCAGCAGTGGGATCCGGAGACTTGGCAGGAGCAGCAGATGGAGCCGGGGCAGCAGGAGCAGGATGCAGAGCAGGGGCAGGAGCAGGCTTTTGAGTTGACTCAAAAGCAGTGGGAGCCGGAGACTTGGCGGGAGCAGCAGATGGAGCAGCAACAGGAGCAGGGTGCGGGCCAGGGGCAGGGGCAGGAGCAAACGCAGGGAGAGGAGCAGGAGCAGGGGCAAGAGCAGCAGGCGTGGGGAATGTATGGACTGAGCAGCGAGGTTGAGGGACTCTTTGATCTCTCCCTCTCCGATGCCTTCCTTACTGACGAACGCACCGACTTCGATTGCAGCAACCACACCAGCAGCAGCAACAAAATTTGGCTCCCTGCAGAGCAATCCAGGGGAGGTGTATCTGAGGGAAGTTTATCCGAGGGAGGAGGGTTCTCCCTGACAGTTTCTGATGAAGCGAGTGAATGGTTATCTACTGGTGACTATAACGAAGGGCAGTTGAGCAGCCCCATCTGCTCGCTTGCTATGATTGAGTTACTGCTGATGAGCGATGTCGAGGCCAGCAATAACGAGTACGGGTGGAATTGGGAGTGCCAGGAAATTAGTCAGGGAGCTGAGAAGGTGGCAATAAATGAGGACATGTGTGGTTTTATTGGGGGAGTGGCTGCAAGCAGTGTGACAGTAACGAATGGGGCATTGGCTGTGGGCATGGATGCGCTTTTTAATTCACCGCAACCACGCCCACACCCAACGCACTGTTCACATGTGCACTGTTCACCTGCTCACTGTTCATCACCTGTCTGCCGCCCAGCAAGTCCAGATGGCAGCAGCGGGTTGGTCGTTGGAAAGGCAGAGCACAAGAGGAAGGGGTCGTCGTCGTGTGGAGGAGCAAGCGGAGGAGAGGAGGGGGGCTTTCATGCTTGGGCACGCTGCAAGTATGATGCATCAACTTCAGTCAAGCAGCAGTACGTGGTCCTCTGCTCATCGTCTCTTGCTCCCACCGTCGCTGCTGTGTTCTGTAGTGCTCGTGCTTTCTCCCGCCTTTGTCAAACAGGCCTGAGTCGTACATGAACCATCTGTGGCGTACTCGCTCCATGTAAAGATTCTTCCATCCCTTCCCTTCCCTTCCCTTCTTTTGCCTTTCCTTGCTACCAGCCGTACCACTTCCGGCCCAACCAGCCCATCTCAAAGGACCCCTACCAATTCAAGCAGTTCAGCAGGTGTTCCTTCAGGTGTTTCTTCAGGTGCTGCACCAGGCAGCCCGTCAGGTGTGCGCATGGTGTGTGCGCAGCAGGTGGTGGAGGAGCCCAGGGTAGTGGTGAGGGTGCGCGGTGATGCTGACATGGTGGACGATGGTTACCACTGGCGCAAGTATGGGCACAAGCTTGTTGGGGGTAACACCTTCCCCAGGTACAGCCTACCCCTTCTAGTATCCTTCCCCACCTCACCCCCTCACCCTCTCCTCCTCTGTGTCTCTGCCTGCGCGTGTGTTGTGGCTTTGTTGCTATATTCACTTGCCCTACTCATTGCTGTGTGCTTGGCTGCCCTGCCGTGTGACTATATTGCAGGAGCTACTATCGGTGCACGAGTGGGGACTGCAGAGTGCGCAAGCAGGTTGAGCGCTCCAAGCAGGACCCATCCACGGTGGTAACCACCTATGAGGGCCGGCACAACCACTCGGCCCCTGGGCCCATTCTGTGCCTCCCCCAGTCGCTGTAGCCGTGTTACAGAGTCTATTCGACCTCCTTTCACGGCCTTTCATTGACTTCTTGTGTGTGGGAAAGTGAAGGGGTGCCTTCTTCTTTTCTGCTTGACTTCTTTTCTGTAGGTTGTTCCGAGTGCCAACGCAAGGCCTGAACTACCATCGTAGGTTCTGGTGTTAGGGGCTTCCGATGGCAGTTGGAACAACAGTATGTAGTATGGTACTCAAGCTGGTTTGGAGGATCCTTGTTATCAGCCAGGAACCGAGCCCAGAACATGGACTGAATAATAGTGTGTAGAGGTTGGATGTTCTGGTTTCGCTTCTTGGTTATCTATTAAGGTAATAAATGATACTTTATGTCTTTTTATTGGAATCATCAAAATCACTTACATTACCGTATATAATCACCAATTCTTTTGCTGGTTATATGTCCAAAGTGCTGCTGTAAGTCTTGATTATGACTAGAGCGTATGGTCACGGATTGGACTCGATACGAGGACAAATAGCCCATCTAGTCCATGTGCTGGATGCGGCGGTACCTTCTGGTGGAGCACTTGTGCGGTTGTCAGAGCGTTGGTGGGTCAAAAGCTTCAGTTCGTGTGCTTCTTCGTCAAGCTCTGCTCGACGACGGTTTTGGAATTCGGCGGAGCTCGTATCCTTCAATCTCCACGTGCATCGAGGGATTTAGGCTGTTGTCTCATAGCCTCCTTGAACCTCTTGTGCCAAGATGTTGGATCGAACCAGGGTCCAACGAGAGCTCATTGAAATCAGAAGAGACCCTGAGTCGGGGGTGACTGTGGATGTTCCAGGAGATGATCTTGCTCGAATGAGCGGGACTATAACAGGGCCTGTTGGAACGCCTTATGAAGGAGGAACGTTTTTGGTGGATATAGTACTTACAGGTACGGTACGCTCCGCTCGTACAACTATTCGCGATACCTATTTCGTCACACCCAATTGCTCGGGATTTGACGCAACCACTTGGCTCTGTTCAGATTCGTACCCTTTCAAGCCTCCAAAGATGACCTTTATTACCAAGGTCTGGTGCGTACCAAAATAAAAGATTCTTGCCAGTGTTTGTTTATGCAGTAGTGGAAGCTGAAGGTATGGCAGATGCGTGGTTCTGCAGGCACCCTAATGTCAGCAGCCAAAACGGTGCAATCTGTCTGGATATTCTGAAAGATCAGTGGACTCCTGCCTTAACGCTCAAAACAGCTCTATTGTCACTCCAAGCCCTCTTATCATCACCTGAACCTGACGACCCTCAAGACGCAATTGTCGCTCAACAGGTAATGGCGTTTTTCTTTTAAGGGGAAGATGGAGTGGAGCGGGAAATGCCGTGTGGGGGAAGGGAGAGGGTTGTCACTAGCATCTGGTAGGTGAGGCTTGGGTTGAAGGTGATCTGACAGAGACTCCTTTTTCTCTCTCTGCAGTATTTGAAGGATTATCAGACGTTTGTCAACACTGCACGGTACTGGACCGAGGCTTTTGCCAAAAGACCATCCTTGGCACTTGATGACAAGGTCAGTTACTCTATACGTTCCATTATGCCGTATTCATCTTCTGCATTACGGTACAAGAATACGAAGATGAACGAGAGTCTAATTGTCTCTGTGCTGTGATGGCTAGAATACGAAGATGAACAAGAGCTTAACTGTCTCTGTAATGGCCACTGCAATGATTTTTCCTTGCAGGTGAAAAAGCTGGTGGAGATGGGCTTTCCAGAGGCGGCTGCTAGGTCAGCTTTGGAGAAATGTGGAGGGGATGAGAATGCAGCTTTGGAGAAGTTATGCAGCTGAATCCATAACATAAAAGTAAAAGCTGTAGTTTCAAACCCAGTTTTCAGGAAGAATGTATTATGCATTGAAAATAGTATTGGACTCCCAACATTCACAGCGTAAACTGCTCCTTTCTGCTCCTAACACTCAAAACGCAGTGCGCCGCAGTGCACCGTAGTGCGCTCTCAAAACTCGAAGTTTCTTATAGCTCTCGTGCTCTTCACGGATCCAGAATTCCGCAAAACGGTACCTCGTCTGAGATAGGTGTTCCATGCTCTCCACAAGTCCTTCATCGTGAACCTTCGTCCGCTGACAGCTGAACCTCCGCTCATGTACATTCACGGTCTTTCGCGAATCGCCTTTACCAGGCAGGCAAGGCGAGCTCTGCGCGCCGATTGCTGCGTGCAGCGGGGGGTCGATTATTTTGCGTCAGCTGCTCTTGTCTCACTAACGCCAACACAGCACTATTTCCTAACAGGCGGTGCCTCCTTCACCACTGCTCCTGTTAGCGCTAGTGACATTGCTTCACAAAGCAGCAACCAAGAATCAGAGGGGATCGAAGTCCAGTCCATTGACGGACATGGTAGTCTCCGAGACAGACGGTCGTTGTCAAGCCCGCGCGACCAAAATTTGACATCATCGTCAGTGGCGTCTCACATAGATCCATCCTCGTTTGAAGTGGACTGGAACGCGATCTCGCTAAGAGGCCTGCACCACACATTTGTTGATCTTCTGGCCGATTTCATCCTGCCGGAACCAACCCCGAATTCTTCCGATGTTCGTCTTCGTGATGGAAAACGAGGCCCAAGAGGCTCGTCCCGTCGCCGACGCCACGTCCCCAGCCTGTTCGAGGAGATCAGGGACCAATGGCGGCGCGCCAGCTGGCATGTGGACGAGCTGTATGGGCAGAGGCCAACAGATGCTGGTTCTGTTGGTGCCAGTCGAGGGCCTGCTGAAGTTCAAGGCAGGTGGGACGGGAGGGGAGTTGGCATGAACCGGTTTCTGATTCGCGGGATCATCTATGACATGTCCGCTTTGATGGTGTTCGATGAAGACTTGGGGAGGGGAAAAAAGAGAGACGCTGCAGCCAAGGGTGGAAATGCTGCTTCAGGCGGAAATGCGAGCCAAGGGTTGTCCGCCTTTGATCAAGAGAAGCTCGAACGAGCTGAGTTGGCAGCACGTGACTGGGAGAAATTTCTCCTAAGCAGCCCGAGGAGACGACGGCACATTCCTGGGATGAATGAAGGCAGTGCGACCGTCTCTAGCAGTGGTGGTGCTCACTCTGCTACAGGTGCTGCTGGTGCTGCAGGTGCTGCCGCTGGTAGGTCAGCAGCAGGCATGCCATCCTCGTCAGCTGTCACTCAGGGAATCTCATTGGACGAGATGGCGGAGAGCATGGGGCTCCCCACATCAGCTCGAACCAGCCTCAAGCGCAGCAGCAGCAGCAGCAGCAGCACCACCAGCACCACCGACAGCATCAGCAGCATCAGCACTAGCATAAGCAGCAGCAGCAGCAGCAGCAGTGCCAGCATCAACAGCACCAGCAGCAGTAGCAGTAGCAGTAGCAGCCCGGGCAGCCCCCAGCCAGCAACTCCCGCACCTCTGGGCGGCGTTCCACTGCAGTTCAGAGGAGGCACAAACCCCAGAAGCAGCGGCAGGGGAAGCAGCAGCGCAGACCAGCGGCTGGAGGAGCTATTGGCAGGGGGAACAGGTGGGGGCGTGCGTGCCAAGTATGCTGCTCGGCTGCAGGAAAAAAAAATGCTGGCTGAGGCTCGAAGGGAGCAGCAGGGCAGCGGGTTTGGTCGGGCGGCTGCTGCTGTTGCGTCTGCTGCGGCCGCTGCCAGCACTGCTGCTGCTCGTGCAGCGAGGTTGAGAGCGGTGAAGGGAGGTGGAGATGTAGTGCTAGTGGGGGAGATGGGAGCAGGAGCGTTGCCTGGGATTGGTGGGGCTGAGGGGGGTAGAGGATGGGTGGTGGCTCCTGGGTCTGCAAGACTGCTCCGGCATTTCCAGGTGAGGTTTCAGGGGTTTATTAATTAGTGGTGGGTTTGGCGAGGTAGATGCTGCAGGAGCACTAAGATGGTACATGGCAGTCGAGGATTCCACAGCAATGTTGTGTTGTCATATGCTGTGTTTCCGCATCTGTTGCCCGTCTGTGAGATTCTCGTAGCCATGCTTTTTCCTTTCGCACGCGCTTTGCTTTGCTTCCCTGCTGCTGTGTCCCCCATGGCTGCAGTCCCGCACGCTGAAGCAAGCACTGGTAACCACCCACTCGCGCCTGGACGTGCTGCTTCTCAACGACCAGCTTGGCAACTTTATCTTTGACTCTCTCATCGACTCCTCTGCCGCCGGTGCAGCTGCTGCTGCTCCATCTGCCTCTGCTGCCCCATCGCACTCGACTCGGACATCATCAACGCTTCCGGTGGAATCTCATTCACCTGCGGGTGCATTGCAAGCAGCTGCTGCAGAGTCGGGAGGCACAGTACCGGACAACCAAGGATTATCGGCGGCAGCAGCAGTGTCAGGGATCGACTCGCTGGAGGCTGCCAGAAAGAGGTAACGAGCTCTGAAAGTTATGAATATGCTCCCCTTCCCCCCCCCCCCCCCCCCTTTTTTTTTTGTTTGGCATGGTTGCAGAGGTGGGCATCATCTCACGCTTCTCGCTACAACTGCAAATGCATCTCTACGAGTGGAGTTCATGCACCAAAGCAATTGGAACAAAACGTCTCACACTTCTCTCTGCTGTTTTTTCCTCAACATGTTGAGTGCAGGGTGAATGAGTTTGTTGAAACTTGCAAAAAGTGGGATCTGAAGCCGTCGCAAGTCCTTGTGGTGAGTGTTCACAGTATGAGACTCAGCTCTTTCCATCAGTTATCTTCCTTGAGCCACTGCCTTCCACTCCCAGTTTGGCAATATTTGCCTTGCCATACAATGTCATCTCCTGCACGTCTTTCTTGGATTTGACCTTGAAACCATTGGATGCTTATTTGTTTCTGTGATTGCAACTTGTTTCCTGTGTTTTGCCGCCTTAAGTCGTTCCTTCGTGTCCTTCTATTCTCCCTTGTGTTTCCTCCAGGTGCTCGGCTCCGGACCCACCTCGTCGTTCCTCTTCCATGCCCTGCAAGACAGCCCTTTCTTCATCTGCCAAATGGCCGCAAACACATCCTCTTCTGATGCCGGACTTCCTCCTCAAGTCCAGGCCTATTCCAGCCTCAGTTCTTCCACACAAGGCGACGGTGTTGAAGCCAGGGATGCTGAGAAGATTCGCAAAACCGCCGCCAGTGGAGAAGATGCGGTGAATGGCTCCTCGGAGTCACCAAGAGTCATGGCTCAGGGTAGAGCTGGATGGGGCGCATGGTGGAAACAGCTGTCCGGGGGGACATTGCACAGGGATGGAGTGCAATTCGGAAATGTGGGGGTGGATGGAGGTCCGAAACAGGTTTCTGACTGGCTGCAGGCAAGTACTAGGTTCAAGGCAACGGACATGGTAGATCTTAAGGGAGTGGTGGAGGAGTTGAATGGAGTGTCGTATAGAAGCAGCACGTTCGTGCATGCACAAGGGAGAACATAGGGTGTGGTTTGTAAGTATGGCTATTTTCATCGTGCCTATCTGTTTATGATGGACGGAACATGCTGCTAAGTTCGAAATTCTAGCATGAATTTCTTGTAATTCATTGTGCACGTAAAAAGAACATACCGTATGCTCCTCTATGTTGTTTTCCAGTATGAAACCCGTGTACTGTGCATATTTTGGTATAAGCATACGGGCTCTTTGTGTGGCTGTTTCTATAGCTAGTGTCTGGATGGGAAAGGTTTGTTGAAGTTGTCCAGGTTCTGTGCATGTTGACCAGTTCTTGTGCAATGAATGGAGCCACAGTGCTTCAGCTTGCTCCAGATTCAACGAATCAACCCTCCTTACCCAAACATTGGCTAGTTGTTGAACATTTGGAGACGTGCGGGACAACACGACGAAGATTTGCTCGTGATGATTGGCGACACGCGAGGATACCTCTTCGCTTCAGTTTCGTTACAGTGCAAAAGTGTCCGAGTTGCCACCAACCAGCCTATCGCCGTCGTCTCACAGGCACACCTCCCATTGTAGTAACTTCCCAATCAGAGCGCACCAATAATGTGAAACGAACTCCGCCACTTCATCTCACGAGCAGCGCACTTCGCAAACGTATGTTCCCAATGAACCATAGCCAGATGAATCGCATCCGTCCCTCCGACCAGCTCCCCCGAACATACCATGCCGGACCAACCTATAAAGAGCAACCACCAAAAAAATCACATTCATCCAATCAAAACCATTCCCAAGGTTCCTCAACCGCCTAGCTGCCCAACCCAAGAGCTCCTCCCTTGACTGTGCAGGCACCTTTGCACCGCACTGCACTCCACGGCTGCCCGTCGCTCTCACGTGTAAAACCCTGACATCGAGAACTCATTTTCATTTTCCATTATCGAGATTGCATCAAGGCGAGTCACGAGAGCCTCTCATTGGGAGTTGCCGGTTCCAGCAGACAGCTCATCCTTATCTCTAGGCTGCGGTCATCCTCCTTGCTGCGCTGGCCTGAACGACACTCCTGACAAGTTCAAGCCAATTCACACCCTCCGAAACTGCTCTCCCTCAGAGTATATCATCTCGACAGACTTGTGGAACTGCTTCACCAGAACTGACCATTTTTGGCGTTCATCTTGCTGGTAGAGGATTTCCTTGCGGTTTCAAGGGCTCGGTGCTGCCACTTCTCCTCGTGCGCCAGATTCTTCGGCTAAGTCGTAGACCGTGACTCGTTATTTTAAGGATGGCTGCTCTCGCGCGTCAGGTCGACGTTGCCACCACCTCTCGTCTTGATTTCGAGTCCGACGTTACAGAGTTCTTAGCGACGCGCAAAGCGCTTTTTCCCAGGCCTCCCTCTCCCACGCGAGTCCTCTCTAACCCCGACCTTGCCGACAGGATCTCCCGAGTCCCGTCCGCACGAATCCTTTCCACCGCGTGGCGATCTCAGATGGCTGATTCGATCGCCACGTGGCAACCCTGGGAGTTGCCAGTTCCTTCCGACCACAACTTCTGGTCTCACGGCGCAGCAGCTGCAGCTGATTCTGCTGACGTGGCAAAGCTTCAGACCCTCCGCTGCGCGGACGCAGGCTGGGCTCCGTCGCTCCTCGCCATGCTCGCCGTGCAGCCGCAGTCCGGTGCGGCGTGCAACTTAGCCTCCCGCCAGCTGCACCCGCTGCTGCTCTGGGACCACTGGATGAAGCGCCACGGCTCTTCAGACGAGTTTAGTGCCTTAGCTTCCGTGTTTTGCGCTCAGGAGAGGCTGGTTGCGGCGACATCGCCAGCTTCTGGCGACGAACAGCTAGCGACGGTCGGCGGCGATTTGTCGGCGTTCCCGAAGCGGCTCGACGCGAAGTTTCCTCTGAAGAAGAAGGCGTTCTGCGATTCGTTATCCGCGCTACAGAAGGAAACCTCAGGGTCCGGCAAGTTCTGGCTGGCGCGGTATTTACGCAGTCTGCAGCAGTACGCGCTTGTCGGCTTGCCGCTTCACCAGACGGTTAAGCGGCAGGCAGCAGCCGGCGACAGCCCTTCTCTTGATGATTATCTCCTGTATCGCGCTGCCACCTCCCCCGCAACTCCCGCCGCCTTTCTCGCCGCTGCGTCGCGCAACCTCCCTCCCGTGTCTGACAGCACGCTCGAGTCGCTCGTCCTCCCGCTCCTCTGCGTCGGTTCCGCGTTTTCCGCTCTGAAAGGCGACTCGCTGCTGGAGCGGCGGCGCCGCCTGCACGAATCCGCGTCGCTACCAGCATCGCTCCTGTTTGACGCCGAAACCGGTTCATTGCTTCTGGACACCCTCGAGGCGGCTTTCGTTCAGATGGCGGCGAAGGTCGAGAAGGAGGCGAAGCGGTTGCAGCTGGCGTCGGACCGAGTCGCGGTTTCCTCGTTCGTGCGCCTTCTCAGAAGCGTCGTCCACGGCGTGAGCCTATGGCAGGGCGCCGCGTGGCGGTTCCGGGACCTCACCGCTGCTCCTGCAGGCGCTTCTGTTGAGAGCTTTTCCGAGAGCGCTGTATATGCTAGCGAGTCGGATTCTGATAGCGAGGATGAGTGGGGTAGCAACGGAAGCCGGCGCAGCAGCAGCAGCAGCCTGAGCAGCATGAGCACGAGTAGCAGCTTGAGTGGGGCAGAGGTGCCTCAGTGGATTCTGGAGCAGATCGAATCAGCCTCGGCACGCTTCACTGCCCAATGAGCCAAGAAAAGGGTTTACTCCTCCAAGGGTCGTTCATTGTGGCAGCTGGTTAGCTCAAGCTGCGAAGCTGCCACCTCTCGTTGGCGTCACTGCCTCGTTCTCTACCCGTGAAACTTCATGTAGTATCTTTAGAGGATCATTTGTGAGGCTGGGTGCATGCCTGCATGCATGTCACTGAAAAGCCTTCAGTTTTGATGTCATTTATCTAGTTTTGTATATATTAAAATTTTGAAGGACATTTGGTTTTCAATATATTGCTGGGCCCAACTGAACAACAGAATGAACCGTCCTGGTACGGATCAGGCCCTCAGAAGTCAGACTTTTTTCTCTGATTTGGGCTTTTTTCTCTGATATTTCAGATTTTTTTTCCTGTGTACTCTGATAAAATCAGACTTTTTTGGGCCTCAACTCTGTAATTTTCAGACTTTTTTTAAGGCTAACTCTGAGAGTTCAGAGTTTTCTGAGAGTGTACTCTGATCATTCAGAGTACAAACGCGTCCTTGACTGGTGATTCGGACTTACGGGTCACAGCAGATTCGCACTGCCAAAGCGAAATCTCCTTGACATAGCAAATCTGAGCCTTTACATCACAAGATTTTCGCCCAATCATAGCAAAATCGCCCTGACACAACAGTTTTGAGTTGTCAGAGCACCACAATTTTCGCCCAATCACAGCAAAATCGCCCTGACATTGCACATTCGCCTTTTCGCACCACAAGATTCGCCCTGACACATATATTCGCCCTGTCAGAGCATGTTTTATCGAAAATCCCCTTAGTGTAGCATGTTTCGGTAGCAGTTGGGTGAAACATTGAATACACTTCCGATGAAACATTGAACAGATTGATTTTGAATGATCAGACTTTTGTTTTATGACACTCTGACATTTCAGCCTTTTTTTTATACCAAGTCTGAGATTTTCAGACTAAAATTGTGTACTAGTCTGATGAATCAGACAGGCCTAAAACGAATCTGAGGGCCTGGTACGGATGGAATATCCGAAAGTTCACTGATATACGGTAGTGAACATCTAGACTTCTCCATGTCACTTGCTGTGTCTCTGGATTGAGCTACTGAATGTTTCTGCCCTCGGTGCCTGCTGCCTTTATTGCACTCTCAGTCCCAGCTGCCCTTGTTGCGTCTGTCTGACTTTTTACTGGACTTGAGCTTCTTGTCCTGTAGCCGCCTCTCGTTCTCTGCCTTAGCTCTGCATGCGGTCAGCCAAAATGACAGAGATGAAGCCAGGAATCAGGGAGAAGGCAGAAACCCAAGTCAACAGGGTATGTGAATTACAGTTGCACAATAATGAACCATTTTGTTTCAGCACAGAAATGCTTGAAGCACGTGCCACGTGGCACACTCACAGCTTCTTAATGCGGGCCTTCTTCTCCTCTGATGGTGGTGGGGGGACATAGGCCGCTGCATCTATGATTTTCTGCCACACATGGATAGAGCGAGCGACCAAGCATGGGAATCACAAAGGCTATGGCCGTCGCAATGGCTATGGAGGTGGCAATGATAATGGTAATGATCATGTGCGCTGCTGCTCACCTGAGTTTTTAAAAGTTGAGCTCAAATGAACGATTCTAACGAGAGAGTGGCAGCACGAGCAGAGAAATTCCGAGAAAGACGAACAACGAAGCTGCCTAATAGACTGCTGCAATCACCTTATTTTTTTAATCACCTGAAACTACACCCTCATTACCTAAGCTTCTGCTTTTCGTACCTGAAGCTTTGCAAGCGCATCTTCAATGTTGCCCCTGGTTTGAGCAGAGAGAGCGACAAACAGGACGGAGAGAGAAGAGGGGGACAGAGAGAGAGAAGAGGAGGATGGAGAGAGAGTAAGGAGCCGGACCAGGCATTTTGGCATGGTGGGGCAGAGCTGGTGAATCTAGAGCAGCAAGATGGGATGCCAGCAAGGCACAGATAAGAAGGCCACCCAGGCAGTGCGCAAATGGGCATGAATGTCCACTTCTGAATGCACAGATCTAACCTAAGAGAAGGCGACTTCTGAGGCGTCTCAAGAGACACCTAACCCAAGGGCAGGCGACATACTTCTGTGTTCGTGTGCGTGTAGACGCTACCACAATCTCCCCGTCGCTGTTGACCCGATTCTTCTCCTGTCGTTGCAGAGGCATATGTGCAGGAAAAGAGCTGCTGAACAAGAATCACTATACGGCGTAGAACTTAAGAGAATGGTGATGCGCAGGATGGGATGATGGTGCATGGCATGTGATGATGGTGCATGGCATGTGATGATGGTGCATGGCATGTGATGATGGTGCATGGCATGTGATGATGGTGCATGGCATCATGAGCTCGAACCGAAAAAGGGCGCCACAGGAACCAGTCCCAAGCAGCACTCACCTGCTCGAGAATCTTCCATCTTATCCGTTCTGGCAGCCAATCAGCATCGAGCACGTTGAATCGCATGTCCACCTTGGTGTTCACTGCCGTGAGGGTGGCGAGAGGGAGGGTAGATCAGGGAGGGAGGAGAGAGTGAGAAGGGAGTGAAGCGAGAGTGAGGAGAGAGTGAGAAAAGGGATAGGAGAGAGTGACGTTAGAGCAGAGAGGGTGAGGGATGAAGCATGTGGTAAAGAACAGGAGCGCGAGGGAGAGCGAGAAAGGGAGTATGGCGCTCGTGGCGACGGGAAATGGAGCGAGTGTGGTGTGGTGTGGTGTGGTGTGGTGGGGTATGTTCAGAGAAAATATGCAGTATGCACTCTCAAGAGGAACGCATGGCTTGGCATGAGCGGGCATGTGAGCATGGGAGGGGCCCTGGAGCATGGGTCAGGGAGAAAGCACTGGGTCGGCGGGATAGAGAATCAAGACTCACGTTTATTGACGTTCTGCCCTCCGGGACCCCCGCTGCGTGCGAAGCTGAGAGTCACCTTGTCTGGGTGGGAGACAGTGGGAGGCGTGTGAAAGGTGGGTAGGAGGGGGTTTGGTGGGTGGGGTGGGAAGCGTGGAATGGGAAGAATAAGCCCCATTCTCTGAGCTCTGAGCCTCACGCTCCAAACCTCACCCTCCGAGCCTCACCCTCCGATCCTAACCCTCCGAGCTTCACTCTCCAGGCTTCACCTTTAGTGATGCGAGGGATGGGTCCCTCATCCTCTACAGTCACTTCCGCCTGCCTTGCCTGCAGCACGGCACAACACAAGCTCCGCCTTCACCCCCACCCTCGCCTCAGAAACCCCCGAATTACCACCCCCTGAGTGACCACACATCAAATCACCCCTACTGATCACACGCACAAGCTCACCTTCAGTGATGCGCGGGATGGGTCCCTTGTCCTCCACAGCTGCCTCCGCCTCCCTCGCCTGCAGAAACTCCGCCTTCACAGCCATCTTCCCCTCGGGACCTCTTATTGACCTCACTCCCACTCACCACACACACAAGCTCACCTTCAGTGATGCGCGGGATAGGCCCATCGTCCTCCACAGCAGCCTCCGCCTCTCTCGCCTGCAGGAACTCCGCCTTCACAGCCATCCGCGCCGGCAGCCGCGCCTTGCCGCCCGACCTGCCGCCCCTGCTGACGTCATCCTCCGTGTCCGAGCCGCTGCCGCTGCTGGTGGAGTACTCGCTAGAGGCGGACGCGTCACAGGATACGAGGCACTGGGTGTGGCTGGAACGGGGGGTGGAGGGTACCAGGGAAGGTAGGATGCGCATTGTGTTATTATAACGAGATTAACACCGCGAGGAGGACGCGAGAAGCAAAAGAATGTGCGCAGAGAAGAGAGGAAACTGGAAGGGAGGAAAAGGGAAGGGAGGGGCGATCAGAGGAGGCGAGGACCAGGTGTTGCCACGAACGAGACCAGTTTGACTTGGAATCGCACCTGACGTTTTCCGTCAATCGCGCGACGCTTGCCCCCCACACAATGCCGCGCGGTTGGAACGACGGCTGCGGCTGCAGCGAGGGATCGTGGGACGACGAGTCAAACGCGTGCACGGAACAGAGAGCGGCGCGAGCCTGAAATTCGGACCGTTGCGCGTGACATTGCGGCCGAACGGCGGGAAATTGAGCCGTTGACGCTATGGCGGCCCGCTGCGATAGTAGCAGCTGCCATTGCTCTCGGAGGTAGCAGGATTTGTGGGTGATTGTATGCGGGAAGGCCTTGGGTAGGCTAATGACGACGCGCCACGTGGACTTCGTCGCCATTATGGATTGGGAAACGAATCCCAGTACTGAAGAGGATGACACAGAGCCGACCGAAGACGTAACACGAGCGAAATGTGGAGAATCACCCGGTAGTTGCTTCTAGACGGAATCAGCCAAGGATTTCGGAGCCATGGCTGGTTCTTTGGGGGGAATGGAGGATGCGGTTTGGGAACTCGATACTAGACGCATCAGTAGTGGTGTACCGTGCCCACGATTGTGCGGCTTCCTTACTTCATGTTTAGCATATTCCAGTTTTGTGAATTAGCTTGAAGTGTGTTTTGTCGAGAGAACTTGCAATGTGTGAGCGGAATTGTCAGTATGGGATACAACTGTTTTGCACCTTTGGGGGGGAGGGGAGAGCCGTGCGTCCTCCTCACGTGGATCTCTCACACGTGAAAATTGACCAATCGAAACATGAAGCCTGTGTGTTAACGCTTGTGGTTGGTTGAAGGAATTTTGTGCTTGTGGCGGGGCGTTCAATCATTGGTTGTTCTTTCGATTCAAGAATCATTGCCACGCGGCATGACGAAGTCTTTACTGGGCAGGAAGAAATCTGAACTGAATGTGAATGTGAAGACTCAGAAAATAGGTCTTCGCCACATTACGTATATGGATTGAAAACAAACCACTGCGTGAATTCTTTCACCGATACCACTTCACGGTCTGCCGTAAATAAGGAGGTCAAGCTGTTTCGCTGGAACATTGGTGCAGCGTCTGAACCATATCATACGTGTTTCCGCGTCATTCCACCAAGTTTCCAGCCAATCAGAATCTCGTACACGTCGAACCGCTTCTACCCCTGCCAGTGATACCGATTCCCGCCGAAGCTTTTTTCCAGCGTTCAACCATTCTCCAGGAAGTCAGGCTTGTGTGTTTCTGCTGCAGGGTTCTTCAGCTCTCCTCAAACCGCTGCGTGCAGTGCTGCGTGCACCACACCCAAGCTACAGAATCAACCTCTCTCCACCCCTTCCCAGCCCATTCGACCCCGCGCCTCCTCCCCGCGGCTTTCGAAATTCATCCATTCCCCGCTTTCCCCATTCTCCGTACCTAGCCCAGCCTGTCGGTTCGCTTGCCTTCCCCCTCACGCAAAACGCCCAGACCAAGTCTCCCCGAAGTCCACCACTTCCCCGCGCTCCCCACGTTCCCCTCCCCCCGTCTCCCACATTCCCTCTTCTTTCCCCCGACCCCTGCCTCGCCTCGCTTGGTTTCTTCCCCAGCATACACCGTTGTTCAACAACCACATTCAGCAGACCAGCATGGATACATATTCCATTGAATGCGGTCATTCCTGCATTGAATCTCCGTTTCTCTAAATCCATCTCGACTTGCGTTATCTAGTTTTTAGACGGCTGACAGGGCTTCCTGTCTGCCGGTTCACACCCGTGTATTTTGTACATATCCGTACATACTTCCGTTCCCGCGTGTAGATACACCCGCTTTCATTGTTCTCATTTCATCTTGTGAATATTCATTAACTATGGCGGCCTTCGCACTGTCCGTCGCGAGCAGCACCGCGCCACCGTGCCGTCTGGAGCTTTTCTCTCGAACCACCCATCAACTGTCCGGCCAAACTCGTTCCACGGCCACGCGTGCCACCCATTCCCTGGCCGCTGACTACGACGGATTCCGTCAGACGTCAACTTTCCCGTCAACCTCCACCGTATCTCACGCCGACGCTTTCACCGCCAACGTCACCCGTCAGCTCGCTCCCGCCTCCTCATCCTCCGCGCATCGCGCGACGGTATCCGCCGTGTTCGACCGGTTCACGGAGCGCGCGATTAAATCCGTGATGCTGGGTCAGCGCGAGGCGAAGGCGCTCGGGCGGAAGGAGGTGGCGACAGAGCATCTCCTCCTGGGCCTCATCATGGAAGACCGCGCCAGCAGCGGCACCGCCAGCGCGAAGGGTTACCTTAACACCGGAGTAACCATTGATGGCGCTCGCGAAGCCGTTCGCGAAATGATTCGCGACGGCACGCTTGCGCCTTCCGAGGGGTCGGATAAGCCCGCGTCGGAGGTGCCGTTCTCTGCGGGGAGCAAGCGCGTGTTCGAGGCGGCTCTGGAAGAGTCGCGGAAGCTTCGGCACAATTTCATTGCACCGGAGCATCTGGTGATGGCGGTGCTGAGCGTCGAGTTCGACGCTGCGGGGAAACTTCTTGAAAGGTACGCTTGTAACGCGGATGTGAGACTGGATTAACTCAGATGCTCAGCCGTGTGATTTCAACCGCGAATGCGAGACGCGAACGGCGGATTAGAACCAAGAAGCTACAGCTTTGCGTTTTGGAGCTTATTCCTTTCTGAACTAAGTAAGCTACGGTCAGTTTGCCGCCACAGTCTGGACATTCCCAAGGAGCGTTGCGCGCGAGCTAATCTCCGCTTGCCCCCTGCCGGTTCCGCGCAGGCTGGGCGTGCCCAAGGAGCGCGTGCGCGCGGAGGCGGTGGCGCGGCTGAAGGGCGAGCTGGCGACGGAGGGGCGCTCCACCGACTCCATCTCGCTCTCCGCCAAGCCCTCCGCCGCCTCCGCCAAGTCCTCCCCCGACCCCGCCAGGGCCGCCGCGCTCTCGTCCTCCTCCAGCTACAGCAAGAAGGGCTCCAAGAAGGGTAAGCGGGGAAGTACTTAGCGGAGAAGCGCTAAGCGGGGATGCTGGAAACGGGAATACGCGGGTGTGCCTGACAAAGTATGAGTTTGGCTCATCCTTCCCCTTGCTTTCCCCTTGCCTTCCGCTCGCTTTCCCCTTGCTTTCCCCTTGCCTTCCGCTCGCTTTCCCCTTGCTTTCCCCTTGCCTTCCGCTCGCTTTCCCCTTGCTTTCGTTCCCCTTCCCCGCCCCATCGCAGAGAAGAGCGCGCTCGAGGACTTCTGCACGGATCTGACGGTGATGGCGATGACGGGCGACATCGACCCGGTGATTGGTCGCGACCACGAGGTGGCGCGCGTCGTGCAGATCCTCGCGCGCCGCACCAAGAACAACCCGCTGCTGCTCGGCGAGCCGGGCGTGGGGAAAACCGCCATCGCTGAGGGCCTCGCTCTGCGCATCGCGGAGAATGACGTCCCGGTGTTCCTTCAGGTACGCGGGGGTGTCCTGCAGGTACGGTTTGGTTCTGTAGTTACGGGATGATGTGTTGCACTCGCGCGGCGCACGAAGAACAACCCGCTGCTGCTCGGCGAGCCGGGCGTGGGGAAAACCGCCATCGCTGAGGGCCTCGCGCTGCGCATCGCCGAGAACGACGTCCCGGTCTTCCTGCAGGTACGGTGCGGTTGGTTGCGGTGGATTGCGGTGCGCATGGCAGGTGGGTGTTCCTACATGTAACAAGTGATTGGCTGGTTGATAGTTGGGTGGTGCAGATTTTATGCTGCGTCCTCCATGCTTTCCGAAGCTACTCGTTTGTATATTTAGCCGCCGTCGTTTGTGCTCCTCGCGCACCCTGCGCTCATCCATTTTATCTTACCGTTCCACTTTTCCACCATACCACCACAGGGCAAGCGCGTGATGGCGCTGGACATGGGGCGCCTCATGGCGGGCGCCAAGGGCACTAAACAACTGAACAACTAAACAACTCCTCCCTCCTCTTGCCGTGTCTGTTTTGTCCTGTTCCCCCCTTTCCGCGCGGCACACAGGGCAAGCGCGTGATGGCGCTGGACATGGGGCGCCTCATGGCGGGCGCCAAGGAGCGCGGCGAGAAAGGAACCCCCTTGTGCCTTGTATTGTTCTCTCATGTATTTCTCTTTACTCCCCGCGCGCAACAGGGCAAGCGCGTGATGGCGCTGGACATGGGGCGCCTCATCGCGGGCGCCAAGGAGCGCGGCGAGCTCGAGGCGCGCGTCACGGGGCTCGTCTCGGAGGCCGTCAGCGCGGGCGACGTCATCCTCTTTATAGACGAACTCCATACCGTTGTGGGGTCGGGTGCCGTGTCGCGCGGGCGCGGCGCGGGGGGAGGGGGCGGCGGCGGGCTGGACATCGCGAATCTGCTCAAGCCGGCTCTCGCGCGGGGCCAGCTGCAGGTACGGTACTTTCCCTTACGTTCATGGGGGTGCATGAACGTGTGCTTGAGACGCGGGCTTTAAGAGTGCTTTTAGGGGAACGATTGAGTGAGGCGGCGGCGGCGGGCCGGACATCGGGCGAACCTGCTCAGGCCCGCGCTCGCTCGCGGGGGGGCAGTTGCAGGTGGGGGTGTGATGGTGACTGTAAGGGGGTGACTGCATGAAGGTGTGATTACAGCCTGGCCATCCCCCCCTCTCTCCCGCTCCCTTACTCACCCACCTCCACCCTCCCTTTCTCTCGCCGCCTTCTGCTCTCCCGCCCTCGCCCCTTGCCCATCAGTGCATGGGAGCGACCACCATCGGCGAATTTCGCAAGCACGTGGAGAAGGACAAAGCACTGACACGCCGCTTCCAGCCAGTCGACGTGGCGGAGCCGTCGCAGGACGACGCGCTTTTCATCCTGCACGGCCTGCTCTTTGCTTACACCCTCCCTTTCCCCACATCCCCCAACCATCCCTCCCTGTCAGTGCATGGGCGCGACCACAATCGGCGAGTTCCGCAAGCACGTCGAAAAGGACAAGGCTCTGGCCCGTCGCTTTCAACCGGTGGACGTCGCAGAGCCGTCGCAGGACGACGCGCTGCTCATCCTGCACGGCCTGCGCCGCCTCTACGAGCGCCACCACAAGTGCCACGTCAGCGACGACGCGCTCGTCGCGGCCGTGCAGCTGTCGGCGCGCTACATCCCGGACCGCTTTCTTCCGGACAAGGCCATTGATCTGGTGGACGAGGCCGCGAGCCGCGCCGTGATTGACGGGTTCAGGAGGAACCGGCAGAGAGAAACGAGCGTGCTGCACCGGGGCCCGGAGGAGTACTGGCGGGCGATCAGAGCGGCTCAGGCGGCGATCAATGCGGTAAGGATGTTTGCTAGTAGGTTCGTGCTGTGAGTAGCATGGAGGGGCCGGGAGAGGGAGACGAGCGCGCTGCACCGCAGACCGGAGGAGTACTGGCGGGCTATCCGAAGGGATCGGGCGAGTTGCAGTGAGGTGATGCGAGTAACAGGGGTTGAACGGGAGGTGGGCCGGAGGAATCGAGGTGGGCGATCAGAGAAGCTTAGGCAGGAGCTCAAGTGGGGGGGTGACGGGGTGGGAGTGGTGTGGTGGCTACCCTGGGCAAAACGAGTTGGTGTTTGGGGACCGGAGGAGCACTAGTGTGCGATGAGGGATAGCACGGGCGAGTGCGGCTCTTGAGTTGACACTAGAGTCACCTCGCGGTGGGTTGAAGGGAGGGACGAGCACTGGCGGGTGTGAGCCTGGTGAGCGGTAGCTAGCGATGAAGGGGTAGGGATTAGCCCAGGCTCAGTCTGGCCAGGAAGGAACAGTGGGCGTTTCTCTTAGAATCTTCAGAAAGCGCTTTATGTCTGGCACCGGGACTGATTAGGAGGTGCGGCTTCCCGTAGGGGCAGCAAGGGGGGGTTACGCTGCGACGCGCAGACCGCGTGTTCATGTGTCGAATTCAGGCCTTCAACGTGTCAGAATTTGACTTCAGGCCTACATTCCGGCCATCAAATTCATGTGTCGTCGTCTAACTTGTCTACCACTCTCTCCTGTGTGGGCTTGTTGTGCGGTGCAGGTGGAGGAGGTGCAGTCGCCACTGGGGTCAGCAGGCGGCCCCTCAGCGTTCCTCTCGGAAGACCCCAAGCCCTCTTCTTCTTCGCCTTCTGCCGCCCCTTCCTGGTCTCCCGCTGGCGATGGCGACAGGTACGGCGCTGTGCTGTGCGAGTGTCCCACCCTTAGCTTGGAAAAAGGTGGATACTATTTGTAGACAGGTATGATACCACACGAGTCTGCCAAGTAGAACAACGTGGTACATACAAGCAAGGTGGGCAGCTGAGAGCAACAAGGTGGTACAACATGGTACACACTTAAGCTTGCAATGCATGACTTGGAATCCGCATGCAGCTGCGTCTGCCACAATGGTTCCAAGCTTTTGCTCCTTCGATCTCGTCCCGACCATCCCTCTCACCCCTTTTCTTCCCCTCTCCCCCTCCTCCCAACTTAATCAATCGCGCTTTTGAGTCAACTCAACGGCTCCCTCTGCCATGCTCTTCCCTCCTGCCTCCCTTCTCCCTCCCCGGCTCCCCCTGTGCGTCCATTCCTCACTGCGTGCAGCCTGTCCATCGGACCAGAGGACATAGCAGCAGTGGCATCGCAGTGGACGGGCATCCCCCTGCAGCAGCTCACAGCGGACGAGCAGCGCCTCCTCTCTGCCCTCGAGCCCGCGCTGCACTCGCGCGTGGTGGGGCAGCACGAGGCCGTCAGCGCCATCGCCCGGGCTGTCAGGAGAGCACGCGTGGGGCTCAAGGACCCCAAGAGGCCCACAGCTGCAATGCTGTTCTGCGGACCCACTGGGGTGGGGAAGACGGAATTGAGCAAGGCGCTCGCCCAGCACTACTTTGGCTCAGTGAGTGCACTGGTTGGGATTGCTTGCCGGGATGTGGGTTGGTTGGTTTATGGGACAGCACGCCATGCTGCACTCGCGCGTGGTGGGGCAGCATGAGGCCGTCAGCGCCATTGCAAGGGCTGTGCGGCGGGCGCGCGTGGGGCTCAAGGACCCGAAGAGGCCCACAGCTGCCATGCTGTTCTGCGGACCGACGGGAGTGGGCAAGACAGAGCTGAGCAAGGCTCTTGCGCAGCACTACTTTGGATCGGTGAGTGCACTGGTTGGGATTGGAGAATGTGGGTTGGTTTATGGGACAGCACAAGAGGTGCAGCACTCGCGCGTGGTGGGGCAGCACGAGGCCGTCAGCGCCATTGCCCGTGCTGTGAGGCGAGCGAGAGTGGGGCTAAGGACCCAAAGAGACCCACGGCGGCCATGCTGTTCTGTGGTCCCACAGGAGTGGGCAAGACGGAGCTCTGCACGACGGAGCTCTGCAAGGCACTCGCCCAGCATTACTTTGGCTCAGTGAGTGTGCTCAGAAGGAGGTTGTGGGCTGGTTTTTGGGACAGCACACAAGGTGCTGCATTCGCGAGTGATGGGGCAGCACGAGGCTGTTAACGCCATTGCTCGGGCTGTGCGGCGAGTGCAAGTGGGGCTCAAGGACCCAAAGCGGCCCACAGCCGCCGTGCTGTTCTGTGGTCCCACAGGCATGGGCAATACAGAGCTCAGCAAGGCCCTCGCGTAACATGACTTGGGCTTGGTGAGTCGGCCAGTGGCTGGCTGCTGTGGTAGGGGTAGGGAAGACGCAGTAATTTGTCTAGACTAGACATGAGCGAGTACAGGGAGCGCCAGGCTGTCAGCAAGCTGGGTGGACAGAAAGGCTCACTCACGCCCCCTCTCCCCCACCCCTTCCCACCCCCCGTCTCCCGCTCCCCTGCCTCCCCTCCCCACCAGGAGGACGCCATGATCCGGCTAGACATGAGCGAGTACATGGAGCGCCATGCAGTGAGCAAGCTCATCGGCGCGCCTCCCGGCTACGTGGGGTTCGGGGAGGGTGGCAAGCTCACAGAGGCCGTGCGACGCCGGCCCTTCTCGCTGCTGCTGCTGGACGAGATTGAGAAGGCACACCCGGACGTCTTCAATCTCCTGCTCCAGGTTAGTCTCTCGCTGTGCTTTGATCTGCTTTGAGTCGGTTTGTTCTCCCTGCTGCTGGATGAGATGACTTTTGAGTCGACTCAAAAGAGGTGACTTTTGAGTCGACTCAAAAGAGGTGACTTTTGAGTCGACTCAAGAGTCACTTTCTTCTCCCTGCTGCTGGATGAGAGTGCCAACTCCAACTTGGCTCTACCAAAATTCAGCCTCCTCCTGTTTAGCCTCAGTTGCAATCTCCTCCTTTTGCTCATCTCTGTCTGACCCCGCGTCTCTGATCCCCTGCCATCAGATCTTTGAGGATGGACGGCTCACAGACTCCCAGGGACGCCACGTGTCATTCAAGAACACGCTCATCATCATGACCAGCAACGTCGGCTCACAGGCCATAGCGCGTGGAGGCAGCAATAGGGTGGGGTTCCTGCTGCCGGGGGCGGACGAGGCGGACGGGGGGCGGTACGCGGGGCTCAAGGCGCTGGTGATGGACGAGCTGAAGAGCCACTTCCGCCCTGAGCTGCTGAATCGCATTGATGAAGTGGTGGTGTTCCGATCCCTGGAGAAGGACCAGGTGCGTGCGGAGTGCTGGTAAGGGGTTGCTGTAGGGAAGGCGGAGGATGAGAGGGGTGGTGGAAGGGAGGGCAAGGAGTGACACGCAGGGCTCGAGGCATTGGTGATGGATGAGCTGAAAACACACTCTTCCGCCCTGTACCACTCCTATCAAGGAGTCTGCTGTCCGCCTCTCGGAGCACAATATCTGACAGCTGACTCCTTGATAGGAGTGGTACCGGGTGGAAACACCCATCCAGCACATCTGCGACGAGGGCACTTGGATGGGACGAGGGACTTGGATGGGACGAGGGCAGTTGGATGGGTGTTTCGGTGACTTGGAGCACAATATCTGACTCCAAGTCACCGAAACACCCATCCAGCGCATCTGCGACGAGGGCTATGACCGCTCCTACGGGGCATGGCAGCTGCGCTTCCTGCACCCCCTTGTCCCCACCCCACTCTACGATGCAAGTACAGCTTCACGCTCCTCTCTCACCTCTCTCACCTCTCTCACCTCTCTCACCTCTCTTACATGCATGTGAACTGCCACATTCCTTTCTCATTTCTCCCCAATCATCCCCGTCCCCCTCCTAACTCCCTCCCTCCTTCCCCCAGGTACGAGCGATCGTGGACATGATGATAAAGGAGACGTCCATCCGTCTATCAGAGCGCAACATCAGGCTTGAGGTCTCAGAGGCGCTCATCCAGCGCATCTGTGACGAGGGCTACGACCGCTCCTACGGTGCGCGGCCGCTGCGCCGCCTGCACTCCCCGCCCCACTGGCTGATGCTTAATGCTTCACGCTTCTCGCTCACCTATCCTCTCTTCCCTTGCCCCATCTCCCCTCCCACCGCCAGGTACGAGCAATTGTGGACATGATGATAAAGGAGACGTCCATCCGTCTATCAGAGCGCAACATCAGGCTTGAGGTCTCCGAAGCGCTCATCCAGCGCATCTGTGATGAGGGCTATGACCGCTCCTACGGGGCGCGCCCGCTACGCCGCGCCGTCACGCGATTGGTGGAGGACCCGATCAGCGAGGCGGTGCTGTCGGCCAATAGCGGCGGAGGGCTGGTGGCGGGTGGGAGCGTGTCCGTGGTGGGGGGCGCGTTTGAGGAGGGGGATACTGCTCTGGCTGATATTGGGCCGGATGGAGAGCCGTTTGTCATGCGGATCGCCAAGAATGAGTTGCTGAGAGTCTGAAGGGAATGAAGCGGCGGAGGGCTGGTGGCGGGTGGGAGCGTGTCCGTGGTGGGGGGCACGTTTGAGGAGGGGGATACTGCTCTGGCTGATATTGGGCCGGATGGAGAGCCGTTTGTGATGCGGATTGCCAAGAACGAATTGCTGAGAGTCTTAACTGGAGGGCTGGTGGCGGGCGGGAGAGTGTCGGTGGTGGGGGTTGCGTTTGAGGACGGGGGTACTGCTCTGGCTGATATTGGGCCGGATGGAGAGCCATTTGTGATGCGGATCGTCAAGAATGAACTGCTGAGAGTTTACTGTATTCAGCCGTAGCCGTAGAATTGATGTTTTATGACTTGCTGGATAGAACTGGTTGAGACAAATGTCAGCAGATTCCTTAGCATTGTAATTTCTGTACGATGTGTAGATAAATTATCATACTGAAAAGATAAGGTTACTGCCCGAATGAGCTGCAACTGGCTGTTAATTTTCCTAGCACAGGTGAAGGCTTGTGAGTAGCTCACAGTTGTTTCGAAGCAAAAAATAGCTCACGAATCACGGCTTGCAAGTAGAACCACACTACTCTCCTGTGCACAGTGCTTTCTCTAGAACAGGGAAAGCTGCTCAACAGATTACACTTCATATGACGAAGATTTTTTTCCTGCCAAGATCTGTACTGTAGAATAACGTAATGCTTCTATTGGTAAATCTGCACTGTAGGAGGAAGCCTCCTAGTAGATCTGCACGGTGCTGCGGTGCTTCCAAAAGACACGAGCCACTTCGGGGTGAACAATGCGCTTGACACGGCAGCTGCTCTTCTGAAACATGGCCGTGCCTCGAATGGCGTCTGCGACGTGCGATGGGTCGTACCCCAAGTCGTGTGCCGCCTCTGCCTGCGCTCCGTACACCAGCCGCTGAATGAGGGGAAAGGGGGAGGGGGAAGGGAGAGGAGGGGAGGGTTACGTGACACGGCAGCTGCTCTTCTGAAACGTGGCTGTGCCTCGAATAGCATCCGCCACGTGCGATGGGTCGTACCCCAAGTCATGTGCCGCCTCCGCCTGTGCCCCATACACCAGCCGCTGGTGGGGAAAGGGGGGAAGGAAGGAGGACAACTTTGTGGCAATGAAGAGAGACACACCCACGTGGCGTCACACCTCGGCATGGGGCGATGAGGGCATGGGGACCGGACATGGGCCATGGGGGGCATGGAGGTGGCATGGAGGTGGTATGGAGGTGGCATGGAGGTGGTATGGAGGTGGTATGGAGGTGGCATGGAGGTGGCATGGAGGTGGCATGGAGGTGGCATGGAGGTGGCATGGAGGTGGCATGGAGGTGGCATGGAGGTGGCATGGAGGTGGCATGGAGGTGGCATGGAGGTGGTATGGAGGTGGTATGGAGGTGGTATGGAGGTGGCATGGAGGTGGCATGGAGGTGGCATGGAGGTGGCATGGAGGTGGCATGGAGGTGGCATGGAGGTGGTATGGAGGTGGCATGGAGGTGGCATGGAGGTGGCATGGAGGTGGCATGGAGGTGGTATGGAGGTGGCATGGAGGTGGCATGGAGGTGGCATGGAGGTGGCATGGAGGTGGCATGGAGGTGGCATGGAGGTGGCATGGAGGTGGCATGGAGGTGGCATGGAGGTGGCATGGAGGTGGCATGGAGGTGGCATGGAGGTGGCATGGAGGTGGCATGGAGGTGGCATGGAGGTGGCATGGAGGTGGCATGGAGGTGGCATGGAGGTGGCATGGAGGTGGCATGGAGGTGGCATGGAGGTGGCATGGAGGTGGCATGGAGGTGGCATGGAGGTGGTATGGAGGTGGCATGGAGGTGGTATGGAGGTGGTATGGAGGTGGCATGGAGGTGGCATGGAGGTGGTATGGAGGTGGCATGGAGGTGGTATGGAGGTGGCATGGAGGTGGCATGGAGGTGGTATGGAGGTGGCATGGAGGTGGCATGGAGGTGGCATGGAGGTGGTATGGAGGTGGCATGGAGGTGGCATGGAGGTGGCATGGAGGTGGCAGGGAGGTGGCATGGAGGTGGCATGGAGGGTATGGCATGGGGAACAGGACGCATGTGGGGCACGCGGGAACAGGGGGGGCAGGAGGTTCACTGACCGGGAGGCGGGCGAGGTACATGGCGGCGAAGGACATGGGGCAGGGCTCGCAGGAGGAGTAGATGACACAGTCTGACAGCTCTATCTTCCCCAGCGCCTTGCACGCCTGTGCGCCATGGACATGGAGAGCGGAGGGTGGAGGGGAGGGCATTTGGAGCGGTGTAGAGTGGTTTGTGAGGGTGAGTAGTGCAACGAGGAAAGGGAACAGGAGTATGATATAAGATGGATGGACGCTAGAGAACCAAGTCTGGCAGGGCACGTGGAGTGGAGTCTTCGTGCGTCGTGCTTCTTTCCTGAGACGTTTCCAGTTTCGGCGTGTTACACGCAGGTGTGTGCATGACATTGTTTCTGAGAGATACTAAAAGCAGCTAACTAACCTTCTGAATGGCGATGATCTCGGCGTGGCACGTGGGGTCCTTGTGTTTCAGCACCTCGTTGTGCCTTCTGAATGGCCACCCATAAGCCATCTATTAGACAGAAACGTCCGAAAAGCTCAGTCTACCGCGCACCTTCTGGATGGCGATGATTTCGGCGTGGCACGTGGGGTCCTTGTGTTTCAGCACCTCGTTGTGCGCGCGCGCCACTATCTCCCCGTCGCGCACGATCACCGCGCCGAACGGCCCGCCGTCCTTCTCCAACGCGCCCGCCTCCGCCTCCTCCGCCGCTACCGTGAGGAAATGATAGTCCTGCTCGTCCTCCACCTCCATCTCCGACCGTACACGTGGCAGAGATTTCACGTTGGCGGTATCCGGGGACGAGAAGGAGGCGATGGGTTGAGGTGGCGATTTTCTGTCGATTCCGTCATCGTCGACGGAGGCGTTCACGTCTTTTGACGGTTTTGAGTCGGGTTTGGACGGAGCGAGGCGACGGGAGAGGAAGAAGGTGAGAGCGGCTGAGAGAGACGCGGCGATGATGACGTCAAGCCGCATCGCGGAAGTCTCGAGAAAATGTTCGTATCTGAGATCAACTAGTTGGGTTTTTTCTACGCCGAAAATACGCGACGTGCAAATCAGTCTCGGATTCTGACCAGCCCCGACTCAGGAGAAATAGCGACGCAGAGCGAGTTTTGAGAAAGGCGGGATGATACGGACATGGAACACCGTTATCGGTGAGTTTATTGTAACGACTGTTATTATTATTGCAAGACAGAGTTACCAAGGCACGCGGTGTGATAAGGAGAAAGCGGAAGCCATAGAATATGACCAGCGCATGGGGAATGGATAGAAGCAGGCAAACTGCGAGGGCTGAAATATCACAGGTTTGTGGATCAGGCACGGAATCATAGCCAAGAACCCCATAATGACGGTGGGCTATTCTAAAAAATGAGATGTAATTAACAGGGTACAAGTACGTTAAGAGTAATAATCTAAATGACTCCGCTATACGAAGGTTCTACTGTCGGAAACTAAGCTGTAACGAGGTATTTAAATGACTGTTTTTCTCGGACATCCGAAACCTTTCAGACCCTTCAAATTGTTTCTTTCTTAAAAACTACCTCTCCCAGGGAAGCCACACTTCGGAGACGTTTTTGTATAGGAGCGAATTTCTCGCTCGGGATCGGGTGCGGAATCATAGCCAAGAAGCCCAAAACGGCGGTGGGCTATTCTAAAACATGAGATATAATTTAACGGGTACAATTACGCAACGGGCAATTTTATAAATGACTCCGCTATACGAAGGTTCTACTGTCGGAAACTAAGCTATAACGAGGTATTTCTATGTTTGTGTATCTCGGACATCCGAAAACCTTTCACACCCTTCAAATTGTTTCTTTCTTGGAAATGTACCTCTTCCAGGGAAGCCACACTTCAGAGAGACGTTTTTGTAGAGGAGCGAATTTCGCGCGATCGTGGATCGGGTGCGGAATCATAGCCAAGAAGCCCATGGTAGCGGTGGGCTATGCTAAATAATGAGATGTAATTAAAAGGGTACAAGAACGTGACGAGCAATTTTCTAAATGACTCCACTATACGAAGGTTCTACTGTCGGAAACTAATCTATAACGAGGTATTTCATGACTGTGTTTCTCGGACATCCGAAATCCTATTACACCCTTCAAATAGTTTCTTTCATGAAAATGTACTCTCCCAGGGAAGCCACACTTCAGAGAGACGTTTTTTAGAGGAGCGAATTCTCTCGAGCGTGGATCGGGTGCGGAATCATAGCAAAGAAGCCCATAGCGAATTTCACAGGTTCGTGGATCAGGTGCGCAATCATACCCAAGAAGCCCACAATGACGCTGGGCTATTCCAATAAATGTGATGGCATTTAAAGGGTACAATTACGATACGGGTAGTCTTATAAATGACTTCACTTTACGAAGGTTCTACTGTCGGGAACTAAGCCATAACGAGGTATTTTCGCAACCTTCAAATTGTTCTTTTCTTGAAAAATTACCTCTCCCAGGGAAGCTACACCTCAGTGAAGTTTTTGTAGAGAACTTCACGAGCGAATATTGCGCGATCGTGGATCACGCACGGTGGTGCTTGCCCGAGAAATTTGCCCCTGATCTTGACCGAGAAACTTGTCGTCAGACACCCCTGAACGAACAGACATTGACGAATCCCACATGGCCGAACATCCATCAGCCACCGACCGATACGCGCAGCAGCACCGAGATTGTCGTCCCAGAGGGGTCTTGGGGAAACGCAATTTGTGGCATGTTACCATTCCGTAGCGCTGCACTACCAAACGAGTGTAGCTACTCGTACGAGTTAATCGAATAAATCTTTATGGTTTCAAACATTCTGCTCTACCTTGTCATCTGTTTGCTTCATTCTGCCTGAATTCCCGAAGCTGCTCGCTCCTCGATTTTCAATCACGTCTCCGTCGTTCTAGAGAAGCACATTACCCGCCACCTTCCTTAGCTCCGAACCCTCCTCTAACCATGTCTCGCTCCGCCGATTGTTCGTCGTAACACGAGCGTTCACGCAAGCCCAGTTCCATCGGGCGTCTTTTTGAATTCACCATCCGAGCACTTACCGTCAGCCGCCATGCTTCTCATAGCTTTCCGACCCCTGCTCGGTCTCTTCACTCTGTCCGAGCCGCCAATCAGCGAGGCGGAATGGTGGTTCTACTTAGGTCTTTCCGCGTTTCTCGTCGTGTTCGCGGGCCTAATGTCCGGCCTGACGCTCGGCCTGATGTCGCTAAGCCTTGTGGATTTAGAGGTGCTGGTGCAGAGCGGCACGGAGGATGAGCAGCGGCAGGCGGCGGCGATTATCCCCGTAGTGGAGAAACAGCACGAGCTGCTGGTCACGCTATTGCTGTGCAACGCCGTCGCTATGGAAGTAAGCTTAGAAAAGGACATCTGTTACTCAACTAGTGGATACACCTGGAGGAGATATTGTCACGTAGCAACGGTGGACGCAGCACTTGTCACGAGAGGCGAGTTGTCGCGCCCTTGCCTGTTCTGTTCAGCACTGCCAGTGCCACGTGTCAGTCAGAAGCAATTCAGTCAGCCGAGTGCTTTGATGAGGGTCCTTTTGTATAGCCTTTTTACATCTGTCGCATCATCACATGCGTGCAACATTGCATTGCATCACCCCATCACTGCACCATTGCAGGCCCTGCCGGTGTTTCTCGATCGCCTGGTCCCTCCAGCCGTCGCCATTGCTCTCTCCGTCTCCTTCGTGCTGCTCTTTGGTGAGGTGAGCGCAGTATGAGTGAGAGCGAGAGGGAGAGGTGAGCGCAGCATGGGGAGGAGAGGTGAGCACACAATGCGTTTCGGTGTGTCTGTGTCTCAGGTGACCCAAGCCGTCTGTTTTCTCCGTGCTTACAATCATAGTTTCCCACCATGCTGCCTAACCCATCCACCCATCCACCCTTCACCCTGAACCCATCCTCCCTCACAGGTGATTCCCCAGGCTGTGTGCTCGCGCTACGGGCTGGCAGTGGGCGCCAATCTCATTCCCCTCGTGCGCTGCCTCATGCTTCTCTGCTGGCCCATCTCCTTCCCCATCGCCAAGGTGCCTCTGCCTCCTCTCTCTCGCTTCACTCGCCATTGCTCAGAAGCTTCCTGTCTCAGTCCATTCCACTGAAATTGCATAAGGTATTCCACTATTGTTATGTTATATCCCGCACCCCTTGCCATGCCCCACCCTACCCCACACCCCCCATGCAACACACACATCACCAACCCCTCATCCCATCCCCACGCACCACGCCCTGGGTGCTGGACTCTCTGCTGAGCTGTGCCTCACACCACACGCACACACCACCATCCCTCACCCCCCCACGCCTCCCTCCCCCCCCCTCCCTTCCTCCCCCAGGTGTTGGACTATCTGTTGGGGCATGACGACCCGCTCTTCAGGCGCCAGCAGCTCAAGGCACTCGTCAGCATCCACGGTGCTGAGGTGGGGTCCTCGCCATTCATCCCGCCCTGCACATCTTTGCCATGCCTCTTCCCCTCTCTTCCTCTCTCTCGTCCCTCCTTCCCCATCTTTCCTCCCGATCTCTGCCTCCATTCCAGTCCTTTGCATTCCTTCTCAGTCACCCTTTCCTGTCCTCGCTTCTCATATCGCCCCACTACCATGCCATACCCAGTCACGTATCTCCCGTGCTCATGGTGTATCTCCTCTCCATGCCCCGTCCAATCCCCCGGCCAGCGAGTTCCTCATTTCCCATAGCGAATCCCCACCCCCCATGACACCAGGCGGGCATGGGCGGGGAGTTGACTCGCAGCGAGACCACCATCATCAGCGGTGCCCTTGACCTCACACAGAAGGTGAGTTCCAGCCGTTCACCTCACAAAGAAGGTGAGTTCCAGCCGTTCACCTCACACAGAAGGTGAGTTCCAGCCGTTCACCACACACAGAAGGTGAGTTCCAGCCGTTCACCTCACACAGAAGGTGAGTTCCAGCCGTTCACCTCACAAAGAAGGTGAGTTCCAGCCGTTCACCTCACACAGAAGGTGAGTTCCAGCCGTTCACCTCACACAGAAGGTGAATCTGAGCCTTGGTCTACCAGCCCTACAGTTATAAACCTTTCCTAACAATAGTTCTCTGTTCTTTCCCTCTTCATGTACAGTTGAATTCTCCCTGCTTACCATACTTCCTATCCTTTCAGCTACTTTGCGGGGGACTCCTAAACTCGTATCTCTCTCATAAATGTGTCTCTGCCTTGCTTGCCCTTATTGTCTTATCAGTTTCCCTGCTTCCATTTCTGCTTGTGCGGTGTGTGTGACTGTGCTGCATGTGACTATAGACAGCAGAGGAGGCGATGACCCCCATAGAGTCAACCTTCTCTCTCAGTGTCAACTCACGACTCGACTGGTACGTGTGGTGTGGGCTCTATGGGGCGCTTAACAGGGACACAATGAGGCGCATCTTGGCCTGGAAAATTTGGGAGGGCACTTCCGACTCTTGCCATTTCTTAAAGGTGCCTTCTCAGCCTTCCCCTTCCCCCCTGCCTTCCCACCCTCCCCTCCTTCTGCCTGCCAGGGACACGATGGGGCGCATCTTGGCGAGGCCATCCCAGCAACATCATTGGCGTGTTGCTCACCAAAACGCTCCTGCTGTGGTTGCGCAGCCGACTCCTGACTTGTCTTGGCATGCCACTCAGAAACCTTGTTTGCCCCTTCCTTTCCTTCTGGTGGTGTGTGCCTGGCAGGGACACGATGGGGCGCATTCTAGCGCGTGGGCACAGCCGCGTGCCGGTGTACCGGGGCCATCCCAGCAACATCATTGGCGTGCTGCTCACCAAGACGCTGCTCACCGTTCGCCCCGAGGATGAGACCCCCGTCTCCTCCATCTCCATCCGCCGCGTCCCCAGGTAGGTGGATATTTCCAGATGTCTTCCGCCTTTCAAGAAGTCCTCTGCAAATTGATAATAATATCAATAATAATAATAGTAATAACAATAATAATAACAGTAGTAATAATTATAATTATTTTAACAAATATACAATAATAATCACAATAATAGTAATAACTTTGAGACCTCCCTCTCCTTCCGTCCCCTCCGCCAGGATGGCAGGGAGCATGCCGCTATACAATGTGCTGAACGAGTTCCAGAAGGGCAGCTCCCACATGGCCGTGGTCGTCAAGAAGAAAACCCTGCCCCCTCCCACCCATGATTCCCTCGCTGCGGCTGCCACCTGCTGCTGCTGCCGCTGCTGCTGGTGGTGGAGGCATGGGGGGAGTGCAAGGAGGTGCGGCAGGCCAGGCGGACGTGCTGACGATAACAGTTCCTCCCAGCGCATCGGAGTCCTCTCAGCACGCTCTCTTCAACGACCCCACCTACTGCGAGACCCACAGCCAGGGGGGCGACAGCCGGCGCACCTCAGAGGACTTCTTGCACGAGCAGGGCTATGGCTATGGGGGTGGGAGTGGGAGTGGGAGTGGGTATGGGTATGGGTATGGACGGAGTCAGAGCAACCAGCAGCAGGAGCCCAGGACCCCTCCCCCCCAGGGGCAAGCACAAGGCACTGTGTTTCGAGGGGCATCCACTGGGGACTCGCCGCTGCAACGGTCGCTCACTCCCCCTCCTGGTCATTACCATCAGCATTATCACTTTGAGCGCCCCAGAACGCCCCCGCCAGTGCTGCTGGCAGCGGAAACAGCTGCTCTGGCGACGGGAGGGTCCCCCGCTGCTGCTGCCTTCGCTGCTGCTGCTGCCAGTGTTGGGTACGAGCATGCTCATGGGAACGCTGCTGCTGCCAGTGTTGGGTACGAGCATGCTCATGCACCTGCCATGGCAGAGTCAGGGTTGGGACAAGTGCATATGGCACCACATGCACCGAAGCGAGTGCAGTGGCAGGAGCACACCGGCATGCCTCGTGCTAGCACGTCTGTGGGATCTTCATCTGGTGCACATGGAGCAGTAGGAGCAGGGGGAGCGGCAGGAGGAGCAGCAGGAGGGGGGCCAGCAGGAAGGGGGGCAGGCGGAGGGGCAGGAGGGGGAGCAGGGGGTGCAGCAGTGGGCGGAGCAGGGGAGGAGGGGGAGAGTGTAGACGTGGTGTATTCGACTAAGGAGAGGAAGGCGAGGGTGGGGAGGAGGGAGGGCCATGCGGTGGGTGGGAGGGCGGAGGGACAGCGGAGGGAGCTGGAGAGGGAAGGGTCGAGTGGGTGGAGGTGGGAGAGGAGGGATGAAACGGAGGAGGTGGTGGGGATTATCACCCTGGAAGACGTGATTGAGGAGCTGCTGCAGGTGCGTTGGTCTCTAACAAGTGCACGAGCATTGTCTTGTCAAAACTTTGGAGAACCACGCGCGCAATGAGATGGTTATGGACGCACCGTGGGGCTGGCTGGGCAGTATCACATGGAGGAGCTGCTGCAGGCGGTTGGTGACTTAGAAACTAACCCCTCCTCATGTTTTCATCCCTTTCCCCTTGCCCCGCCGCGCCGGCACCCAACTCCACATTCCGACAGACAGACTCCCTATCTTTGGCTGCCGCACCTTTTCTCCTGAGTATTGTTGGAGTGTTTTCCAGCCCCTTACCTGTCACCTTCTCTGTCCCCTTCCCTTTCTACCCTGTACAACGTCTATCCTTGCTTCTCCCCATCCTGGTTTTCCCTCCTGGGTGGTCCCACAGGAGGAGATAGTGGATGAGACTGATGAGTACATCGACGTTCACCGACGGTATACCTGCTTGCTCACTCACATGCTCTTGCACTCGCTCACTCGTGCACTTGCTCACCCTTGCCTCACTTACGCTTTCGCTCGCCCATGCACTCGCTTGCACTCACTTGCTCACTCACTCACCCACTCACTCACTCACTCACTCACTCACTCACTCATCCACTCACTCACTAATGCACTCTGCTACTGCACAGCATCTGTGTATTCCTGTTCCACTCATGCTCTCAACTTCACTGTTGTTCTCTCTATCGCTTCCCATGCCCTCTCTTGCTCTTTCATGCCCTCTTTTTCCTATAAATTCCCGAAACCTTCAAAGCTGATGGATTTCCATGCTCCCTCTAATCTTCTGCACTTAATCACCACCTATCACCACATCTCACCACATCTCACCACATCTCACCATGTCTTACCACGTGCTGCAGCATCCGTGTGGCAGCCAAAGTGGGGCTCAACATCATGCCCAGACGAATCCCCTCGTCCTCCCGCATGCTTGTGAGCTGCTCAACTCAACCCCTCTCTTCCTGCCTCCATAAGCACGCCACGACGACTCATCAAAGAGTGCAGCTGTCATCCTTGGGATTCCCATCTTGTATGCTCTCAGGCATCATTGCATTTTGCCTCAATTAAGCCTGTTTCTTCATTCTGCACATCCCTGCCAATCTTATCCGATTTCCATTCTCCCTGCCAATCCATCTCCCCCTCCCTTCCCCCCGTTTCCTTTCCCCATCCTCTCCCCCCAATCCCCCCAGGCCAACTCCTCACACAACCTGCAAGGCCTGGTTCGCCCAGATGCTCGTTCCAACCCGCCAGATGTCAACTCGGCATTTGCTGCTGCTGCTGCTGCTGACTTTTCGGCTCTTTCCCGCACACCCCCTGGAGGGGCCATGAGCGCCCCTACAGACTCTGGCATCACTCAGCCTTTGCTTGAAAGAACCTGACCACCAAACCTAGACCCTGTTGAACAAAAAATATGAAGGTGGGAGCAAAAAATGGTGGTAGGGTAGGGGTCTTCAGGGTGCCTGTGTCCGTAGCTGCAGAGCAGACCCACCCTTTTCCAGTTTTGAGCCCCACCATTGGTCCCGCAGTCCCCGTCTGGTTACTGCTGGAAAGGATTTAACATGCCTCCAGAATGTGGCTGCAGTTTTGTGTAAATTGCCTGCTTGAAGATATTGAGCAAGCCCTCTCAGGGGGACGGACCTGCCATACTGTAATGATCCCATTCCCAAGTACCCCGTTCCCCCTCCCCCCTCATTCTCATTGACGGTATGCTGAAAGAAAATTAGGCAAGTTTGGCCTAAACATTCTGCTGTGCTGAATGTGGTGGAACCAGCACACGAGCTTCTAGCCATGCCGGTCCAAATGTATGCACGCAATACGGTACGTACTGCTGCTAACAGCAACAGGGAGGGACTCCTCATTTCACACGACCTCACAAGGGCCAATGCATCAATCATCTATCATTTCTGAGGCGCCTAGACTCCACTCATGATTACACTCGTATAACCACACCAGCTCTCAGGAACACCCTTCTAGCTCTCTCTGTAACTTTCCCCTTATCCACCTTCAGCCACCGTAACTTGGGGAAACTCCCAAGGACACCCCCAATACTCTCCACAGTCACCTTGGGACATGCTACCACACTGAAACGCGTAAGGTTTTCCAGTCTACACTCCGAAATCACCCTGTCGGAGAATGTGTCATTATAGTCCACAAGAAGATGCTCCAAACGAGGACAGGACTCCAAGACCGCACGAAAATCACTCTTTTCAAGCCCCGAGCACGCGTGCAGCGACAGCCGCCTCAAATGCCTAAATGCGATGAGAGACGGGGAAGGCCAAGGGATGGTGGAGAGTAGGGAGACTCGAACATCCGGGGCGAAGGCAAAGCAGTGGAGACAGAGCGACTCTAAAGGCACAACAGCTGCCTCCACAGAGTGGAGTGGCACAGGCAAAGCGCGAGGTGCAGATGCCTGTGTGTAGCTAACACGGGGATCCATGGGTGCTGGAGTGTTTAATGCGGCGAGTGCGTCCACTGGTGCTGCAGCGGTCCCCATGCCTACAGTTGCATCTAGTCCGTCTCTCCGTCGTCCTCCATCTGCTCCTCCTTCCCCACCCGCCCCCCCTCCAACAGTTGCGCCCCTCCCTTCTCTTCCACGCTGTTCCCCGACCGGCGGTCCAAACACCGCAGTGAAAAAATCAATCATCGATTGATGAGGCAGATCAAGCCTCCCTGCACTCAGCATACCAGCAATATCCCACACGGTCCCCTTTCCATACTCCAACCGCAGCGCCTTCAAACACGTACACCCCCCAAGCATGCCCCGGCTCAGCATCGGCACGCCGCTAAGCGTCAGCGTTTCTAAAGCGCCGGCGATGGGTTTAAGCACCGCTTCACTCTCCCTAGGGCTGAAGAGACGCACGTTGCCCCGGAGGGAGAGAGACGCGAGGGAGGAATTAGCAGCTGTTAGAGAGGCCACAGCAGTGGAGGGAACCAAAGGGCAGTCTTGTATGGTCAGGTGGGTGAGTGTGTGGAGGGAGCGCGAGAGAGAGTGCATTTCAGGAAAACCAATTTGCGAGCATGTGCAGAGAGCGAGGGAGGAGAGGAGGGGGAAAGCACCGAGCGATCCCAAGGAGGTTCTGACTGATGCTGATGTGAGGGTGAAGGATTGGAGAGAGGGAAGAGAGGAGGAGGAGGAGGAGAGAGAGGAGAGGAGCGGGTCTGTGAGGTGCCAGAGGGAGAGGGAGGTGAGGGAAGAGCAGTGCGAGAGGGAGGAGATTTGAACTGGAAGGCCGTCTAGGCGGTAGAGTGTGAGGGAGAGGAGCGAGGGGAAGGCGGAGAGGGGCGAGCAGACTGCTTTGGCGGAGACTAGGCGGAGCTCGAGCGACTTGAGCGCGCTGGTGGGGTTGGGGGGAGGGGGAAGGGGCGAGGGTGGGGCGGGAAGGGGTGGGTCTCGGGTGAAACACAGTATTTAAAGACTTTGAAAGGTCGAAGCATAAGCCACGCGATCTCAGATGTCGTAAACGTGCCCGAGGGAGACTTCACTGTGACCAAGGGGCGTAACCTGAACTGAAAGTTGAAATTAGCAACAACAATTAGGACACTCACCGGTACCGCGCACTAAACGCCCTCCATCCATCATCCGTGATCTCGACTTTTGATACTGCAGGGTTATTTAATCAATTCTAAAACATCCTCTTCATCCACTCACCTGCACTGCGCACTGAACGTCCTCCATCCATCTTCCGTAATCTCCTCGCATCCCACGAGGCTCAGCCGCTCCAGCTGCGAGCATCTTGATCCGACGGCCAGGAGCAACTCATCGCCAACCGTCGATTTCCCCCGATCGTTGATCACGGAGAGATCCTCGAGATCCGTGCATCGCCGGAGCAGCGATTCCAGAATCTGGACGTGGGGGGTCCCCTGGCGAGCCTTGTAGGTCAGGGTGCGGCGAGAACGATTTTCGAGTTCGCGGAATCGCGAACAAGCGAGCGCGACGTTTCGCCGATCGACGGGATTCTCGAGCTGACGCACGATCGACGTCAGCACCTCGTCAGGGAGATCAAAGATGGGAGCGGCCCCGCGCCGCTTCATTGTTCTGATGGAGAAACCCACGCTGTTTGCGAGGGAAACAAAAGGGCGACTTCGCTAACCCGCCTCGTAATATGACGGCGCTAGACCTAACAACGAGGTGTCATATATTACTCTCCCTCGCAACGCATCCACACCAAGACGGCCATTACCCTATTTGGCCTTCAGATAGAGCACAAGAGACTTGGCTTCTTGAGGGTGCTTGGGGAAGGCTAACGAACGACGAAATGTTGTTGAAAGATGCGAGACAAGATCACGTCGTCGCAGTTTTGTTGACGAACATAGTTACGCCGGGCTGTCGCACAAACGTTCCCGTCAAGGCACACTTTTTCGATTGGCATAGTTACTGTGCGCTTGTACACTCACAAGTACAGTACTTGCAATTTATTCGTAGTACACAAGTAGTACCGCACACAAGAACCAGACAGGAAAAGCTCACTACTGGAGTTCCCTCTCAGCTAAAAACGAAATAATAAGAAACCTTCAAGCATTGTTGACAAACTTGACTTTCTGAAGACAGCTGCAAAAGACCTTCAGCGCAGCAACGGTGTTAGAATATCGGGGAGATAAAAAAGGATGCCAACAAGGCAAACAGCAAATACTATTGCTTGAAACGGCCTTGCTTGGCACACAGGTGGCAGAAGCTTTCAGTCTGATCTGTGATGCTGAGATCTGCAGTGCCTCAAATCTGCACATGAACCTTCAGTGCCTCGAATCTGCGCATGAACCTTCTCACACTTTCACTCGACACCTCTGCTGCCCTTCTGCAATCCATCTCTACCGCACTCAACCCTCTCTATTCCACCAATACCGAGTTATATCCACCTCTGTCCCTTCCTCTCCAGCTACAGCTGGACCAATGGCAGCAGGAAACATTCGGGGGGACAAGACCAAAAAGAGCACAGATGTGCACTGTGCACGCAACCAGACCACACGGACGCCCGCGCAACACACATCGCAGGCACACACACTCAGGTCGGCACACACGAGTGGTGCCAAAATAGGAGAGCTAAGACGGTTGGTTACCGCATCTAGTAAAACACCTTGTGCCACAGGCCCTGTGGTGGTGTGCCAGACAAGCAGCAGGAAAAGAACTCCCTGTGGGAGCAACATAACAGGATGCTGTGCAGTGTGCTTGTCAAAACCACGTGCAGCTGCAGTGGGCGGTGCTGGTGCTGGTGCTGGTGCTGGTGCTGGTCCTGGCACTGGGGCTGAGCCTGAGCTGCTCTGCTGCCTCTGTAGAGACTGCTGCTCTGCTGCCCCTGTAGAAACTGCTTCGTTAGATAACCGCTTCAGTATAACGATCTTTCACCTAAGATGACTGGGAGGGCTCTTTTGCCGGCCTAGGAACTCATAGTTGATCTCAGCCAATTGGGAGAGGTTCTGAGACGGGGTTTTGAGGGGAGAGGGGGCGAGTGTGGGGAGAAAGGGAAGGGAGGCGCGGGGTGAAAAGTGAGACATGAGTGCACGTGCTTAGGAAGGAGGACTGTGAGAGAGGGCTCGGGGATGGAGAAACCTTGTTACACAGCTCAACGCTTGCAACAACACATGAGCAAGGGTGCACACGCAAGTGCTCACACAGTCGCATGAGCATGAGCACGCACCTTGAATGAGAAGTTGGTGAAGGCAGCAGCGACATTGTCTGAAAAGTTCCTCATGTCTCCAGGCTCGTCCCCCTGCCACGACAATGCAGCAGTGCACACCACAGCACAGCACAGCACACATACAGCAAGGAGAGGCACACAAACACAGGGGGCACACAAACAGAGAAACGGTGAATCGCCGGTTACACAACACTCCTTCATCCATACCCCACGGCCTGTAACCAAACACTGCCTCATCCCACGGCCCACCACACCAATTCGCTTCCACTCCACTCCCTCTGCACTTCATGCCTGCCCTCCTTCCTTCACTTCTCCCTTCCCCCGCCGCCCTCACTGAAGCTCCCCCTGCCTCTCCTCACCTGCTCGCCCCCCTCACTGCCCTCACCTGCTCGCCCTGGTAAAAGTCATCAGCAGACGTGCTGCTACAGGCGCCACTGCTCCCCACCTGCCTTCCCTCCCTTGCTCGCCCCTTCAAGCTCTCACCAGTTCCCAGTCACTCCCCTCTCACTGCCCTCACCTGCTCGCCCTGGTAAAAGTCATCAGCAGACGTGCTGCTGCAGGCGTCGCTGCTGGCGCTCTCACTCTCGCCCATGCCCATGGCCATGCCGCCATCCATCGCCCCCCCCTGCTCCTGCTGCCACCCGCGCGTCAAAAAGTACCCCGTGTCGTGCGGACTGTCTGGACTCGGCACAAACGCCGCCTGGAGGACAGGAAGAGGGGCGAGTCGCGAGGGGGAGGGATGAGGGGAAGGGAGCGAGGCCGGAGAGAATGTGAGGGGTGCGAGAAGTGAGGGGCGAGGGAAGAGGCGCGGGGGAGAGGGGCGAAGGATGAGGAGGAGGGACGAGGATGAAATGGGAATGTGTGAGCGAGGAAGAGCGCAAGGGGGCTGCACAAGCGTCGAAAGGGGAAATGACACATGGTATGCGGCACATTTCACATGGCACAAAGCACATGACATATAGCACACCAGACCCAGAGCCACCTGCAATCCCAGATTCCCAGACCCACCTGCTCCTGCGCGAGGGTCTCCCAGCGGATGCCGGCAAAAAAGGGGTGCGCCTTCACCTCCTCTGCGCCCCTCGCCCCCAGCCTCAGCGACGGCTCCGGATGCAGCAGCCTGGTGGCGGGACAGAGGGGGAGGGGGAAGGGGAGAGAGGGGGGGGACATATGAGTTGCCTCAAAAGACCTCCTCTGCTCCCCTCGCCCCCAGCCTCAGCGACGGCTCCGGATGCAGCAGCCTGGTGGCGGGACAGAGGGGGAGGGGGAAGGGGGGAGAGGGGGGGGACATATGAGTTGCCTCAAAAGACCTCCTCTGCTCCCCTCGCCCCCAGCCTCAGCGACGGCTCCGGATGCAGCAGCCTGGTGGCAGGACAGGGGGGGAGGGATGTCGGAAGGGGGAGGGATTGACGGGTGAGACAAGGAGAGAGGGAGAATGAGAGGGATGAACGGCACACATAAAGGTACAGACTCAGCCTGAAACAGACAAGATGAAACAGGCAAGGCAAGCACACGTACTTGTCACTGAGGTCCATGGCCTCGTACGACATCTCCTCAGGCACTTTTTGAGTCGACTCAATAGTCAAAATTGTGACGCAGGCAGGGACTCAATAGTCCATGGCCCGTCTATGAGGCCTACGTCCTATGAACACGTACTTGTCAATGAGGTCCATGGCCTCGTATGACATCTCATCAGGCACCTCCGGCCATGGAATGTCACGGTTCAGAATGTTGTCAAATATGATCTGCACGATTTGAGCCGCAAGGGATGGTTGGAGAGAGAATATGAGCATGAGCATGTGTGTGTGCGTGAGCGTGTGTGAGTGCGTGTGTGTGCGTGGGTGCAGGAGTTACCAAGACACCACAAGAGCACAAAGCCAGCAGGCCACGACCCTCTTGCAGGTGACTCACCTCTGGGGAGGGCGCATTGAAAGGGGGAACACCACAGAGCAGCTCAAAGAGCATCACTCCCACTGCCCACCAATCCGCTGTGGCGCCTGCAGCACCAAGGAAGAACCAGTTAGGGAGGTGGAGCGAGCAAAGGTGCGGAACAGAGGGATAGAGATGAGCAGTGCAGCAGGAAGGGAAGGGATAGAATGCAAGGCGTGTGTGCGCTTGCAAACAGCTCGTCACAAGTCCCAAACCCACTAACTCACCCGATTCCCGTCATGCCTCATACCCACCACCACCCATCATGGCCCTTCCCCACCCACCACAACCCATCCCCACCCACCACAACCCATCCCCACGCACCATGGCCCGTGCCGAGCAGAATCTCCGGAGCGAGATAGTCCGGAGTGCCCACCGTCTGCTCCTTCTTCTTCTCCACATCCGCCGACGCACTCCGCCCGGCACCCTGCAACGACTCCACCTCAGCTTTCCACGCTGGTGACGCCGACCCTCCCCCCATCCCCCCCGCACCTCCCCCCCCTCCCACACTCCCCGCCCCTCCGCCTCCCACCATCCCCGCGCCGCCCGGAACCCCTGAAAACGGGGAAGTTCGGCCGGAAGAGGACGACGGGCGGGAGGATGCCCCGGACGGCGCGTGCGGAAAGTCTGCTGCCCGGTCTGCCGCCCAGAGAGGCGACGTGGGGATCGACGCCGAGACTGATGCGCCGGAATCTATCGAGCCAGACTTGGGGAAACCCATGGCGGCTGGGGTGTGGGAGGAAAGAGCAGCTGCTGCTGCAGCTGCGGAGGCAGAGGCAGAGGCGGCAGCGGCGGCGGCAGCGGCGGTGACGTTGGGCGATGGGGGCTCGGAGGGTCCTGTGGTGGTGAGAGGACCGATGGCGAAATCACCTGTGCTGTTGAATAGACCCATTTGGGAGAGCCCAAAGTCCGTTAGCTGTGGAGGAGGGATTGTGAGAGAGGGAAAGGGATGAGCCGGACGAGGGTGAGAAGGAAGGAAATGCATCAAAGAGGGGAAAATAAGCAGCAAGAAGCAGGCATGGGTTCTCATTGACACACAGAAGCCCTAATGTTGACATCAAGAAGACCTCAATCTGTTAGTGAGCTAGCCTCACCTTGATGTGGCCATCGTAGGCAATGAGGAGGTTGTCGGGCTTGAGGTCCCGGTGAATGATGCCACTGGCGTGCAGATGCTCCAACGCCAACACCTGATGACGGTGGTGGGGTGATGGGAGAGAGGAATGGAGTGGGTGAGGGATGGCCTGGGTGTGTGGGGCGAGAGAGCAGTGAGACGCCTCAAAACGGAACCATAGCAGGCATGCGAGGGCAGGAGTGAAGGCACACGTGGGCAGAGCAGGGAAGGGCACATACTAATTCAGCGATGTAGGCGCGGGCCATGGGCTCTTCGAGGCAGCCGAGGTTCTAATTCTTTGAACAACTCACACAGGACTCGCAGCAGGGCAAGGGCAGGCCTAGGACGGGCAGGCCTAGGACGGGCACATACCAATTCAGCGATGTAGGCAGCCGAGGTTCTATTTCTTTGAACAACTCACACACGACTCGCAGCAGGGCAGGGCAGGCCTAGGACGGGCAGGCCTAGGGCACGTACGAGTTCAGCGATGTAGGCGCGGGCCATGGGCTCCTCAAGACAGCCGAGGTTCTGCAGCAGCGAGAAGAGGTCGCCCCCGTTGAGATACTCCATCACCAGATAGAGGTTCTCGCGGCATGTGAATGAGTAGAAGCACCGCACCTGAGGGCAGGGGCGAGGAGAGAAATGCGAGACATGGGACAGGGGAGGGGATAGATGGTGGGGAATGACGAGTGTGTAGGAAGGGTCACCCCTGTTGAGATACTCCATCACCAGATAGAGGTTCTCCCGACACGTGAATGAGTAGAAACACCGCACCTGGGGCGAGGGGCGGGGGGCGAGGGACAAAGGAGAGACAAGGGGGACACGGGGAGGCATGGAGGGGATAGGTGATGGGGACAGCTGAGCGGGTGAGAAGAGGTCGCCCCCGACACGTGAACGAGTAGAAGCACCGCACCTGGGGAACAGGGACGAGGAGAGGAATGCGAGACATGGGACAGGGGAGGGGATAGATGGTGGGGGACGTAGAGCGTGTAGGTAGGGTCGCCCCCGTTGAGATACTCCATCACTAGGTAGAGGTTCTCGCGGCATGTGAACGAGTAGAAGCAGAGTACCTGGGGGCAGGGACGATGGACGAGGGGCGGGAGGTGGGGAGAGGTGATGGGGACCGAGGACTAAAGGCATGTGCATAGAGCATGGTAATGCATGGCGTATGGTGATGTGTGGCGCACAGTGCGAAATGGCAATACACAAAGGGGTGAACGCACAATAACTTTTCGAGGGGAGGAGCAAGCATGCCACGAATGCATACCACGCAATCAACCAAGGCATGCAAGGCATGCGTACCACAAACGGGCTGCGCACGGACGCAAGGATGTTGCGCTCTGCCTGCACGCTCTCCACTGCGTTCTTGCGCACCATGTCCGCCTTGCGCAACACCTGGTGCACACATGGGGTGCGACAGGCGGGACAGGGGAGGCACAAGCGCAGCACAATGAGTCAGAAATTAACTTCGGAACACCTGCGGAGTTTTCACAATGCCTTTCTCTCTGCCTGCACACTGTCCACTGTCATCCTTGAGTAACACCTGGTGCAGTCAGCACACACAGCCGCTGAGAGGCACGGGGGACGGGCATTTGGAATCAGCAATTAACCTCAGAAGGGCGCCTCTCTCTCCGCCCGCACGCTCTCCGCCTGCACGCTCTCCGCCTGCACGCTCCCCGATGCATTTTTGCACACCATGTCCACATTGCCATCCACCCAGTCAGCACCCGCCCCCCCAGTCATGCCCCTAGCCATGCACCCATGCGAGCACCCACACACACACGCACGCACACACCTTGATAGCAAAGAGGTCACCCGTGGTCTTTTTCTTGGCCAGGAAGACACGCCCGTACGCGCCCTTGCTAATCGGTTTAATCAGCTCAAAGTCGTCTATCGTCGTGCGATCCCGACCCGCCGCAGAGGCCGACGATGACGACGCAGCCACAGCACCCCCACCGCCGCCGCCACCACCCCCACCAGCAACACTGCCGGCGATGCTGCTACCACCGCCCATAGAGGCGTTGGGCGGGGTGCTGCGGGCGCTGCGCGAGAGATGCAGCACGTCCTCCCCGTCCTCGTCCGCGTACTGCATCGCCTCGCCCCCATCTGCACCCCCGTAGCCCCGCAGTGCACTGCCTGCTGCCGCCCCCATCTGGTGGTCCAGAATGTCCCTCAGGCGGTAGTACTTCTCCCTGGCAACCACCAGGGGAGGCACGCAGGGGGAAACGGGAGTAAGGCAACAGAAGACAGTCATGCAGGAATGGAGACACGGATCAAGCAATGATGAGCTTCGCCTAAAGTACCTCGAGCCAGGCGTTTGAGCGGACTTGAACACTGTCAAGCAAGCAAGCTAGCACGCATGCGCAATCGAGCGAGCAATCCCACTCACTGCAGCAGCTTGGTGATGCGGCGGCCGAACACATCAATAGTGAGGAAGCGCGCGTCGTTGGTGCGCAGCAGGTCCGTGAGGTCCCTCATGTCCGTCAGCAGCAGCTCCTCTGGCTTCTCGTCCTCCAGTGACACGTCTGCTACGTCCTGTGCTATGTCCGCCAGGTCGTCCATCTGAGGAAGGGCGAGGGAGACAGGGTTGCACACATGGATGTGCTCCTACCTCAGCTCAGCTCCTTTCCCCGACCAGAAGTACTGTATTCTACATCTTGATTCTTGGAAAAAACTATATAACTACGACTGAAACTTCAATCCCGAGACTCACCAGAGCAATCTCCTCCTGTGCCACCATGTGGATATGCTCCTCCATCAGCTCCCTCCCTCCTCCTGCCAAAGCGCTCTTCAGCAGCGACGACCCAGGGCTGCCATACCCCCCATGGCTCTCCCCTCTCGTGCCCGCCGACCCTGCCGGCGACGTGGGCATGGGGGACGATGTCCCCGCGGATAGAAACCCGCTGGTGGAGGTAGCGCCGCTCATGCTCGTCATTGTGCTCATGGACGGCTCGTATTGGGAGCCTTCCTCGCCGGCTCCCTGCAGGACTGCTGCTGCTGCTGCTGCTGCAGCTGCTGCTGCTGCTGCTGCTGCAGGTGGTGGCTCACATACGACCAGTTAGACACGTTGCTGCTGCTGCTTCCCCCTGCGCCCTGATGCTCCTGATGCATTGAATGCTCTGGATGATCCTGGTGCTCTGGGTGCTCCTCTGTGGGGCTTATCGGGACGCCAGGGTGCAACGACCCGTTTTCTCTGCTGCAGTGCTCCGCTGCATCTTGCTCGCGCATCTGCTGCTCCTCCCCTTCATACCCCTCTGCCCCCTCCCCTTCTCTGTCTCCTTCTCCCCCTGCCGCGCCGCCTTCGTCCCCCTCGCGCATGTCTGCATGAGACACCATACTGCTGCCCAGGGGAGACAGGAACCTGCCACCACCCTGCTTCGCCCCTGCACCTCCCCCCACCCCCATCAACCCTACCTGCTGGGAATGCGAATCCAGCCCTGCGGGTACAGCAGACGACGCCGCCCCGCCAGTAGCAGACGAGGAGTTGGACGGCACGCGTTGGAACGACATGGCGCTCAGCCGCGACACCTGCTCGTTCGAGATGTGATCCAGGCCGTCCGCTAGCCGCCTCAGCCGATCGTCGATCGAAAACTGCGCCGAGTCGCACCGATTTGCGAGCGCGCACAGCCGCGAGTGCTCCTGCAACTGCGTAACATTCACCTCCTCTTCACAAATACGACAAATCACCACACACTCCTGCTCCCCCTCGTTCGGAACCATCCCATCCATACCCTCCTCCTCCTCGTTCTCCCCCTTGCCCCAGTACCCGTACTTATACTGCACTCTTCGCCCCGACACAGAGCGCATCATCGCCTTCTCATGCAGATCGTCAAAATCCTCTGCAAGATTACCCGAGGGCGAGGGCGGTTCTCTCGCCCCCCCGTGCCTGCGGCTCTCCATCCGCTCGTCCTCCCCGCTTGGAACCCGCACGTCCCACGCTCTGCTGCTGCGCCCCTCGCCTCGTCTGTGCGCCTTCTCCGACTCCCCCTCCCGCCGCACGTCCCCCTGCCCCTGCCGCGCCCCTCCCTGCCCCCCCTTCCTCCCCTCTATTCCCTCACTCCCCTTAATCCCCTCCTGCGGAACCGCCATGCTCCCGTCCGCCATACTCGTGTCCCCCGCTTCGCCCCATGCTCCGCCAGTCCCCGCCGCCCCTGCGCCAGCTCCCGCGGAAAGGGCTGCTGCAACCTCGGGTTCCGCGCCTCCTGATGCGCTTAACGCCGCACCCAGCGCCGCCGCTACCTCCGCGTCTCCCGCTGGCCCCATTTCCCGCACCGCTGTTCCCGTCGGTGCTACCGCCGCTGCTACCGCCGCTGCTGCTGGCGCCAGGGCGGGGGGAGAGTCACTGGATCGGGAGAGGGAGGACTTGTCCCGCGCGGACTGGCTGCGCATGGCGCGCTGAATCTCCTCCTCCTTGCGGATCTCCGCCACCCGCCCCCACAGCAGCCCCCGCGCGCTCGTCGACCCGTGCACCTCCGCGTCCGCTGGCGGAGCGGGCGGACCCGCCATGTGCGCTTGCTGTCCCCCCATGAGCACGTCCGCGCCTGGCACGAGCATCTGCGCCTGCTCTTGCGCGAGCGCCTGTGGCTGCAACAACTGTTGCTGCAGCTGCTGTTGCTGCAGCTCCTGCACGTGCTGCTGCGGCACCCCGGATAGCACCTGATCCTCCTGCTGCTGGGGATACTGCTGCTGCGGCTGCTGTTGGAACAACTGCTGCAGCCATCCCTGCTCCCCACTCGTGCTCGCCAATGACACGTCCCCTTCCTCCCGTCCATCATCCGACAACCGTTTACTCTGCATAGGCGATGGGGACATGCCGCTGCTCTTCCTGCCCGCACTCTTGTCCCTCCCTTTCTCCGCCTTCTCCTTGCCCTTATCCATTTTCTCCTTCCCTTTTTCCTTCTCCTTCCCCTTCTCCTTCTCCTTCCCTTTCTCCTTCTCTTTTCCCTTTTCCACCCTATCCTTCCTCGCTTCCTCCATCTCTGCTGCTTCCTCCTCCTTAACCGACGCCAATAGCTCCTCTAGCTTTCCACTAACCATCCGAACCAAACTCGTCACTCCGCCAATCAACCCTCCGGACAGCTTCTTCTTTGACGAACTGAGCCCCGAACCTGAGCCCGAGCCTAGTCCCAAGCTCGAGCCCAGGCCCGACGAGCCAGAAGGCGCAAGTTGGCTGGACGAGCTTGAACCCAATCCAGATACCGAACCTAATCCCGAACCTCCGTCACCCAACCCTGCGCCAAGCCCGGACCCAAAACCTGTTCCGAACCCGAATCCGAAACCGGAACTTGCACTCGCACTCGCACTCGCGCTAGCGCTATCATCTTGGTTAAAATCCCCGCCGGGAACGTAAGTACCGTCGTCTAGCGCCCCTCTCATCTCCGCCACTGCGGCACTCCAGTCGTCCATCATATTCGACTTGCTCTTGCTCCGCTGCTTCCCCTCATCCTTGCGCGCGCCCAGCCCCAGCCCCGCGCCCCCCTTCTGGTCCGCCTTCGGGTCGCGCACCCGCCAGTCCGCCGGCGCGGGGCACGAGTCCCACCGGATGATCGGCCGCTGCGGCGGCTGCTGCGCCTGCTGCGCCTGCTGCTGCCGCTGCAGCCGCGCCTTCTCCGCCGGCTGCCCCGCGGCCTGCTCCGCCGAGTGTTCCGCCGAGTGCTCCGCGAGGTGCTCCGCGGAGTGGCCTGCGGGGAGCTCTGCGGGGCGTTCCAGCGGCTTCGATGCCGTATACGAGGAGAAGTGAGTAGCCGCCATGGACGCTTGCGATCGCAGCGTCGACGGCAAGCCAGGCGGGCGGTTACGAACCATCGGCGTCGCTAAGACCTCCGCGCCCCTATACGGACCCCCGTACACTCCCCCGTACGGCATCTCCGCCTCCGCTTCCTTCTGCGACTGCAGCAGGCGCGTGCAGCGCGTGAGAATGAAGAGCATTTTCATGTGCAGCTGCTTTAGGGTTCCCATGGGAAGCTGCTGCCGCGCCATGTTTAGATCATGCACGATATCTTCGCACGCCGATCCGAACTCATCTGCGCGCATCCGTAGGCATTTCTCGGCTAGGTCTTTAAGATAGAGCGCTCCTTGCTCCCATCTGGACGATTCCGGCGACATGAGAAACGACGTGAACGTTGACGGGTAGGCGTTAGTGGGTGAGACGGGCGACTTGGGAGGCGTTCTGGGCGGCGCGGCGCCTGGGAGGTTCAGCCGCTTGGCGATGTCGCTAATGAACACGCGAAGCTCGTCGTCGACTTTTTTCTTCGCGTATTCGAGCGCTCGTTCGAGATTGCTCATGGACCCGTCCTGTCGCACCGAGAAATGCGGGAGAAAAGCAGACGGCGCAACACGGGAGGAAGCAGACGGAACAACACGGGAGGAAAGGATAACGGAGAAACGTTTGGAGCCAAGCGGGAGCCAAACACACGGAGAGACACACGATACGCACATCCACAACCAGTTGAGGGGGCCTGGAGGTGTGTGGATGGAAAGAGCAAGGACAGGCAAAGCACAAAGCATACGGTAGGAGCAAGCAACCTCGCACAATCGTCAACGAGAGAACAAACGGAGCAGCAAAGTCTCTTACGCTGACGTCGAGGTGCGACACGCGAATGCTGGGCCGCTGCGACGACATCGACAGGGGGTGCGCCTTGCCCGGCGTCATGTGCTTATGGCCGCCGGTCGTGCGGTTGAGCGAGCTAATGCTTTCAAGCATGCTGAAATCCATGCTCAGCGGCATGCCCGACATAACCTGGGATGGTTTGTATCAATTGGTAAGAAAACGGGAATATATGCACAAAAATGAAAACGGCTGAGCGGCGGTAATGAAGTGGAGGGGATGCAGACATGTAATAAGGAACCCTAGTTGACGCTTGCGGAAGTAACGAGTAACAGTGTACACAAATTCCAAGAGCGTGCAAGCCAGGGACGTTCATGAAAGGGACAGGCGATTCGTGACGAGGTTTTCGTAAAATACACGCAGAGGAGGATAACAACGGGGATGAGAACGAGGTAAGGAACGCACATCGGGGAGGCCTGCGGAGAGAGGATGCATCTGGGAGAGGCCGTTGTGACCCATTCTTAGCGATTCCGCTCTCGCACCGGGATCGGCCATGGACATTCCGTTGCTCTCGCGCGAATGAGCCAATCCGCTACCCTCCCTCGACTTATCCAGTCGCAACGCCTCGAAGCTGGCTTCTAGACTAGGGTTAAGCTCCCGAGCTCTGTCTGGTCTCAGTAACGGACTCACGTCCCTCTCCCTCTCGCGGTTCCTACTCGTCCCTCGCGGCGTCGACAGGACGTCATGGTAAGGGTTCGGCATTTCGTGCTTTGACGGCCGCTGGGGATTCAGCGACCCTGTTCTCTCCAGCATCGCTCCTACGCTCTCGGAAACTATCCTGCTGATTTTATTCTACAGCTAGCAACCGCGAGGAAATGCATTGAAAGAACATCCCAGAAGCTGTGTAGCTTCCCTTGCGGTGACCGTTTCCAGCTACCAACGGACCGTCCGCGATCACACGGTCCCAAGTGGGTCCGAAATCTGGTTTACGCAATCGCACCACTGTTCCCAACTATCACACTCAAAACCTGTTGGAAGCAGCCAGAGCATGAGCGGCTGTTGGAGCCATAAAACGGAGTGAAACCCTAGAATGGAATCAGCGAAGAAAAGGGTCGGTCGCTGGGAAGCTATGGGATGATGGGTTGGGCGAGGGAATGGGGAAGTGAAGGTAGTGCTGGTGGGGTGGGGTGGGGCAGGGGTGTGTGAGGTGAAGGGGCATGCAGCAAACCTTGGGAACTGCGTGCGACAAAGTCTGGCACACCGCGATCAAGCGTAGAACGGAAGCTGCGATTCACACTCAGAGCTGCGATACACACCGATATCTTCCTTCGCTTGGCTGGTAGCCTTGAAAGCTGCGCGCGACGCAGTTCTGGGCAGTTCCGACTGAGTGGGGCTGCTGCGGAATTTCAATACTGTCGCATTGGTGAAATGCTGGGTTGCGTGTCGCACACTTGCGCTTGACTGACCAGGCATGTGCATCGCACTGTCATCGTCACGCGATGTCGCACAGAAAGTCGCAGAGCCATCATCGAGCAAATGATTCGTGCGACATGGGCACGTGTGGAAGGATCTGTGTCCATCTGGAAGGCCAACATGGGTAAACTTCGTCAGCCGTGAGACGCGATTGCGATGAACGGCGCGCAAAAGCCTCGCTAAAGGTCGCTTCATAATGTGACGTATGGGTCCTTGTTGAATGCACTACCACTACTACATAAAAGCACAATAACAAGTTTTGCCCGTTTTCATAGAATGACTATTGCAACAGGAAAAGAAAACATAGCATTAATCCATGGTTTCATCCTCGTCATCATACATCCTCCTCTCTGGAGGAGTGGCATCCACATACTCATCTTCATCACCGATTCCTTCACACTGATCTTCACCCAAAAGTCCACTAATACGCCCCCGTAATCTGTCGTCCATCTCATCATCCTCCGTATTTTCAATCCAACGGTCTGGATCTCTCTGAAGGGGAGGTGGCTCCGCGAAAGAGGCTTCTTTCGCAAAATCCCACAAAAAGAGATGGGAAAGTAAAGCGCAAATGCAAGGACGAAAGCAATGAGGCACTGTGGGAAAATTGGAGCGACTGGCATGAGAGGCAAGATGAGGTGGGTGAATTATGAAATTCCAAACCTCAAAGTGTCGAAACCGGGGGAGAATGGGGGGCAGGGAGAGGGAAGGGGGGAGGATTGGAAGGATTCGAGGAAAGGAAACAGGTAATGGAGATGACTTACGTTGATGTGGTGCTTGCCTCCCTGGGGTGGACGCCTCCGTGGGCATGAATCGCCCAGCAGACACATCAGCAGCACCGCCAGCCACCATGCCATTCCCACCCACACTACCCCCTGTGTTGCTTCTAACAGCAGCAGCATCACCGCCACCACCACTGCCACCTCGTGACGCCGCTGCCAGCCGACCAATGGGAAGCTCCTCGGTGGCGTCCTCGCTGTCTGGAACCTGATTGGCTGCATGCTGTTGCTGGTACTGATCGTGCTGTTGCTGCCGTTGATCTTGCTTCTCATGGCCCGGAGGTGGTTGTTGCTGCGCCCTGGGCCACGTGCTGCTTCCTCTTCTCCCACCGCCACTCCCCTCTTCTCCACCCGGACCTGCTGAATCAGCACCAGATCTGTGTGCTGTGCCTTTCGCCCCTGCCATGGACCCACACAGTGAGTATTAGGGAGAGAATGGAGAGCCCCTCCTGCATACTGCATGGATGGAAATGCAATGCACAGCGGAATAGAAAAATCCTGGAGCAGTTTTATGTGTGAAAGGGAAAAGCACGCGAGTCAGTAGCGTATTGCCAGAAGACTTAAGGCGCAGATAAGTTAATCGAATCCACCAGGCAAACAGCACTGATATTGGCACACAAGTCGCCACACCTGCAAGGCCCGACCTTACCTGAGGGGTCCGGCTGTACCTGAAAGGTCTGACCACCGTTTTCCATGTGCCCAGCCTGCCTCCAGCCTTGCTCCTGCACCTGGATCCTTCAATGGAACCTTCTCAGCACCTTCCTCGACCCTCATCTCATCCCCTCCCTCTTCCTCTCCTTCACCCAGCCCTCCTCCTCCTGGATCTTCCCTGCAACCCGAGCCTACTGGATAGGCTTGGTGGGGAACTGCTCCCGAACCTGCATGACAGGAGCGCTGGGAGCCTGACACTGCAACAGTAGGAGTTCCAGCTTCGGCAGACGCTCGGGAAACCGATCCCTTGTGAGCAGGGGCGGCAGCTTCGGCAGAGGCTCGGGGAGTAGACGCAGCTCCGTGGATAGGGGTGGCAGGCGTGCCAGGAGGGGCAGAGGCTCGGTGAACGGAAGGGTCGGAAGGAGGGGGAGTGGGGAGCTGGGATTCGAGCATGGTGGCAATCACAAGGCGGGAGTCAAAGTCAGATGCGAGTGCTGCGTGCGCGTGTGCGTGGCGGGAGTTGCGTGTGGGAGTGGTGTGCAGGTTGGGAAATCTCGGCATGAGCATGAGGGGGCTGCCGAGGACAAAGCGATGCAGGGATGACAGGGGGGGAGAGGGGGAAAGAAAGGTGGGAATGAGGGCGAGGGGGAAGGGGGAAAGAGGTTTTGAGTGTTTGAGTGATCGAAACATGGAGCAGACAAGGTGGAAGGGGGTGAGTGAAGCAGGGGTTATCTGGTTGGAGCAGAGGAGCTTGCACTGCAAGGAAGGACTGAGTACTATTGTTCTAGAGGCTACTACAGTGTATTCAAGGACAAATCAAGACGATCCAGAGGGGGGTGATGCCTTGTGAGCAGCACTCACGCTCCGGCTCGATGGAAGAGCATGACCACGTCTGCCGCTGCTGACTCACAGAACTGCACAAACGCCTGGTGGCGTGAGAAAAGGGGCCACGGAAAAAAGAAGAGGAGTGGGTGGTGGGGGGCGGAGAAGGGTGGGAGGGGCGTGGATGGTGGGTGTGAAGCAGGACAGAAAGCCATCCCCCATGTGGCGGTACACATCAAAGTGCTCCACTTCCTCCACCCACCCAACACACCACACAACACACCACACCGCAGACCACACCACTCTCCTATCCCCCACACTCCTCTCACCTTCACCTCCTTCACACTGAAAGTGACGTCCACAGCGTCCCCCCTGTGGCAGTACGCCTCGAAGTGCTCCCCAGGGTCCACCCCATCCACCTCACTCCCATCTCCCACACCCCCTTCCCCCGCACTCCAATCTGACAGGGTATTCGCACCTTCACCTCCTTCACGCTGAATGTGACGTCCACAGCGTCCCCCCTGTGGCAGTACGCCTCGAAGTGCTCCCCGGGGTCCACCCACAGCTGCGTGTGCATCGCTGCCTCTGGAGACGCCTCCAGCCGCCTGTCCGCTGACGCGCCTGCGGGGGGAGCGGAGGTCCAGAAGCCAGAACCACTGACGGAAAGAGGGTTTTAAGGTTTGCCTTTGACTACAAAGGCAAGGAGTGGACGAGGAGAACTAGGCAGAGCCCAGGGGCGGTGTCACAGGACGCAAGCCAACATGTTTCAGCCAGCCAGGCTATGTGAGGCCTGGCTTAGAACCCCTCCCCCTGCTTCAAATGCCCCTTACTGCTCCAATGCCTTGACACCCCACGTGTGCAATATGTTTCACATGCGTCAGCATGAGTAGGGCTCCACATAGCTCCCATCACCCAGCTAACGGAATTTCAGATGACATCTACCCGCTCATGCACCTATGTTTCAACACACCCACCAGCATGGGTCGGCTCCACATAGCTCCTCATCTCAACCGCCTTCGCCTCACTGCCCCCTCCTCTCCCCGCCGCACCTCCCCCCGTGCCTGTTCCCGAGCCTGTCACGTCCTCAGGGTCGGCAGCAATGATGGTGATCTCAGAAAGCGTGGACTGAAAGTGGTTGAGCAGCTGTAACAGGGCCTTGGGGCGGGCGACGAGCGAGGAGGGGTACGTGGAGGGGTCGATGGAGGCTGACAGCACCTCCCTGTCGTTCACACACGCAATGGTGTATGTCTTGCGCATGCCTGATGGATGGAGAAGAGAGCAATGGAAGCAGAGATAGGGGAGGGGGAGAGTGCGTTTGGGTGGACTGGAAAGTCAGATGGAGGCTGACAGCACCTCCCTGTCGTTCACACATGCAATGGTGTATGTCTTGCGCATGCCTGATTGGAGGGTGATGAACTGAGGGAGGGGGATGGGAGGAGTGTATGTCGAGCGCATGCCGTTCTGAAAATCTAGCCCAAGGTTTTCCAGCCACCCCACATACCCGTTTGCCATTCCATTCTGACGAGTTGGGGCTAAATTTCGATGCCCGTTATAGATACCCAGCATACCGTTCTGGCAGTCGATGATCCAGCGAATGTTGTCGGGTTCCTTGCCATCTGCTGTGATGGTGAGGGTCTGCATGGCTGCCGGTGCCGTGCGGAACACTGCTAGCACTGACTGCTCACCACGCATGGACATGCACATACATGCACATACATGCACATACATGCACATACATGCACATACATGCACATACATGCACATACATGCGCATGCATGCATATGTTCGCACGCACATGAAGATATATGCACAAAAGAATCTACACATAAGCATGTCCTCTTCTCTCTCACACCCCCCCATCACACACACACCCATCAACAGACAATAAGGTTTGTTGAATAGCAGACAGAAGGGATGCGCAATCAGGGCAAAAGCAAAATTGATCTTAAAAAAAAAAAGGGTCAATCACTTGCATGCAGTAACACGTTAATAAAGAGCAACTTGACTCACTTTGACTACCTCGACCTGACTTGACCAGATTAATCCGTCTTGACCACAATGACATCCTTGGACCAACTTGACCCACCTTGACCAGTGCGGAGCAGGAGCAGGTGGTTTCGGTGAGCTTGAAGGTTTGAAAGTAGTCTGTGGCAAAGTTGACCACCAGGTAGGCCGTCTTGGCCGTGTTGATGCCTCGCAGGGACAGCTGTGAGGAATAGATGAGGGAAACACAAGAATGAGGCTTTTAATTGAACTCAATATTCAAGTTGACCACCAGGTAGGCCGTCTTGGCCGTGTTGATGCCTCGTACTGACAACTGTGAGGGATGGATTAGGGCAAGCCGGGTGTGCTGAGTGGGTTGAGGCTGATCACCGTTGTTGGTGCTTTTGGCATCGACTCAACGTAGGCCGTCTTGCATGTGTTGGTTCCTCGCGTCGACAATTGTGGGGATGAACGAGGCTCAGGTTATTATACAAAACAATTAGTCAGGCTGAGAATGGCGAACACTGACAATAAAGCTTCTCACAATAATGGACAGATCACGGCAGTTTGCGCTTAGATTAGCAACTGTAAATAGCTTCCCCTTCTATTCATGATCAGGTTCGGTTAACACCTTCACACAGAGCAATCGCTTCCACGTTCTCACTCATTATCGGAAATATTCGTGTGACTTTTGAGAATTCTCAAAAGTCACACGAAAATTCTCAAAAAGTTCGGTTAACACCTTCACACACAGCAATGGCTTCCACATTCTCACTCATTATCGGCCCAAATTACCATTTTGCCATCAATAACCGCCTCCGTCCACATCGTACCTCCACAGGAGCTGCCAGAAAGGTGATATAGTCGCTGTGAGCCACCTTGGCCAGGCACTGAACTGCTCGGCACAACCCGCGAATCTGCTCGCCTGACAGCTGGCACTCCATGATTGGTTTGGTTTGGAATCCTAACGCGGATGAGTATGAAGCGTCTTCTTGTCACCGCGCGACTGGCCCTTTCAGGATAACAGAGATTTATATTCTCGTCCGCTAATTTGGCTCGCTAGTAAAAAAAACGAGTGTCTGCGTTAAGAGCGACAACGCAGGAAGAGACACAAGGATCGGGCGGAATCGGCTGCTGTTATCGTCAGAAGCTAAAAGTATACGCGATCGTTGGGTAACTCATTGGCTGTCTCGTAACAGCGAAGGTCTCCGCACCAGCAACTGACAAGTGAAACACGGATAATTCCTGTGATTCTACTGCACGCTGGACGTGTCATCCTTTTGTGAAGCGTCAATAAGAGCTAAAGACGTTGCTAGCTACTCACCCGCCCTCTCTATCGGTAGCAACAGGTCAGTTCATTCATTCCCTTGTCTGCTTGAAATTGCATGGGACGGTGTGCCCTTGGGCACTGCCACTGCGTGAGGATGACGATACTCGCTGACACTGGCTCGGCTATGCCATCAAACCAGAGCCCAACCAATCCCAAGGCCCGCGGAAGGGCCAGCTTTTGCATCAAAAGTTCCGCTAGGTTGAGCTTCGTTTCCAAAAACTGAAAAACCAGTATAGGCCGAACTTGATTATCATACATAGGAATAAAGCATTAATTGAATATTGAGTTTGGAAGACCCCGACTTGGGGGAATAAAGGTGGAACTCAATCACTTCATCAGATTCTTCCTAGGGCGCTCTTCACTTCATACCCCTCTTCGTCTCCCCTTTTGGGCTCACATCTCTGCTGCTGCAACCATGCACGAACAAGATTCTATCTAAGTGGATTGAATGGCCATGCAAGGTGTTCCCAGCTGACCAAAAGTAGCCAGTCTGCATAATTTTAATGGTGATGATTGTGAGAGTATCTATGGACAGGCCAGTCTGCATAAATCATCTGCGCACCAGATGGTTCTACAAAGTTCTTATTGATGTTGTATACGAAACCAACGTGACAGTTGAGGGACCTGCCAATTCTAATTGAAGGTTGCGAATAAGCTTTACGCCTTGAGGCACTCGTATGCAAGCTCCTTCTCCTCAACAAGCTCAGCTGCTGTGGCCTCCATCTTCGCCTTCGAGTTGGCATCGATTGATAGACCTGAGGAAAATTGAAACGGGTTTACACAAATGACAGGGCATAAGGATTCTTAAAAACAGCAGCACGGAAGTAGAGGACTGAAGACTGGAAGTGGGGATGAAGAAGCCTTGTACCAGTAACAGGTTGCAAGGTGTCCAGGGTGCAGGGAAGAAATATTACCTTGCACAATGGTCCACTCGCCATCCTTGCATGTGACAGGGAAGGAATAGATGATGTCCTTGGGAACTCCGTACGAGCCGTCAGAAATGACTCCCATGGACACCCAAGTACCCTGAAGAGCGGAAAAAACAGGCATGATTTGAGCAAAGCGGCAAGGAGATATAAGTGATACCAGCAAATACAGCTAGGATGTAACAGCAAAAAGAAACATATCATGCAAGTGACCATTACCTCGGGTGTGCCCTTCACCCAGTTCCGGATGTGGTCGCAGGCAGAAGAGGCGGCGGAGAGAGCACTGGACAGTTTGCGGGCCGCAATGATGGCAGCACCGCGTTGCTGAACGGTCTTAATGAAATCGCCATCAAGCCTGCACATCAGTGAAAAAGCGTGGACAATCTAATAAATCCTGACCCCTTTTCTCCCGACAAAGTGGTATGTTAAATTTCAGGTGATGGTCATTAGTGTGCGTGCGGCCAATAATCTAGCCAGATATCATAATTGACGTACCAAGCGTCGTCCTTGACAAGCTCGCGCACGGGCTTCTCGCCCTCGGGAGTGACGACGACGGCGTGGTTCACATCGGGGTACTGGGTCGACGAGTGGTTACCCCAGATGATCGTGTTCTTCACGTTCGCCACGGGGACGCCCAGGCGTTCGGAAATCTGGCCGAGCGCGCGGTTGTGGTCGAGGCGGGTGAGGCACGTGATGTTCTTGGCGGGGAACTTAGGCGCGAACTCCTTGAGGATGAGCGCGTTGGTGTTGGCGGGGTTAGCAACGACCACCACCTGTCGGGATTATGTGGGAAGAGGGAAGCGCAGAAATGTATTGAGTATATGTGGGAGCGGCTACGAGAGCTGCACTGGGTGCTGGATGCGATACAATACGTAAATATGGTGAATGCTGTGAAGCGCTACCTCTCTTTACCGTGAAACGTAGGGAGCGAACAATGATAAAAGACGAGGATCCTTCAAAATAAGATACTTGCGCTGGACGTGAGCTTCAGCACCAGCACGAGAATATTCTGATACTGTAAATGCAGAAAGTTTTTGTATTTAAACCAGACCCCCCAGCGGGCACATACCTTGCAGTCCTTGTCAGCGAACTTCTCCAGAGCGGAGGCCTGATCGCGGTAGATGGAGACGTTCTTGGACATGACGTCCTTGCGCTCCATGCCGGCCTTGCGGGGGAATCCTCCCACCATGATGGCCACCTGGACACCCTTGCATGCCTCCTCAACATTCGACGTCGCGACAACCCCTGGAAATACGAATCGTGAAAACAAAGTGGGATTTCCACGAGAGTCATCGGCGTGTTTTAGATGTTATGGATCTACATTCTTGTCAGATCAGATAGCACGAGGGGAAAAAAGGCAGCGTTTCAGATGTAGACAGGCGTACCGTGAATGAGGGGGAAAGCGGCGTCAATAAGCTCCATGCGGACGCCATTGAGGGAGCTCTCGGCAAGAGGGATATCAAGAAGGTGAAGAATGACAGGCTGGTCAGGGCCGAGCAGAATGCCGCGAGCAATCATAGGCACCAAGGCATATCCGATTTGGCCTGCACATGAGAACAGCGCGCATAGTGGTTCCAAGATCAGAGACCGAGACTCATGCTGGTGTCGGAAATGGATACTTTCTGTGTTTAACAGGGTTCTACTGACCGGCGGCACCGGTGACAAGCACACGGACGGGCTCGGGGGCCATGACTTCAAGTTTCGGAAGCTGAAGAGCTGGTCGAAGTATAGGATAGAGAAAGCTTCTTGAGTCGCCACAAGAAGAGAAATACGAAATGAGATTCAGCAAGCTGAGTTTGTTGAATTTGACCCCAGATGAGGTGGTGCTTTTGTGCCTGTCCAGCGCCAAGACGTGGGAGAGGGGGAGGGAGGTTGAGGGGATAGATGGATCGGACAATTGGGGTGGAACGCATCACGCTTTGCTGGCCGTGACAGCGGGAATCGAGATGGCATCGTACAGAGGTGGACAGCCCAGGGTAGAGGGGACATGGCTATCCGTCACTGGTCACATGGGCTTTCTGCTGCCTCGCTGGATTCCACCTACTGACGCAGCTTTCCCCCTCCCCTACAGTCTCGGAAAGATCCCCTCGGTTTGCGGCGCCACGCCACGTCATTGTCACGCTTGTACATTGAGACCGAGCTCCGTGAGCTGGAGCACGCGCGAGATTTAGGTTCGGGATTGGTGGAATTTTGGTTTGGAAGCGAGCCAGGCACATGTTGTGGGATTCCGAGGCATGTTATGTGGCTCGGGAAAAGTGGCGGCAGGCATCGCGTGGCAGAGGTGACGGGGTCCCAAGAACCCCAGCGCATCAAAACATCCTCAACAAGAATAGTGCCAGCTATTTTGTAAACTTAGTACCGAACTCAAAGAGAAGCTAGCTTACATGCATTATTTTTAAAAGCATGTCACCTACTACCGTTCACCTTGTTCCTCCCTTTTTTGGTCTCCACCCATATTCCCTTCTCTCACCGCCTGCCTCACCTTTCCCCATCCTTTTTTCTCTTCTTCATCCCCGGACCCAACTGACCGACGAGCACCAAACGATGGCTGCCTCCAGCTCAGACTCCTAAACGCAAACCCTTTTCCGCCAGCCCCAGTTTGCCCATGGCCCTCACTGCCTCCAGATGGGCCCTCTCTTTCGCCACCACCTGCCACCCCAGCCCTGGCACCCTCTGCCTCATCAGACATGAGTGCCTCTATCAGATCCTGCCACCGCTTGTGCACTTCTGCTGATGATTCATGCGCCTGCAGAGGCTTCCCACCACTGCCACCAGCACCGCTACTGCTGCCAGCGGCAATTTTACCAGCCTCCCCACTCTCTGGTCGCACATTGTGAGCATCTCCTTTGGAATTTCTGCCCGAATCTGACTGTCCCACCTGCTTCTCATCCTCCTCCTCTTCCTCCTCCTTCCCTTCCTCTCCCTCCTTGTAGTCTGCTGCGAGTACAGCAGGGTCCTTAGCATTGGGTATACCCAACGTGAGGCAGCGCTCCAAGGACTTGAGATGCTGCAGCTGGCGCTGCTGCTGCAGCAGCGAGGGCTGCTGACGCTGCGACTGGCGCTGGGACTCGTGCTGTTTCTGGTCCTGCAGGGATGGCTGCTTCTCCTCCAAGTCACCTGCTGCTGATGCTGCTGCTCCTGCTGATGCTGTTCCCCCGTCCCGCTCCATCACCTCCTGTGCTGGTGCTGTCATCACGACAGGCTGGTGCTCATCCCCCTTGCCTTCTGCTTCGGCATTAGGCTCGTCCACCGTCTGGTACGGGTGACAATTGTGGTTCGGGTTGGGTTTGGGGTTGAAATGAAATCGGGGTTGAATTGGGATTGGGGTATACAGTGGAGACTCGTTGTGCCACGAGGCCATATCACCAAATAAGGTCTTGCTACAGGTCGGCTTATTTACAGGACAGCAACATCTGTGCACAGTGAGGCACGCGTGCGGAAGGGACCGGACAAAGGCCTGCATGTGGCCGAAGACCATCCTGCTTTGCCACTTGCTAAATCTACCTGCAAGACTCGGAATCTCACCAGCACAACTCCGTAAAATCACCTGCATGACTCCCTACAATCACATCGGCACAAATCCAAGTAGTCACCTCCACAACTCACTACAGTCACACCAGCACAACTCCCCCACAGTCACCTGCATAACTCTCTACACACACAACCACAACTCTCTGTAGTCACCTGCAGGAACTGGTGCAGCTTGGAAGCAATGAGGGGCAGAGAGTGGTCGCGCATGGCGGTGCGGGACATCTCAGTATGACTACAATCACCTGCATGACTGCGTGCATGAAGGATTGATGTGGGATCACACCTGCAGGAACTGGTGCAGCTTGGCAGCGATGAGGGGCAGGGTGTGGTCGCGCATGGCGGTGCGTGACAGCACCACGTGCTCAAAGCGCCCCTCCACTGGAATGGCCGTCAGCGCCACTGGGGGGAGATCCTCACAGCTGCGTGTGCCGTGTGTGAAGATGCAGGGGATTAAGACATATATGGGAGTGGGAGGGTAAGATGTGGACGGGAGTGGGAGGGTAAGACGTGGATGGGAGTGGGAGGGTAAGACGTGGATGGGAGTGGGAGGGTAGGCGTTTGGAGTGGGAGGAAAATACATGTATGGAGATTGGAGAGCTTGTCAGGAGAACCAAAAGCAGGCTGCAATGACAGTGGCGGGTTCATACGGGTTTCGGAGAAGGCTGAGCATGGGGTAGGCTCTCTCACCCGCCACATAGATTATATTTCATTCAATAATATATGTTTGTGGCGCGGAACATAGATGTATCACCTGCAGCGCTGTGTGTAGAGCATGTGGTAGAGACGGCCGGGGGCGTAGAGCCTTCTGGGATCCGCGAGCCTCCGCTGCTCCGACACACATGTGTCGCGACAGCACGAGTACTGCAGTACACACGGTAGACTGTGTGGGGAAAAGGGGGAATGGAGGGGGGGAACTTGAGTTAACTCAAGGAATAGCCTACTCTGCTCCGACACACATGTGTCGCGACAGCATGAGTACTGCAGCACACATGGTAGACTGTATGGGGAGAAGGGGGATGAAGAACGTTTACTTTCGAGTCGACAAAAAAAAAAAAAAAAAAAAAAAAAAAAAAAGAGGTCGAGTCGCAAATGCATGGTGGTTGACGCCGAGGGCAGGCGAGTCCGAAGACTAGAGCAAGCGGGTGTGCCACACGGGGAAGATAATTGACTCTTGAGTCGAGTCATAATAAAAATAGTCGACTCGCAAATGCATGGTGGTTGGGGTTGAGGTGTGCTCACCAGCAGGCGAGTCCGAAGACTAGAGCGAGCGGGTGTGCCACACGGGGAAGAAAATCATCCTGGCGTGTGTGTGCACATTCAGAGTGGATACAGGTACAGGCGTGAGAGAGGATTCAAAGAGTGAGAAAGAATTCGAAGAGTGAGAGAGGATTCACAGTGGGAGAGAGCACACATCGTGAGGAGGAGCACGAACAACATGAGCGCACACCTCATAAGAGCACACACACTGAGGCAGTCAATTCAGCACCACCATGCGCTCCCAGCACATGCACTCTCCCTCTTCTTCTCCCCCTTACACGGCTTCACACTCACAAGAGCAAGCTCAGCTCAGAATGCACCCCACCTGCAGCACCACAGAGGTGATGATATCCGCATGGCGCACAGCCAGATTCAGCGACGCGCAGCGCGGAGGAGAGAACCCCACACAGCGAATCCGCCCTCTCCGCACGCGCCCCAGCTCGCGCAGGTTATTCGCCAGCACCATGGCTGCCAGCACCATGGCTGCCAGCACCATGGCTGCCAGCGCCATGGCTGCCAGCGCCATGGCTGCCAGCGCCATGGCTGCCAGCGCCATGGCTGCCAGCGCCATGGCTGCCAGCGCCATGGCTGCCAGCGCCAGCCGCCCGCGCCTATGGAGTGCCCCGGTGATGCACCCCCAGTGCTAGCATGCACTCTCCTTCACTCGTGCCCCAACAGCCAGCCCAGCCAAGCACGCACCCACCTGCAGCACGACCGAGGTGATGATGTCTGCGTGGCGCACAGCCAGGTTGAGTGACGCGCAGCGCGGCGGCGAGAAGCCCACACAGCGAATCCGCCCTCGTTTCACACGCCCCAGCTCGCGCAGGTTATTTGCCAGCACCATGGCTGCCAGCGCCAGCACGCCCGCGCCGATGGAGTGGCCGGTGAGTGTGAGCGTGTGCGAGGGGTGGCGGCGCAGCAGGCGCTTGAGATGATCCATCTCCAAGTCAAGAAACGCGCCTGCTGCGGCCAATAGCCCGCAGTGCACGTAACCGCCGTCAAACATCTGTGTGGGGTCGAGGGGAGGGGATGGTGAGCATGAGCGTGTGCGAGGGGTGGCGGCGCAGCAGTCGCTTGAGATGATCCATCTCGAGATCCAGGAACGCGCCTGCTGCTGCTAGTAGACCACAGTGCACGTAGCCCCCGTCAAACATCTGGGGAGGCAGAGGGATAGAGAGGCAGGGAAGTGGGGGAGCAGCAGGCGCTTGAGATGGTTCATCTCGAGGTCCAGAAACGCGCCTGCTGCTGCTAGCAGCCCGCAGTGCACGTAGCCCCCGTCAAACATCTGGAGGGTAGGGGGAGAGAGGGCAGGGGGAGGAGGAGGAGGGGAAAAATGGAAATGTGGATTGGGGAAAAGGGGGAACGGGGGAAAGGGGAGAGGGGGGTGGGGGGAAAGGGGAAGGGAGAGATGTGGTGGGCAAGGGGAGTGGCTAGTGAGCGTGAGCAGCAAAGCTTAGAAAAAGGTAGTGGGGAACCGGGGATCGGGATGGACGGGCGTGCGGACCTGCTTGCCCTTGCGGTTGTTCCTGAGGATTTCATAATCCGACAGCTGCGTCAGGTTCATGCCGCGCATGGCGACCGTGATGTCTTTATTTGCATCATCCAGGTACACCAGGTATGACGGGCACTGCCCGTCCGTCTCCCGCTGCTCCACCTTCCGCAGCACGCGCGCTTCGATCAACTCCCGCTTCCCCTTCACCGGACCGTCCTTGCCGTTGGATTCCGACCCAGCCTCCGATTTCGACTGAGCCTCGGCATTAGGCTCGGGACCAGGCTCGGAATTATGGTCCTTTTTCTTCGCAGTTTGCGCGTGCGTGGCGCCGGAGTCGCATAGCTTGGATGGTTTCCGGGCAGCGGCGGCGTCGGCCTGCGGGGAGATGTTTCCGTGCTCGTCGGAGACAGATTCCAACAGCTGCAGGCATTTAGGTAAGTCCGGTTCGTACGACGCGAGAACGAGCGCCGCGAGGCGCGGAAAGTCCGCCATTTCGTCCTTGGACGCGGTCGGCCAGTCGCGGCTGGCGTCCGCGCCGGTGCGGAGGAGGCGGTGGATGGCCCACCCGCAGCACGCGCATCCCCACATCGCGATGCAGCACGGCAGCACCATGGCTGCTGCGATGGCGTTGACGAGAAACGGCGAGTGTGTCGAGTGTGTGGCTTGGTAAAGCGAGCACAGGAAAGTGAGTTTGATTGAGGCGTCCCAAACGAACCTGTTTTCACGAATATGCGCGCCGGTACTGTGTTTTTTTCAAGTCACACCCCAGCAGCGCGAAGCAGTAACGGGGGTCATTATGTCGAGTACGGAAACGTTGTTAAACAGATAACAGTATAGAATTTACCGTGTTTGCAGAAGGGAAAGCAACACACATCTCTGAAGGATTCTCACATCGCGAATTTTCCATGCCTTACAGTGGCATGCTTTGCTAACTTCACGAAATCGTACAATCCCCCAAGTCGCTAAACCGTAATGCCGTTCAAGAATGTCACTACTAAGGATCAGAAGGAACGCAAGGATCGAGCCTCACTATGGCTCTCCACTGCACAAGACTCGATGTCCCGCTGTGCTTCGCCTCACCAACCCCGAGAGAGACATTTTCGGTTCACATTTTGGTTGGAAGTACCCGTTTTCGTAAACCTGTGGCCTCGTCCACAGATACAGTACGGAGAAGAGGGGGAGGCGAGCGATCGTCCCAAGAAATCCTGGCGCTGCGCGGCAGTCCCAAGAAGGACGTGCAGGACAGGACGGGTTGTGCCCCTCGCCAAGGGGTTCCCCCAACCTTGACAGACTCGACATTGCGAGGACTCAAGTTTGTAAGACGAGCATCATATGTTGAGACAAACAGATAAGCACTTACAAGCAGCCAAAATTCAGGAATTACATATACATGTATTGCCCCTCTTTCACTGCATTCTCAGCACCTCTTCGTTCTTCCTCCTCTTCCTTCTCTCTCTCCTTGCGCCTCTCGTAAGCATGGTCGTCGGTTGGCATCTCGTAGCGACACAAAGGACACGAGTTGTGCTCATCCTGTTCGGGACGAGCACAAACACAACACCTCACATCGCATTGAGCATGGTAGCCTATGCACCAAAGACACACAGAAAATAAAAGCGCAGGATGTGACACGGGCACGTAGATGCAATGCTCTAAAAGGAAAATTGTATGCGAGATGACTGCGTCACGCAAGCTCAGAAATTTCATCTTACCAGCCATGGTTGCAGGCAGTCCACATGAAACCGATGGCTGCACGGCATTTCCCTCAGCTTGTCACCAATTTCCCACTTCTCTCTGCACACACTGCACTCGTCCACACTCCCCTCCCCTTCCTCCCTCTTCCCCTCCCCCTCCAAACCAGCACTGTCCCCCTTCTCAGCCTTGTCACCACTGCTACTGCTGCCAGAACTACCACTGATGCCACTACCCGCCGCCGTCCCTTCGCGCGTCCCACCCCCTTCTAAAGGAACCACCCCAGCCTCGCTATACACAAGCACAGGCAGCTGCTTCACCGCTCTCTTAGAAGCAGGCGGGGCAGAGGGCGGTTGAGACGCCTGCATGCTGGCTTCGAGAGCCTCGGCCAGGCCGGGGGTCAGCAGGTCATCAGCTCCCCCTCTTGCAATCGCGTCCCTTAGCAGATCCTCCAACGTTGTTCCACCCTCCATGAGTGCTGCTATGGCTTGGTGTGGGGCTTGTCCGTCTAGCGCATCTCTATCTTCGCGCTCGGAATTGCTGTCATTATTGGCGTCAGCAGCAAGGGAATCCAGGTCCCTGGGTGTGCACGCGCGCATGGACAAGGACAGGATAACGTACTTTCGGACCAGAGCAGGCCAATTGAATTGCCCACGCCAAGCACATGTTACAGAGCGCCCGATCAATCTAGGCCATTATCCAGTTCGCAACTCACAAAACACAACGCACAGAGAACATTCGACAGACAAACCAGCCGACCAGAAATCAGAAGCACACGCTGACTCACTAACCTCTGCTGCTGCGCCGCTGCCAAAGTTGCCAGCAGCGTCTGAGCCACCAGCCAATCAGGTCGTGGCGGCTCCACTGCTGCAGTCAGCTGACCCTCAAACTGAAAAGAGGGAGACGCCGCCGCGAGCAGCCCCCCTCCACCACCGCGCACCTCCCGTGCCCTCCCTGCTTCCTGCTCCCTTTCCCCGTCCCCTCGCACCCCACCTACTCTTCTCGCTTCACTCCCTCCCCGCGCCAAACCTGCTTCTTCGCCTTCCCCGCCTTCCCCCTCTTCCCCCAGGAACTCCTGCGCGGACTTGATGTGCTGCTGGACGCGGTTGCGCTCCGCTCCCTCCCCCAGCACGGCGCTGGCCGCGCGGAAAAGGACGAGACCCGCCGCCCAGAAACCACGTGTCGTGTAGCGGGTCTTGAGCAGGGTAGCTGCACGATGGACGGCTGATATCATCTGAAGAGGCGATGATGTAACGTCAGAAATGTTAAGCCAACAGTAGTATAAGAAAAAAAAAAGAACATTCTTGTAATGTACACGATATATATAAAAAAAAACAGTAGTGTAAGAAATAATACGCAGCAGTGATATAAGCACTGAGCTAAACGACTCACAGCATGGGCCAACTTGCACCATAATTGCACCCTGATGTAATACGATTGCTCTGCAATACTATACCACTAACGCAATTATGATCCGCCAGGTAGGATGATCTGTGCAGAATTGAACTACTGGAACGTGCCACGGCGATCTCACCTTCTGCTGCTCGTCCGGACTGGAGGAGGGGTACTGCGAGGCTACTAGAGCTGTCAGGTCCTTCACCGCTTTCTCAAACGAGCTCTTCTTTGCCATAAGCTTCGCTATGTCACTCGCTGTAATCGCATCGGGACCGAGAGACGTTTGCTGGCTGCTTTGGCTACCACTCGCCACGCAAGCGGACGCCATGAACGTCAACGATAGGAAATCCTACGGGAAGCTTGCGATGAGGTGTGCTTTGTATAGGTTCGTTTGAAGTCGTGAACACGCAACACATCGGAGAGGGTAATTGATGTTTCGTGGGGCCCGGAGTGGTCAGAACCTCGCTGACGTCAGCGATGGATACTTCTGTGAAATTAGTTGGGCCCAGAAGCTTCCCCACAACTATGATAGCACCTGATTACAAAGCATAAGAAAAACCTAATACAAGAATAGGTGGTGGTTGAGTTATAGATGAGGAAAGCCGACTAAACACAAATATTCACCCATGAAGCACTCCGCCCAACCTCTTGCTCAACTTACTCTCTTTCCATGCAAACAACATCAGGTCCCCATTTATCACTAAAGCTACATGCAAGAGAATCTTGCAATGTTCGCAGTTCAACGTGTCTTGTCTTTACACGTCATCGTGGGCCGGATGGTGTCCAGATGCCTCTGGGTATGCCATACAAAGAGATGCACCGTAAGGCCATGATTGATTGAGGCCCTGCTGGAAATCACTTGCATGTGCGTGTGTAAGGTACCAAGGGTTTCCATGAATCATTATCATATGCAGATATATCTCAACAATATACTTCTTAGAGTCAAGTGTACATTACTTGATTAAGGTATGCGGTACACCGGTATGTCTGCAGCTCGTGTCTAGGAAGTGAAGTGCCGAGGGCAACGGCCAAGACCCAACCAAGCGGTTGCTGAAATCCATCAAGCGCCGCCAATGACGAGCAGCCAGCAACAACTGATCGCTGTAAAAAGGCATCGACGCTGCAATCTGTCTTTCACACGACGCAGCTCAGCCATGAATTTCCTTGTGGAGGTTCTGTCTCTGTCACTGTCACGCCGAAATGCAGAGCAGACGCGCTCTGTCCTCCACTTGATTCCACGGATTTTTCTCTTTGGCTTTTTAGCTTCCCTGGCGGATGAACCTCAACGAATCGTCATGACTCATAGCTCTCTGGAGGTCGGTGGGAGCGATTTTTTTATCATACGGGTCCACACACAGTGATACACATCGGTACGTTTGCGCCTCGCGTGAATCGCGACCTCGTAAACGACGACAGCATTATGCACGTGATTCTCACAGCAGCACTCCGTGCTGCTGCTAGCGACGCCCGTCACCTCTCCCGCTCCCAATACCAACCAATACGACTTGGCGTTTTGATCGAAGAGACCAAGGGCGCAAGCGCGCGGCGGAAAGACGAGAGGAATTCGCGAGTAAGGTGCAGAGGACCTGGAATTTCATCACAGAGGCAGGGCAGTGCAGCGAAGATGCTTTGTTGTGACGACTTTCTGGAAGACCTGAAAAACAGGACACTGCTTAGGCGGCGTAAGCGTTACTGCTTCGCTTCCGCGCTTGGCTCATTCACTGCACCACTAGTGAGTCTGCCTGCACTAGTGCGTCCCAGTGGAGTGATCCCTAGGTGACTGCTGCACACCTCGTCGTGCTCGTCTCCTCTCGTCGACATCATCGCTGCATACCTCGTCCGTACCGTTCCCGTTTCGTGCGGGGGATAATAAGAGCCGCTCGGCTGCCACTCACAACCATGTCAGCACACCGAGCCAAGGCGTCTTCGGCCTTATTTATCCATGACACGTCGTCCCGTCAGGCTGCGATCGAGCGCTGCCACCCAGCAGCAGGCAGTTCGTCCTTATTACTAGCCGCGTCGTCCGTTCCATTGGAACGTAGTCGCAACGAATGCGAGTCGTTTGTGGAAGGGAACGAGTTTCATTGTCAAGGCCACGAGCGACACAAGCGGCACGAATCACTGTCGGAGATAGCAGCCACGTCAGCGAGTCGCAGATTGCATGATCCAGTCAGCAGCACACCTGACCTTGTCTGTGGCGACACATTTGACCTAATTAGCAGCACCCCTGTTGCCTGCAGCGCTCCTAAGGCCGATTTCAGCGTCCCCGCCGACAGCGCCGGCTGCCGCGGGGGCGAGGAGCAGCCGGCAATCGCGAGAAGCACTGCTCATCCTGAGTTAAACCTCTCGGAGTCACTAAATAGTGACGACAACCTCCCACCTCTTAATCCCAAAGAATATGACGAAGCCGTCCGGCCAGTGCTGACGAGCTCCTTTCATCCAAACGATTCTGTTCAAAAACCGCGCTGCCCGCTCATCCCGGAGCATCTGTCGCTGCGGCGCCACGCGGCCGCTCAACAGCCGCCGCTGAGCGTGCCGCGACGCGGAGTCCATTGCCCTGCTGCAAACACCGCGGCCGTTGCTCCCGCGGCGCCTGACACTTCCACCGCCGCAAACCCCGCCGTCGCTCCAGCCGCGGCCGCTGTGGCGACGGCGTGTGTTGCGGGATTCAGCACGGAACCCGACTCGGCGGCCCTTACTTCTGCGGAAACCCCGCCGTCATCAGGGAACAGTGGCCCGGAAGTTACCTGGCGGTCTTCACTTCCGCTTCCACCGGAAGGTCGTGGCGCAGCTCTCGTCGCGGAAACCCCCCAAGATTCTGGCGCAGACTGCGAATCCCCCTGTGTGCTTGCGAAGCCTCCCGCGGTTGCGGAGCGCGCAGAACCCGCAGTGCGCGCAGAACCCGCAGTGCGCGCAGAACCCGCAGTGCGCGCAGAACCAGCAGTGCGCGCAGAACCCGCAGTGCGCGCAGAACCCGCGCCGCGCAAGAACGCGCCGGGGATGCAGTTCCAGGTGGTGCCGCAACGCGCGCGCCCCCTGGCGTCGGCGGAGGCGCTGAGCGCAATGACGCGTGCGGAGCTGGTGGCGGAACTGCGCAGCCTGCAGGCGGACCACGAGAAGTACCGCCAGGAAGGTATGGTGTGGCTTAGTAGTACTCTACTCTTAGTTTGGAAGCAACCTCTTTCCCCGCTTCCCACGCAGCCTGCAGGCGGACCACAAGAAGTACCGACAGGAAGGTGTGGTGTCGTTCGGATCTGACTCGTGGTGGGGGATGGCAGGAAGGTATGGTGTAGCACTGAACTGACACTGGGGGATGGGCAGGTAAATTCTCCTACTATCTGAATATGGACCCCCTTGTTCTTCTCTCTCCCCTCAATTCAGCTCCCTCCCCATATCTCTGTGTACCGTTCCCTCATCTCTTCCTCCATCTCCCCATTTTCCTCCAACTCTCCTCCATCTCTCACCTCTCACTCACTCCGCGTGGCAGTGGCGTTCCAGAAGGATCTGCTGGCAGTTCGTTATCTGTACGGACCTCGTGACTTACAAGTCAACTCAAAAGTCCCCTCTCGCCCATCTCCCCCCCCCCCCCCCCCCCACCCCCACCCCAACTTGGCAGTGGCGTTCCAGAAGGATCTGCTGGCGTCCGTGGGGCAGTCCGTTATCTGTACAGACCTCGCAGGCACCATCACCTACTGGTGAGTTGAGAGGCGCGAGCTGAGAGCACCACAGCTGATAGCACCACAGCCGGCAGCATGGGCCACCGCTACGGATTCGCGTCTGAGAATCCTTAGAAGCGATCCTCATCTTCTTGCCTCGCTACCTTCACCTCTTCCCCCCCATCCAATTCCCAGGAACAAGGCGGCGGAGGCGATGTACGGGTGGCGGGAGGAGGAGGCGGTGGGGCGGAGCATAATCGAGGTCACCCCAGCGGACACCACCGTGCCGTGCAGCAGGCGGGGGAGATCTTCGCCTCCATCACCCCCTTTCACCTCTCCGCTTTGCCTCTCCCCTTCTCCCCCTCACTGAACGCTCTTTTCCCCATTCACCACTCCCTACTTCTTCCCCTTCCCCCCACCTCCCAGGAACAAAGCAGCAGAGGCGATGTATGGGTGGAGGGAGGAGGAGGCGGTGGGGCGGAGCATAATCGAGGTCACCCCAGCGGACACCACGGTGCAGCAGGTGGAGGAGATCTTCGCCGCGCTCTCCCGCTTTCACCTCTCCCCTTTCACCTCTACCCCTCACATCCCCTTCCCCTCTCCCCGTCACCTCTCCCCTTCGCCTCTCCCTTTCGCCTTCCCCCCCTACCCCCCTTTCCCCCTTCCCCAGGAACAAAGCAGCAGAGGCGATGTATGGGTGGAGGGAGGAGGAGGCGGTGGGGCGGAGCATAATCGAGGTCACCCCAGCGGACACCACGGTGCAGCAGGCGGGGGAGATCTTCGCCGCGCTCTCCCGCGGGGATGTGTGGCGCGGCGAGTTCCTCGTGCGCCGCCGCGACGGCTCGCCCTTCCACGCCATGGTCACCGATACACCCATCCTCGACCCCGAAGGGAAGCTCGTGGGCGTGATCGGCGTCTCAGCCGACATCAGCGATTTAAAACGCAAAGAAGGCGAGATCCGCGCTCTCAATTCTGCCCTAGAGCAGAGAGTAGAGGAGCGGACGGAGCAGCTGATGCGGTCCAATGAGGCGCTCAAGTCGGAGATCGAGCAGCACCTGCGAGCGCAGGAGCACCTGCGACGATGCATCCGCGACCTGGAGGCGTCGCGGGATAAGATCTCGCAGCAGTCGGCGGCGCTGGAGCAGCTGGTGGGGCAGCTGAGAGAGGCGAGAGTAGAGGCGGAGTCGGCTAATCGGCTCAAGAGTCGATTCCTGGCGTCTATGAGCCACGAGATCCGCACGCCCATGAATGGTGTCCTTGGTGAGTGAGTTTGTGGGTCGTTGGGGTTGCTGATGGTATGTGGTTAGTTGGGATGCAGTGCGCTACATCTGGGACCTGGAGGCGTCGCGGGATAAGATCTCGCAGCAGTCGGCGGCGCTGGAGCAGCTGGTGGGGCAGCTGAGAGAGGCGAGAGTAGAGGCGGAGTCGGCTAATCGGCTCAAGAGTCGATTCCTGGCGTCTATGAGCCACGAGATCCGCACGCCCATGAATGGTGTCCTTGGTGAGTGAGTTTGTGGGTCGTTGGGGTTGCTGATGGTATGTGGTTAGTTGGGATGCAGTGCGCTACATCTGGGACCTGGAGGCGTCGCGGGATAAGATCTCGCAGCAGTCGGCAGCACTGGAGCAGCTGGTGGGGCAGCTGAGGGAGGCAAGAGTGGAGGCGGAGTCGGCAAATCGTCTCAAGAGCCGGTTCCTGGCGTCCATGAGCCACGAGATCCGCACGCCCATGAACGGGGTTCTCGGTGAGTGGGTGAGGGGGAAGGATTTGCTGACGCGCGTGGGTATGTGGTTGGTCGGGATGCAGTGCTGAGTGGCCGGCGAGGCAGTTCATGGAGACGATTCGCAGCAGCGGGGCACGCGCTGCTCACCATCCTCAACGACTCAATGACATCTTGTAGTGCTGCTTCACGTTACTCAACACGCGAGATCCGTAGGCTTGCTGCGGTCGAACCTCTTCTTACTGTTGCACGACTCAACGACATCTTACAGTGCTTCTTCACGTCCCTCTCATTCTCCCTCTCCCTCTTGCCCCCCCTCCCCTCCCTCTCTCCCAACCAGGCATGACGCGCCTGCTGTTATCAACGCCACTACAGGAGGAGCAGCGCCAGTTCGTGGACACCATTCGCAGCAGCGGGGATGCACTGCTGACCATCCTGAACGACATTCTCGACCTCTCCAAGATTGAGGCGGGCGAGCTGGAGCTAGAGCACCGCGACTTTGACCTCTGCCGCTGCCTTGAGGACGCCGTCTCTCTGCTTGCTGTAGGCTATCCACCAGTGCCCCTCCAATGCATCTTTCACTCTTTTTGCATGCCTCTTAAGTACTCTCACGCCCTCCTTTCTGGAGCTAGAGCACTTTGACCTCTGCCTCACGATTTTTGAGTCGACTCAAAAATCGGCACCGTGACTTTGACCTCTGCCGCTGCATCGAAGACCTCTGTCTGCATCGAAGACCTCTGTCTCTGCCACTGTCTCGCTGCTTGCCGTATGTTCTTCCATTCCTCTGCCATGCCTCTGTTATGCCTCTGCCTCTTCTCTCGAGCTTGAGCACCGCAACTTAGACCTCTGCTGCTGCCTAGAGGACGCCGTTTTCCTGCTTGCTGTACACTGCTGTGCTTCTTTCGTGCCTCCGCCATACCTCTTCCACGCTTCTTCTGTGCCTCTTCTGTTCCTTAACTGGTTGTGCGCCTCCCATTCTCTGCACGATCTCTTCCGTCTCAAGCACTGGCATGATCCGAGTATATCCTTTTAACTGCTCCCGTCCATTGCAGATCCGCGCTATGGAGAAGGGGGTGGCGGTGGTGAGTTTCGTGGAGCCCAATGTTCCCCGGGTGGTCAGAAGCGACTCCGCGAGACTCAGACAGGTACAGGGGAGCACAGCACAGCAGCACACTGAGATGTTTACCGACGTCATGTTTCATTTCATTCTTCTTTTTTTGAGGCGCCTCAAAAGCGCCTAAAAAATCACTGAGATGTTTACCGACGTCATGTTTCATTTCATTCTTCTTGTTGGTTTGCTGCGATCATTGCTGGCAATTCACATGGCCGCTACTACCATCGTTTCCATGCTCAGTGCCATGAGATTCATGCTTAATGCTGTTCGTTCCATCCATGTCTGATAGGGCCACCATTCGCATGCACAATGTCATCGGTCTCCTATACCCTTTCCCATTACTCAGATTCTCGTGAACCTGATATCGAACGCCATCAAGTTCACAGACAAGGGCGAGGTGGAGGTCTCCATCTCAGCCTCTCAACTGCCCGGCACCTCCCACCACCACATGCCCGAGCTCCTGAAAGAGACAGCATCACAACAGCCAGAGGGAGACAGGAGAGAGGCATGCGGGAGCGGACAAGTTCAGGAAGAAGCAAAGGAAGAGGGGTTAAGCAGCAAGAGTGGAGACATGAGCCCTGGGGAGTCTGTGCATGGTGGGTTTGCGGTGTGGGGCAAGGCGGTGGGCAGCAGGAGGAGGTGGCGGGGGGAGGAGACGCAGGGCATGGAGCGGCACACAGTGCACTGCATTGCAGTGAGCGTGCGGGACACGGGCATCGGCATCCCCAAGGAGCGAATGAAGCGCCTCTTCAAGCCGTTCAGCCAGGTGCGCTTGCTCTTCCAGCCACTCTTCCAGCCGCTCCCACTCCAGCCGCAAGACACACATAGTCCAGCCAAAAGAATGTGTCTTTTGGCTCCCTGGCAGTTCTTCCCCACGTTCCTCTCGTCTGAATCTCTATTGATTTTCTTTTGAATCTCGAATGGTCCTTCATTGAATAAACAGCAGCCTATGCATCACTATGTTCATCGTCTGAGTCTCTCGCTTCCGCAATCATCCCACACTTCTTCAAGCTTCACCTGAGCAAACTTTCTCTCCTCGGCCTGCCAGAGTGATTTCCTACTTACTCCGGCAGGCCTAGTCACTCCTAGTCACTTCTCTCACTTGAATGGCTTCTTCCTCTCTGTGTGCGTGTGTGCATGGCAGGTGGATGCGAGCATGACGCGCAAGTACGGAGGAACAGGGCTGGGCCTGGCGATATCACACCAGCTGGTGGGCATGCTGGGGGGGCGCATATGGGCCGAGAGTGACGGGCAGGGGCGCGGATCCACCTTCAGGTTCTACATCACAGCACCTGCCCTTCCCTTTGACCTTGACACGCCGATTGAGGCGCAGCAAAAACCACCTGCTCCTCCTGCTCCGCTTGACGTCCAAGGGGGTGAGGTGGCTGCTGCTGCTGCTGCTGCGGCTGGTGCTCCTGCTGCTGCTGCTGCAGCTGCTTTGTCTGGTGCCCCTGCTCCTTCTTTGTCTGCCGCCTCTCCTGCTTCTCTTGCTGCCTTTCCTGCTGTTCCTGCTGCTTCAGCTGTTCCTCTTCCGTCTGCTGCTGCTGCTGCTGCTGCTGCTGACCTTATACGAAAGCGCAAGAGGGAAAACGAGCCGCATGCGGCCGCCCCTTGCGTTGGCAAACGCCAGTTCAAGTGTGGCGATGCAGTTGCTGCTGCTGCTGTCACTGCTGCTGCTCCTGCAGCAGCAGCAGCAGCAGCAGCAGCAGCAGGAGGACTTGCTAGAAACGCCGTAGGAGCAGCAGCAGCAGCAGCAGCAGCAGCAGGAGGACTTGCTAGAAACGCCGTAGGAGCAGCAGCAGTGACAGCGGCAGGTGGGAATAATATCAACGCAGAAGCAGCAGCAGGCGGCGATAAATTCCATGCAGCTGCAGCGGGATCGATCCAGAACAAGAAAAGTACAGCCAGTACCTGTTGCTGCAGTTCTTCCTGCCAGTGCTGCTGCTGCTGGAGAGATGGGGGGGCTTTGGCTTGTGAAAAAGAGGTGCAGAGGAACACAGGGGATGTGGGCGGGAGCGCAGCAGATACAGGCAGTGGAAGTCAGGATGCTGATAACGCAACTCATACTCAATGCACAGCGGATACAGGCGGCGGTCGCTGGGTTGGAGGGGAGGGGTGTGTTTCAAGAGTGGGTGGGATGGAAAAAAGAGAAGGTGGAGGGGAAGAGGAGAGAGGAGACCGAGGAGAAAAGGGGAGGAGAGATGGGAGGAGGGAGGAGGAGGTTTTCGTGAGGGGAAGGGCGGATGACAGATGGGAGGAGGGAGGGAGTGAGGGAGTGGGGGATGGAGTGAGTGAGGTGGAAGCAGCAGTTGCTGGATGGGAGAGAGCGAGGAGGAGAGCAGAGGGGAGGAGCGCACTGGTGGTGCTGCCCCATGCAAGCACGCGGCGAATGGTGTGCCGACACCTGGCGTCCCTTGGGTTTAGAGTGGGTGAGGCTAGCAGCAGGGAGGAGGCGGATAGGGTGATGGGAAAGGGTGTGGAGGGGCTGGGAGAGAGGTGTGGTGGCACAGGTGGAGATGAGGAGAGAAGTGGTGGCAATGATGGGGAGGAGGGCCGCGAGGAGAGGAAGGAGTTTGTGCTCTCGCTGTTATCCGCGCCATTACCCTCGTCGCCACCACCTCCCTCATCTCTACCCCCGTCATCATTATCCCGCGCATCACCATCCCCCTCAAAAGGTGTGGTGCATCCATGCAGTAGCCCTTCCAGCACTGCCGTGACCATGCAGCGACAATGCGACATGGTGGCGCCTCGCATGCATGCAGCAGCAGCAGCAGCAGCGGGTTCAGCGTGTACATCTGACTTTGACCTGTTTGTTGTGGATGCTGGGCTGCACTGGTCTCCCCCTTCAGCCGCACTCTCAGCAGCAGCAGCAGCAGCAGCAGCCTTGGCACCAGCAGCAGCACACGCAGGAGCAGCGGCAGCAGCAGCAGCTAAGAACACTGAACTCACCAGAGCATCACCGGAACAGCTCCCAGTTGAGCCTGCGCCAGCAGCAGCACTGCCAAGTGACTTTCCATGTGCTGGAAGACTGCCCTTTCCAGCAGACCCGAGTGACCTTCCCAGTGCCACCAGCCCTGCCAGGGTCATTCTGCTCGTACCCTATGGCAGCAGGCAAGACTCCTCTCCAATCCCAGGCTGCCACGTGGCTGTTCTCACCTACCCCATCCGCCAAACCGCCCTTAACCGCCTTGTCTGTGAGCTTCTCTCCCCTCCTCCTCTTGTTCCAACCTCTGGTTGCTGCTCCTCACTCCCTTCTGTCTCCCCTCGGCCTTGCTTCACAAGAGGACTGGCTAGTGCTGTTAGTGTGAGCAGCAACGAATGTAGACAGAATAACTGTAGTAACTGTAGTAACCCGATTCAGTGTGGTAACCACACATGCTGTGGTAACCAGGGTATTGGAGACGGCAGCACAGGCTGCTGCCGCACCAGTCTCGGGGATTCGCTACCGAACCTCCTGACTGCTGGTTCTTCCAAACGTGTGGTTGGTTCGGAGCCTGCCGAAGCTGTGTTGGCAGGCTGGGTTGCAACCAGAGCAGAGGGTGCCGGGGTAGCGAGCAGCAGAGCAGGAGAGTGCACAGCAGAAGCAGGCATGGGTGCAGATGCAAGAGCAGGAGCAGGGAAAGGAGCAGCTGCAGAAGGAGCAGGAGCAGCAGAAAAGCCAACGACTGCTGCTTCAAAAGTGCCATCACCAGTCGCTGCAGTGCCAACAAGTGTAGCAGCAGCAGGAGGTGGAATGGCAGAAGGCATGACACCAGGCAAGGCAGCAGGAGGGGCGGCAGAAGCATGTGGTGGGAGTGGGAGAGTGCAGGGACGGGCGGCGGCGAGGGCAGGCGTGGATGCAGCAGGGTTCCAGTCAGGCCTGGCAGCAGGCAGGGCAGCAGGAGGGGCAGTGGGAGCATGTGGTGGGGGTGGGAGAGTGCAGGGACGGGTGGCGGCAAGGGCGGACGTGGATGCAGCAGGGTTCCAGTCAGGCCTGGCGCAGCAGCACCCTCTCAAGATTCTCCTCGCGTACGAACCCTGCAGCAGTCCTTCTCACTCTTACCTCCATTGCCTTGCTTTCTCTCTCATGTTCTTGAGTCAATGCAACTGAATCATAGCCTACGCGCTCCCGTTCCTGTCCTCTGTGACTCTGCCCTTCTCAAATGCCATTGAATTGTGACAGTGAGGAAAGCTGGTTGGAAAAGCAGGTTGGTGAATCAGCACCGATTTTCCCAGTCCCCACACTCACCACCCCACCACATCACCCCTACATTCTCCTGTATGCCATCCTCCATGACCCCATGTGCATGTGCCTGCAACCCTGCATCACTCTATAGCGAGGACAACCTGGTGAATCAGAAGGTGGCGACCAAGATGCTGGGGCGCATGGGGTACACGTGCCACGTGGCAGTCAATGGGGCAGAGGTGTTGCAGGCGCTGCAGAAAGACTCCTTTGACCTCATCTTCATGGACGTTCAGGTAGGTACCGCTCTGAACCTTTCCGTTTAACCGTTGAATCGACTCAAATGTCATCTCACTGCAGATAGTGTCCTTCAACCTCTCAAAACTCTTCAAGATCTGACTCCCACCCAACGCTCTCCTTTGTTTCATTCGTTCTCCAGATGCCTGTGATGGATGGAATCGAGGCGACACAGCGAATTACCCAGATGTGGCCGCCGAGCCAGAGGCCCAAGATATTTGCCATGACAGCCAATGTGCTTGAGACAGACCGCGCCATGTGCCTGCAGGCTGGCATGGATGGCTTCATCTCCAAGCCTGTTAGTGTGCATGAGCTGGTGCGCGCTGTCGAGTTCTCCAGCCTTGCCAAGAGGTGATTGTTTATACGGTAGTGTGATCTGCATAGTGCTTTTTAGTGTACATATGTGATTGTATAATCGATGTATTGACTGGTACTCAATGTTGAAAGAGTATCTTAGGCAAGAGTTAGGAACCCTAGGCATAGCGAGAGTTAGGAACGAGAGTCGAGAGAGAAGGCCGAAAGAGCATGTTCATTATAGAGCAAGCAGTACAAATAGGCAAGAAGAAACAAGAAAGGTGCACTACCAAGTAGGCGAGCGCTATAACTACGGTAACCAATCGTACAGGCTGTTACATATAGAAAATATAAACTTATATTTTTTGACACGCCCCCATAACTGGCTGTAGGAGAGGAGTATGCAGTTAGTGCCCCCTGAAGGGGTACACCGTACACCATGATTGAGCAACGGAAATCGTAGCAACAAGCAAGTGCAGTGGCAACCACTGCAGTGGTGACAAATCCAGCTGTACCAAACCCTCGGCCAAGGCAGAAACAGTAGCAGGTGTAGGGGCGGCATACCCCAGCAGCAGGCAGCAGAAGCAAGGGCAGGTGGCGGCAGGGGCGGCAGCTGGAGGTGCCACGGTAACAGTGGGTGACAGCAGCAGATGCCCGGCTGACTTCCGCCACCCTCTCTCACCCTCCCCCCAACAGCAGCACGCGCGGCAGTGAGAGAGAGGGGCAGCTGTGGCACAATCTCTCTCGCCACCCCCTCACACTCCCCCCCCTCCCCCACAGCGACAGGCGCTGCAGGGAGAGAGAGGAGAGAGGAGGGCAGCGGCTGGTTCCTGCGGGTACACTCCCGCCACCCCTTCACCCTCCCCCCCACAGCGAAAGTCGCGTATGGGGTGGTAAAGGTGGACGGCAGGCGCTGCTGGCGGCTCATAGTGCCTCCCCCCCCCCCCCCCCCCCCCCCCGCCATGCCACCTCCCCCACTGTCCGCCACTACCTCCACCTTTCCTCCATTGCCCGCCTCTCCCACAAACCTTCCCCCATAGCAGGAGCACTCACGAAAGCTGCATCCGCGAGAGCAGCAAGCGTGATAGCTGTAGCGGGGCCGGCGGGAGGGTGGGCGGGGACAGTTGGTCGGACGCGACGGGCAGGACAAGGGTCCGTCACAGAGAGGCGACGAAGCGGCGGTGGGGCAGCGTGGCCGCGAGCGACGGGGCGACGAGGCAGCGCGACGATCAGAGCGACGCCTTAGCCCCGTCGATCGCGCTGACGATCGAGACCGTCGCGGATTTCGACGCGACGGTCACTGTGGCGGCACGATTGAAGCAGAAACTTGTCGGGAGGGAGGGCCGCCATGCTAGGGTAAAAAATCGGTGGGCCCATTGATCGAAAAATAGCTCTGATACCATGTTGAAAGAGTATCTTAGGCAAGAGTTAGGAACCCTAGGCATGGCGAGAGAGAGAAGGCCAAAAGAGCTTGTTCATTGTAGAGAAGCAGTGCAAATAGGCAAGAAGAAACAAGAAAGGTGCACCACCAAGTAGGAAAACGCTATAACTACAGTAACCAATCCTACAGGCTATTACATATAGAAAAATACAATCTTATATTTGCCGACACTCAAGTCTCCCGCAACGTGTAACCCGGGGCCGAACGCGTAATTTATATATGGTGGGGACCCGCCTTTTATCTATGATGACCTTATCGGATCGAACAAGGCTTTATAATTGTCAGCTATTCAATTTCACTACTGCAAATAGCACTTCCCCATTCACATTCTATGCTGTAATCACGTATAGTGGGTTCACTTCACCCACTCACGTCTGGCGCATCGCGGACGCCGATGTGCACGTCAACCTGTGCCGCATCCAGAATGTGAGCAAGGGTCAGATGGCCTTCACTCACCTTCACGTTGTTGATGATACTAGTGGTCCTAAACGCATTGACCATGACCTACTAAGGCACACACTTCCATGAGTCAGCAGTCCAGCAGCGGACAATCTAGTCAGTGGCTTGCGGAGGTTTGCTGATGTGGTTGGGTAGGTACATACGGTAATATCATTTAATCCCGTGCTATGATTTACAAACGATGCAAGGGTAAGCGAGACTGTGATGCTCACATGCAGTACAGAGAGCATCGACCCTTTTGGTGGAAAAGAAGGCGTTGTATCGCTTCATCAATCCTGCGTTGAACGAGCAATTCGCACAGACATCAAGAGTTTAAATCAGGGGCGTGCTATCTCTATAAATGATGGTGAGAACGCGCGATTCCACCTTAGCGCCACAAACGCAGTGGGCATATGGTGACCACCGCATGAATCCAGCATCAAGAAAGGTTTGTCCCTAGGGATGCATGCCGAAGGACATATGAAGGGGAAAAAAACAATTTGCGGCCAATCCCACACGAGGTTGGTGTTCATCCAACATCGATAATATGTCCGCATAGGACAGTATGGAATTCGATTAATGCCTTAAGAAACATGCGCGAACTCGCCGGGTGAAACTCAAAATACAGGGGGTATTATTCCAATTGAAATTCACCATGGACAGCAACATACAAATCGTGGTTGTCACTCCACGCATGACAGCCAATCGCTCCTTTTCATAATCGGCACCGTACAGGTAATCGGTCCACTCTCCCCTATGATGCACCCTGTGTCGTGTCGGCATTGATAATGTTTCAAGGGTCGATGTCGTGCTCGATCATGTTCTTATGGACAAACGCATATAAGTGTTTATACCTGCTCGTGCAATGAGTGAATCAAAAGAACATCACTGCACATTAGAATACAATATATATACATATAATATAAATATATCGAGTCGTTGCTCAATCTCATCTTCACTCGAAGGCTAAAGCCCCATGGACCATGGAAGTGGTAGACCCATCGCGTTGACAGCCTCCAATTCACGGCAGAGTGTCGGTGCTTTATGTAAGCCTGACTCCAATTTTGCAAGAGGTAGGTAGGGGAACCAAGACCTCGAGCATAAATTGATAGAAATTGTAGGTAAATGAATGTTGGGGAACTTTGCATGCCGGCCGCTACCAACGATTTTTTCATCTGCTCAGCACCTTTATCAACCAGCGAATGCTGACCGGTTGCACGCCAACAAGATGCGCACTAATATGAATGGTTCGATGCTCCGCATGCGTCCTATTGAGCCACTCCTACTTCTTTGTGATCGTCTCTGATCATCACAACCATGCAAAGAAGTGTTCGGCGTGCGTCTCTGTAGGCTATGGGACATTATTGAAAACCAATTTTATTAAGAAACTGCAAGATAGGAAAGGCTGGATATGACCTGGTGGTGGATTGGGAGTCGAGGTGGTAGGGAGTGACTCGTCAAAATCAGCACGTTCGCAGATTTTGTAGAAGTTGTGGAATGGCGCAGGCGGAGCTAGAGGAACGATAATGTATGGCACTCTGAAAGCCTTGCTCCGGGCCTTACATGCTCTGCTACATTTACGCCGTTCAGTGAGCACATGGTAGGCAGATTTGTCGATTACGAGAATGATAAAAGAGCACGAATGATGAAATCATCGTGCACTCGAGGGACGGCAACCCTCACATATCCATTCACATTTTCAATTGGAGAAAAAAAAAATGTAAAATGACAACCCTTCAAGTTGCCCACTCTGTACAGAATTGTTCTAAAGGGAGACATGGAGCAAGATTTGCTTCTCAAACACCTCCCTCTCGAGGGATTAGAAGGGAAGATTGAAAGTGGCCAACCACACATCAAAAGGCGTACGTAATTATGCTGATAATCATGCTGCAAGCAGTTGGTTCCAGCAATGAAGGATAACCTCCATGTCGATATAAAATTGATGCATGGAAATCTATTCAGTAATAGAGCATCCAGTGGATATAATTCGGATTTGTCAAAATAAAGAACCCGTGCCTGTCTTCAATATATGTGTTGTGAAACTGCATTATACATGGTGGAAAACTTTGCAGGACTACTCTATTTACAACTGGATTTCTAAGCCCCCCGACGTTTCAATGTAATTACCTGTATAATAGGTTAAAGATGTTTGTGGCGTCATTTGAGCAAAATGAAGGATGCTTTTTTATTGTTTGCTTGCTGAAGTCCCACGTCATACCGTAATTCCCGTAGAAAATAATTCGTGCATTGTATAGAATCCATCCAAACAATGCGAAGGGGAGAGGGGGAACAGGAAAAATGAGGAGGAGGGAGGGAGGGTGGGAAGAGAGGACAGCGAGAAGGGCGAGAGGGGAGGCTGAGGAGTGTTACAATCTGAATTGTCATTGATAGGTCGTCAGAAGATTGATCGACTAAATGTAGTAGCGGAAGTGCTGGTGATTGTGTAGGCACCGCGGAGAGTCACCCTACAACGTGTCAGAATATTATGCTCTAGCCTGTAGTGGGGTGCTCTATAGCGAGTACAACCCTTCTAGGGTTTGCTATTTGTATCCCCATTCTTGCTAGTGCAACCCTCTCCTTTGCTTCATTCTCTCTTGCCTAGCTAGGTCAACCCTAGCTATGGCTCCTCATCGTGCTTACTATCTCGACATGCTATCAGAGCAGGACGATCCAGTTGGGTCGATCCTGTGGGTGGGCCCCACCACCTCAGTCTTCCGCTGCTCCTACTACTGTTTGTGTCGCACGCCCCGTGGCGTGCGACGGATTTTTCATCCCGCCGCGCACACGGGGCGTGCGGCGGTTTTCCTACCCGCCGTGCGCCCCGGACGCGCGGCGGTTTCCTACCGTGGGGGACCCCCGCGCGCCCCCGATTTCCCGACCCGCTGCCCCGATTTCCCGTCGCCCGCGGCCCCCCGTTCCCGTCGCCCGCGGCCCCCCGTTCCCGTCGCCCGCGGCCCCCCCGTTCCCGTCGCCCGTGGCCCCCCCCCCCGTTCCCGTCGCCCGCGGCCCCCCGTTCCCGTCGCTCGCGGCCCCCCTGTTCCCGTCACTCGCGACCCCCCGCTGCCCCTTCGCGGTGCCCTACGGAGCCGCGCGCGGCCCCTCGCTGCCCCGTGGTGGCGTCCTGGGGGCCGCGCGCCGTCCCCCTCGCCGTCCCCCGCGCTCCTTCCCCCGTTCCGCCCGTT